CCAGCTACAATCTATAGTAATCTTATCAACTATAGAGGCTGAATATGTGGCTGCCATCTCTGCTGGACAAGAAATTCTGTGGCTGTAAAATCTGTTCATAGAATTTGGTTTCCATCATCTGTCACTATCTCCACTGCTGATTGACAACCAGTCTGCTCTCTCTGTCACTTGCAATCCTGACCATTATGGTCATGTCAAACATCTCGACCTCTGCTTCTACTGGTTATAAGATGAGGTTGAATGAGAGCACATACATATTGAACATCTTCACAAAAGCCTTAGGAAAGAAGAAGATGACTCACATGATCAGGCTGTTGAATCTTAAACTCTGAGAAGTATTATGTCAAAAGAGAGTGTTATGGGACAACATAAGTATCTGATGTCAATCTTATATAAGCATAGACAGTTTTGTCCTGAGTTGATGGTCAACTGCCTTTAAGCAATTGACTGTTATACTCAGCCTAGCCATTATTCACTGTGTACAAATAACCTGCCTGCAACAAGTACCAGAGGCCTGACTGTTGCTGGAGAACTGATTGTTGTTCTGAGTGCTAGGTCCAGCAAGATTGGATCAAGGAGGAGACTGGCTGGAGAGTTGATTAGAGTCATTCTTAGAATCTTAGTAGCTGCTGCACATCTCTGTGATACTGGCAGAAGTTTTGATAAAATTAAGAGTTAAGAAAGAGTGCTGCAACTCTTCCTCCTAGGAATCTCCAGAGACCATGGTTAGAGACATGAGCATTGAGAGAGGCTCAAAGTCTGTAGGCATTGAAAACAGAGTCAGAATGAGAGAGAATGGTGTTAGTGTTAGTGATGCTGAAAGTTTCAGAGGCAAGAGGATAAGTTGTCCTCTGAGCAGCTTCACTGAGAGTGATGGCTTCAGCTGATCTGCCCTATGGGTTGGTTTCTGCTGGTGTACTGAGCTCTCAGAAGAGGGAGCTCATAGGTTCTGTTTGGAGACCATATCAGATTAGAGAATCAGATTCTCAGATGGCAGCCTCAAGTTCATGCTGTCATCATCTAAACTGATAGTCATACTGACTTTCTTCATACTCATGCTAGGCCTGGGCTACTGCAAACTTGGTGGCATCCTAGGCTCATTCTTCTGCTTCTGCCTTGGTCCACTTTGCTCAAGTAGTGGTGGTATAATAGTTGTCAGATGGTTCTTCTGGACTGTAATTTTGTAGGCTCTCTCCTGAGCTAAGCTGGGCATAAAGTCTTCTGCTTGAATTGACTCAGACCATGAGTCCTTCCTCCTATTTTTCCAGTGGATTCTCATCATTTGACCAGAGATTGGTGGCCCTACAACTACTATAGTCAGTGTGGACTGATGAGGCAGAACTTCCAGCTGGTGTTGTGTAGAGGGAGTTATGGCCAGAATCTAGAGATGCACTTCAGGATTTTGAAGCCATCTAAGTGGCATCAAAGGAGTTCCAAGCACAGTCTCCAATCCTGTGTTCTGCTGGAGTGGTGGAAGGGTCAGAGGACAGCTCATCATTAAAAAAGACATCAGAGAGATCCTCATCCTCATAGTTCAGGACTGGAGAGAATTCTGACAGGATCTATGGGTTCTTGAACTCTGTGAGGCAAATGTCACAGTTTTTATTATCTATTAGTCAGAGAGAGTATTGGTGTTTTTCTTCTTCTTGAGTGCTTCTCAAACACACTCTGCTAGTCTTGACTTCAGGTATGGATCTGATCAGAGACTAAAAAAAGACTCTAATAGAGGGAGGAATATCATAGAAGGAAAGGTCAAGAGTGATATTACATAAAATTTATTGTACTTGTTGAAATGCCTAATAGTGTCTGACTATCCAAGCTGCTACTGATTGGCATCCTCAGTAAAGCTGAATGATTGCTAGTAATCCTAAAAGGGTTCCAATGATAGAAGTTAGAAGTTTAAAAAAGTCATTAGTGAGATCAGAGGTTGTAGAGGCTGATAGTGGCATTCAGTTTTCTTTTGCACTTATTGTGTATAAGAAAAAGGAAGCATAAGCTTTGAGCTAATTGTTAAGCCCAAGCAACACATGACCTAAAACACATGATAAACAGATGCTGTATTGTATTCATACAGTCATATCTGAGTTCACTATATGTGTCTATGTGGTGTTGTGTTCTAAAGCTTTATATTATGATTTTTAATCTTTTTACTTTTCCTTCAATGATTTAATCCCTATTTATGCTTAGCCAGAGTGCCAATCTCAGCACTTAAAGCCATGAGACCAGCTTAGTCAGATAATAAGCTGAATTGGTCATTGTCTTTGAACACAATGATGACACTTGACAACACACAATCACTCTTTTGTAGACAGTAACAACATCTAAGGACAAAGGGTATAACAACTAGGACAGACATAATAGATAGCCTTATTTATATCAATCTAGACTTGTAGTATATAAGTAGGACAGCTCTCACTGGTATAACTCTAGCTTTGAGCTAAAGTTTATTCATCTCATTCTACTTTTAAGCTATACTTCCAAAGGCCTTGAAGCACTTGGTCAACCAAACACAAGAAGTGAACTCTAGCATAAAGGTTTGAACATGAAACTATGCTAGTTTATCATGTGCTTCTGATCACATGTGGCTTGAGTCTAACACCTTGCAGTTGGCTTGAGGTAGAATGGTGAAGTACAAACTTTAGCTTGAAGCTGAGAATATACAGTGAAAGCTATACTACTTATATACTGTTTATTCAGAAGATAAATATATGTCTACTAATTGTGTGTTTCTAAGCTATGGTGCTTGTTGTCCTTGAATGTCATGACTACCTACAAAAGAGTATTGTCTATTGTTAAGGGATATCAGAGGAGGAGAAGAACAATAGCAGACTTAGCCTATTATAGTGACTAAGCCTGTCCCACAGTTCTAAGCACTGGTTTAAGCACTCTGACTAAGTATAAATAGGAGTTAATCAAGAAAGAAAAGTGAAAAAATCATAACACTATAGCTGTATTTAATAAGTACCAACTTATAGCAGAAATCCAGACTGGCTAGAAAATTAAATGGATATACACTGATTAGATCTTCATGGAGGCAAAGTGGATTCAATATTGTATCAAGCACAGCATTCTGCTTAAGCTGACAGCTTCCCATTTCTCAGTACAGAATAGCTTGGCTGAGCACACTTTACAGACTATTGTGAAAGACACTTAAGCATTGTTGAGTGACTCTAGACTTAGTGATCATTACTAAGCTGAGGCAGTATCTATGGCTATTTTCACATAAAATCTAGCTCTCTCAAGTCATTACTCTGGAGTGGTACCAGCAGAGACATTCATAGGACATCATCACAATATTGCTTTTCTCTGTATATTCAAGTCAGCTTACTAGGCAAAGAAGCTCATATCTGATAGAGTTTGGTGGATGGAGACAGTAAGTTAGATGATTGATCAAAGAAATGCATATTTTCAGAATATACAGAGTCCAACTACTATGTCCTTGATCAATCAGGCTGCATATTCATTTCTTATGATGTCATTTTTGATGAAGACTCTATGCACCAAACTTTAAGTGTGAGAGAAATGGAGAACAAACTACCACTCACCTGCTTTGACTATCTCTACATCACCTACTCTATTAATGGTATCTGTGGTTACTGTGGCTCCAATGCCTGAAGCAACACCCACTCTGACTCTTTACCAATCAATGCATTTGATATATTCTAGTGCTGATGCAACTGAATCTGCACTGTCAGAACAGCATAAAGCCAAGATCCACACAAGTAGAAATGATTGGGCTACCAACAGTCAACAGCTCCATGCATTGATGACAGCATCTGAGAGTACACCTGATCCTTACATTTTATGAAATTACTAAGATGCCCTACATGCCAACAAGGAGTGATAAAAGACCACAATGGATGTGGAATATCAGATGCACATGATAAAGCACATCTGGGATCTGGTAGACAGGTCAGAGAGAGCAAACATAATGGACTGCAAGTGGGTTTATAGTATGAAATGAGATAGCAATAGAAACTAGATCAGAGATAAGGCAAGGTTGGTCAGAAAGAGGTGTACACAGCAGTATGAACTCAACTACAATGACACCCAGGCTGCTGTAACCCATCTTGAATCTGTCCACATGTCCACCACTATTGCTGTGAAATTGGATCTTGTTTTATGGCAAGTGGACTTTGTTTCAGCCTACTGAACAGTGAACTTAAGGAGAACATATATGAGACAACCCTCAGGATATGTCATTGAGGGACAGGAAGATAAGGTGTGCAAACTCATCCATACAATTTATGAGACCATGCAGAGGGGATATGACTGATTCAAAGCTCTTAGGAAGACCTATGAGGATCTGGGATACCACACATCACAGGTAGACTCTTGCATAAGGATAATTGGCCAATCAGGTGGTGAGCACACTATTATGGACACTTACACTGATGATATGTGGGGAGCTTCATCAAGTACAAGGAAGGCCAGCCAGTGCAAGAAGGAACTAGAGGAGAAGTGGGACCTTATGGACATGGGGGAGAACTGATACTTCCTGGAATGAAGATTGATCAGAACCTCAAGGTTGGCACTATCATGTTTTCACAATGCCTGTACTAGGAGAACATTATTATAGACTTCAGCCTTAACCACTTGATGATGTATGCAGAGGGAGAGTTTGTGCTAAGCCTGTTGGGATTTTGCTGGAAAGTTCTAGAAAGGCAATCTGGCACCATGCTGAGAGCTGATGAGTTAGCTTGAGAGAAAGAGAAAGGTGTAGTAAGTTCTAGATATAAGCCTGGAGAGTATAAATACAAGCTCTGTAGGAGCTGTAGAACAAGAGTTCATTCTTTCTGGCCTTACCAGCCTGGAGTTTACCCTGTGCAACACCAAGGATTTCCAATAAAGCCAATACTTGCCATACACTCTTGTTCCATTCAATCCTCTGTTTCAGGAAAGAGGGGGCCCAAGGATGGAAAGGGATCAATCAGATTGGGAGGTGCACTAATTATAAGGTGCTTGACTTGTCATATTTATTTTAATTTCTGAATTAGAATATGCAAACCATCGAAGCCAATGACAGCCAGCACTCATCTTGGAGGAGATTTCCGCCACCTTGTTCACACTCCTATCATGCAATTGGAATTTTTTCCCCTCAGAAACCGGATTATATCTCCGCCTTTGCATCCAGTAAGTTCCATCCTTGTCATGGCAAGTTCAACTCACAATCTACTATCAGGTCAACTCTCAAGTCATCAAGCCCAAGGAGCGAGCACTACTATCATGACTTGTTCAGATTACGACGAGGCTCGAATTGCACTTCGTGCAAGAAAGAGCAGAAGATGGACAATTAACCTATCGACTAGACCTGTAAGCTGGTCAGCCTCTCCAACGGGAGTGTGTATTTTGATGCCCAACTCTACTTCCACAAGGCCTATAAATGTTTTTGTTATCTACAACAGGAAACGGACAGCAGATATTGCTGTCTCGCATTATGCCGTTTGACACCTTGTTGCTCAAGAAGTTAGTCTGGAGCATGTTTATGTATCCTGCAGATATTGATACCCAATAGGTCGATGCCGAATTGACCCCTGTGCAAACCGATATTGTTGAAACAAGAAAGAAAGGGAAACATGCCAATATGTTTGACAAAACGTCAGTGCTAGCCATTCCTATGCTTTGGAGGGCTGCTAACAGATCGAATGCAGGTCAAAGGCGCGGACGGATGAACAATCGTCTGAACCGAGTTCTGCTCGTCCCACGAAACGTGCCTGAACGGAGGAGGTTGATATCGCAGACCGGATATGTTATTTTGTGATCAACATCTTGCGTCGACTTGAATCTACTTCTGCTAGCCACCAACCGACTTCTTTGGGCGACTAATTACCAGCTCCGCTGGTGCTGTTGGAAGCACCAATAATAAAGTCGTCGAGAAAAAGTACCGTGTAGCGTATAAGTTCATCGAAGGCAATTCTGCCGCTGTTCGCAAACCTCTCAAAGTTGAAGCATTCTTGTAATAGCGAACTCGCAGTGTTGAGACATTCTGGCGATGTGCGCAAGCGAAGATAGTTCATCTCATAGGATGTAATGTACAACTTAGATTTAACTTATGCAGAATCTTATTATAAGGTTAGGAAGGATCATTGGAGTAACATATGGCAAGTGAGTTCAAGTGACTGTGGGATGTCATGATCTCTTTGCTCCATCAAAGAATCGGAACGCGAACTCGGTTGAGACGTCTTCGATGCAGCTCACACCATCAAAAATCACAGAGAAACACTCGAAAGTAGACGGCATTGCTGCTAACACAGACGAATAGAGGCATTAGCACATACTCCGCCGCCGCATCATGGGTTTCCTTCTCTCGTCATCAAACCAAACGTACCAATCGCATTTCTATGTCTACGTATCTCCCGAGGTCATTTTCGGACGTATGATCTACATAGAGCATCTCGGGGTCTCTTCTATGATACGAAATCTGTGACTAGCTTTTTCAATTCCATCGGCCTGGGTAAGGAATGATGAGCTTTTGTCAAAAGACAAGGCGTACAACTCACCGCTCAGCATGAACTAGAGGAATATTTGCACTTTCATTAGTCATGTAAGATTATGGAGAGGGGTCACATAACGCATCCCAATGTCCAGTGTCCAACACCTCGAGCGCCACGTTGGGGAAGAACGATTTGACGATCAGAATATTATGCCGATTAATTTAGCTTGTCATATGTCAGATTTATACCAGGGCAGCCAGTCATACGTCTAGACTTACGGGCTCTTCTCGCCTCTGATAAACAGAGCCTTACCATCCCGCTGTCGTTCCCCACCTTCATAAGGGAACGACCCAATGTCTTGAATCGAACTTCCAAGGATGCTTATCGGGATCCGGAAATGTGCATGCCCGTGTGACGTGTGCGGAGACTACAAGATTCGCGAGTAGGAACATTATGATGCTCGGGTCCTATGCATATATCAAAAGGAAAGGCGATAGCGAAGTGTTGAAAAGACAAACTTTTTCTGTTTCATGCAAAATATCGACGGCTTCCTTTCGTGTCTTCACTTTCATGGCCTCAATCTTCTTCATGGACTTAACGTATGATTTAAATTCGTTGGAGACTTCCTCTAGCGGGCGTTATGTCCACGGAAATGAGGTGAGAAAGCGTCGACATTCCAAGGTTGGGAGCCAGTGCTACAGCAGCAGCGACTTTACCTCCCCTACTAGACATCAGAAATTGCCTCCAAGGTGGTGTCAAGGAGTACATGGAATGTCCGAGCAAGGATACATTTGTTAGGTGATGCTTCGAGATGAAGTGGAGGACGTCCGAGGCCATGGCGGAGTAGGTAGTAGGCAAAGCATGAGGCGACGTTCCATGATTCCGAAGGCCCTGACATCTTTTATGATTTTGTAAAACTATAGGAGGGAAATAAACAGACCAAGGCATACACGGGTCGATTCAGGTCACGCAAGAAGGCTTTGGTGAGAGATGTCCAGTTCCGTTTAGAACCGCTGTCCAGGTATCAGATGCTACTCATCACAATATATAGCAAATCGCATACAGTAACCCATGAAGAATAACGAGCGCTCGATCAGTCTTATTTCCATCTGGTGGTATAAGCTCGGTATAGTGAAGCTCGACTGGTGAAGTAGTCACAGCTGTGTGGTGCCGCTGAGATCCTGCTTCAGAAAAGATAAATAGCTGGCCAAAATAAGGGCCAAAAAAACGCACCTGTTAGTCGCCGCAGGGACCTTTGGAAAGTGGAGGTGTTGAAGAACGAAGACCTCAGCATGGACGTTTTAGGCCAAGCTACTTGACAATGACGGGGGTTCCGTGTCAGGCCATCGGACCTTGCGTTCACCGAATGTGAATTATTTATGATTTCGCTCATTCAAAACGCGCAAAAGGGCTGTTAAAAGGACTGAGATTTGACTGAGAGCACACAGAAAAATGGCAGCCTTGTGACGGTTGAATTTTAGGAAATACAATTAGCAACTACTACGAAGAAATACTTGAGTTTTCTTCCTGGATCCATTTGCCAAGTCCATTCAACTTGACAAGACTTCAGACTTTATTTAACTGGGGATGCAGACCAAGTTGCCACACGCGTTGGTCTCACAGGCTAACAAAAATAATCAAGAACGTGAGTACGACATATGGATGCAAGAGACGACCGCTTACTGCCTTGAGATTCAGCAAACGCGCATGAATGTCCCACACCGTAGTTATTAGAACCATTGCACGCGTCAACTAGGACGATAAAGATAAGTATAAATTTTGGATACGTGGATAGAAATCCTACCAGCGTTGTCTGCAATGGCATCGGCTTGTCCCGCGGATAGGAACATGGCCGTCAAGGCGATCATGGCAATGGAGGTGAATTTGAACATCATTTTCGAAAGATGATGGATAAGATTGTAGTGGTTGACTGTGAGCAGTAATATCTGTGTGGAAGAGGTTGTTGGTTTGAGAAAGATGCTTGGACGAGGCTTTATAGGCGACGAATGCCTTTTCCAGAACTATCCTTGTAAATTGTTCTTGAGTTTCAACAGGTGGAGCTCTCGAACCGAAGGAATCTTCAAGGGAAGGTTTCAAGGGGAACTGTAGTCAACGGGACGTAACGTAACCAAACGGACATAGCCTGTACGGACTGAGATGAGGTGACTCAATGTCGCATTCTGAACCCCAAGGAGCCACAATAATTCAGACAACGCGCTCTGCCAGCCTGAGCTATCGTCTCGTCTATATGAAGCACGTAACAGATATTGTCATATCAATGATGTTCGTGAAACCAGCACTCCAAGGCTTCACTACATTGAAACGGTCAGCTATTATCTCTAGTACAAATTAGCAATGGAAACTTCACCTACATGAAGTGACAATCGGATGCTTATCCGTAAAATCGCAAGTGTAGAAGAATACGACAAACTGTGGAGCGACGACACCCGATATTGCTCAAGTTATCATCTGAATGAGAAAAACTATTGCTCAGAACATGTACCAGCTTCTCGTTATGGCAACTCTTCTCGTAATTTCGTATAGAAATAGATACTTCGAAACGACACGGCAGGGGCCTGGGAATTCTACCGCCGCAGCAGTTAACGGATCAGACTGTAATATGTCGTGATTCGAAGGGCTGATGGAAACGCAAGAAAATGAACCTCACTTACCCGGGTTTAAGTGCTTGAAATCTATTCAAGCAGAGCCATAAGCTGCAGCAACCTTACAGAAGTCAACGACAATTGTTCCATAATTCCTGAAACAATATGTCAAAAGCTGGTTTTAGTCTCAAAACTCCATGATGCACCGAAAGATTTGGTCCATTTGGAAGTCAAAAAACGGACTGTGCGTATATTCTGATGGTTTCAACTTCGAATCCACTTGGACAGCCTGTGCGTCCAGCGCTGCGTCACCAAATTATAACGTTGAAACTAGTTACTTACGACTTGATGCCCGACGGATCAGAGAACTCAGAAAGTATTTTCCGACGCATTTGCTACCCTTGAAACAGCATGCAAGGGCTCCATCCATTTACGCTTAAGGACTTGGAAAAAACGGACTGCATTTCTCGCCTATAAAAGCCAGTCAGTTCCGGTTATTCCACCCAACAACCACACCCGCACAGTTATAACCACCACGCACATACCATCCAAATCATCCAAGTCATCTAAAAATGATCTTCCAAATCAAGTTGACCGTAATGGCATTGGCCACCATGTTCCTTTTCGCAGGACAGGCAAACGCTATTGCAGCTAACGATGGTAGGCATGACACCTTCATGACGATCAGAGTCTTCGCTTACCGTGATGTTTTCATAGTCGACGCGTGCAACGGTTCAAACCATTACTCTGTCGGTCACTCCTGCGCCTTTCAGGAGTCTCAAGGCAGTAAGTGGAAATTTTGAACATGTACATTCTGAGCCTCACTATGATTTCTTAGTCTGCCAAACCAACAGTTGCGGCGTGCTTATCTGTGTCCCTAACTGAGGTGAACTACGATGAGCTGAATACTTCATGGGGGAGGGAAATAGCGGATACATCAGTTTGTAGATTTCGTGCAAATTGGATGTGATTTTCAGAGCGGAATGAACGTTGTAACTTATCCTGGAAGTAAAAAGGTAAACTGTTCCACAAGCCGCAATTGACTTTGAGCTCGAGAACTCGTCGTGCTTCTGTAAGTTCATCAAAAGTCAACTATGACCAGGATTACCCATGTCCGATCCTTTTTGTTCCCAGCAGAATAGTATCGTAGAGATTCATGTCAGCCTCGGAACCATCACCAAGGGTCTCTCTTGCATGGAGAATGAAAGGAATATCGACACTTGCGTCCTTCTGCATATGACGAAAATTTAAGAGCTTCTCCGTGTAATGTGACAGCGGGTATAAGACATTTTCATTCCCTACAAGGTTGAAGCCTTACAGTGCGAGTCAGAATGAGGCACTAGATAAAAAATGATACTGTATATACCTACAATCAAGTGGGGGAACTCTTTTTTCAGAGCAATACAATCCTCAAAATACCAGTCCAGCTCGTCTGGATAAAGGAATCAAATGGTAGGTAGATGATCTGCATTGCAAGTTCCAGATTCTTAAGCTCATCCTAATGAAAAAGAAAGAAACCTTTGCTCCAACGAACTCGTCTTCTCTTCCTCGAGCTTTCAAGTCAACGATGGTCTCCTCCAAGATCGACTCGAAGATCATGAGAAGCTCTCTGTGTGTGACATTCTCACACCATCAGCATTCACCATGGTCCTGTGTACGGAAATCTGGTCAACAATATACAATGCTCTCTATGGGTACGTACTTGATCCAAAAATTCACTCTCGGCTCGACATACAAAATCCCGTCTTCTATAGAGCTTCAGGTGAACTAGTGAATGTGCTTGGCAGAAATTGGCGTGTACTGTATAAGACCCTAAAGCAAGTTAAAATCGAAACGTTGAAGATGAGGAGGAAACAGAGAACCCTACGTCGGCGACTCGAAATGTGCTCACAAATTTTTGCCAGATCTAAAGAACAAAATGAGGAACGGAAAACTTGGCTCCAATCACTTTGATGACGACCTTGGTAACGGTGTTGTATGTTCCATACGCCTCTGCGGGATTGATCGTCAAGCAGCCAAGAACCCATTGATTGAATCCATCTGGACCTCCTGACTCTGAGTCGAATTGCTCTCCGGCCTGGGTAAGAGAAAGCCAGGAGTCCGGGATGTAGGACGGTGAGGTAAGGGATAATGCTTCGTTGTTGTGAAGCTCTGCAGGAAGTGCCTTGAACTTTGGGAGCACGGTGTTCAAAGTTTGAGCATTGATAGCTTTTGGAACCTGAACATGCATTGACGGTTCTTGCAGTCCAAGGTCATACAGGAATGATGCATTCACCGTCGCGTCTAGATGGGCATGGAGAAGCGCGCCCTTGGGCATCTTGACTGACTGTAAGAACTAGGATGATCGTAGACAACATATTACACGCCCTACTTTGCATAGAATCTTGTATATTTCGGTTTGGACAATGATACTCCTGCCTGTATATGGACTCGGATAGGTGGAATCCCGGGACAAAGAACCGGAGACCAAGTGTCAGCTCACCAGTCAAGAATTCCATGCCAGGGAATGGATGAGGTATAGAGGGATAATCTACACTCCATACCGACTCGGCCTCAGCTGCACGAATGCTGCGAATCAAGTGGTCTGCCTGTATTTCGAGAGTGGATAGGTTATCTTGATCCAAAACATCCAGTCGAAGAGATCTATCCCTGGATATCAATTCCTTGCGCTTGGCTTGGTATTCGGCGAGCTCAGTGATTGAAGACGACATCGTGGCAGTGTGTAAACACACGAGGCGAGCTCGTGCCGGTCAGTCGCGACAGCAGTTATCGATCTTGACCATCTAGGTGACCACCACGACAACAGCAATAGCGAAGACACTTGGTTGCAATTACCAGGTGCTATCACCACCTTCTGCCATTGTAGTACTGCCACTCCACAAGATGTTCAAGGAACACTTTCGGATTTCTGTCCTACAGTCTGCCACGAGTCGGACCTAACTTTCAATCCCACTCGACATGTGTGACATTGAAATTTAACAGGAAATTCGAGTCCATCTTCCGCCAGACATATTAGAAATTGTCTGCTAGAGATTATCTCTTCCAATCATTTTCTTGCAGTTTTTTGTATCTTCTTGCTAGCCTGTAGACAGGGATTCTTACAAGGATGATAGAGTGTTCAATTGGCTTCTCGAAGTCATTGTTTGTCTTCTTCCATTGTTCATGAGTTAATTTCCCACTGCTTGGAATCCTCCCAATACCTCCAAGTTTTATCTAAAGCATTGTTCATGGAGATTCTTCATAAAGATCAATATATATCCCTCATGTGTGAATGAAACAATTGTCATGCTTAGCATATAACACCATGATCTACACCCTTACCAGTTGGTATCACACTTGATACCTTGCAGTCACCAACCACCCAGGCAGAGAAAGATGAGATGGAATGGCTCTCTTACTGATGGCTGCTGGGGCATGTCATGTAGGGACAGCTTGCAACCCACCCAGACCTGTGCTTCCCTGTCAATCTGCTCACCTGTTTTCAGTCTAACTCTGGCCTGGCTCACCAGAAGGCTCTGTTGCATGTCCTCAGGTACATGAAGGGAACTATGACATTGTCTTCTCACATGACCAGGCCTTAACTCCTGTTGGGTTTGTAGATGCAAACTAGAGGTTGCTGTGATACCACCCAGTTGGCCTCAGGATACATTTTCACAAAGGCTGGGGGATCTGTTTGCTGGAGCTCCAAGTGCCAGGCTACTGTTGCTCACCCATGCTGCATAACAGATGATGTAGATCATGTCATGGATGGATGAGATGCAGCTTCTCCAGCCACAACTGAGCATCTTATATGGTGATAACCAGGGAGCCATTGCACTAATAATGAACACTATGTCTCACCACAAGGTCAAATATATCTGCATTCACAAACATTTTATTTGAGAGCTTGTCAAAGGTGGAAAGCTACAGGTCAACTTCATTTGTGGAAACACCAACTCTGTGGATATGTTCAAGCCCTTATCTTGTGACACTCACCATAGCTATCTTGAAATACTGAACATCCTCTCAATGGATTGATACAGATATGGGAGAGTGTTGGAGAATATCCATATGTATACTCATATTATTACCCTTTTGATTGTCACTCTTTTGATTATCATCTATTCTTACTTACTATATATACATGCTCTCTGTCATTATCTGATCACCTATATAGCCTGACTGTAAATACTCATATACCTTAGTCATTTCACCCATTCTGTGCCTAACTGAGATATGTATACTGTTATCATGCTCTTTACTATATCACTCACACTCTTTTATAGACCATTACTTATATTCTTCTGCTATTAATTTTGTATGGAGATAATCAGGGGCTAGTTACACTGATGTCTAATACTCAATCTCATCAGAAGGTTAAACACATCCACATATGTGAACACTTTATTTGGGAGCTCATCAAGAGTGAAGAGTTATATGTCAAGTTTATTCATGGAAATACCAACCCCACTGACATGTTCACTAAACCTCTGCCTCATAACACCCACCATGGCTGCCTTAAGACATTGAGCATTGTCCCTGTGGGGTAATACAGATATGGGGGAGTGTTGGGGATATCTGTATGTATATCTGTATATTTACCCTTTTGATCCTCTACTCTTTTAATTGTCACTTGTTTTTTTGATCATCACTTATTTCTACTTACTAATATATACACACTGCCTGTCATTAGCCATCTATATAGCCTGGCTGTAGATACCTGTACCTCAGTTGTTTCACCTATGCTATGCCCAACTGAGATCATTACTTATATTCTTCTGTTATTACATCCAAGTCATTGACTATGTTGCAAAAATTAGCTTCACCCTGTTCTATCTGATCAAACAAGCTTTGGGACCAGAGCTGGAACATCTACTGAATTCAAGGCCAAACAGTTCTTTCACACTATGGTGGAGGTGATCAATGTTATGGATGATGTTGCCCAGGAGGCATTGGTTCAATGGTGAAATGAGTATGTTTTTTTTAGCTATCTTTGCTTGCCTATCCAGGTTTGATAGATCCAAAACAGAAAGATATTTGCTGATGTCAATGATGATAGTCAAACAACAGTGCAATCACAGTCTGTCACAGCAAAGATGAAGGCCCATCCTCTCACAATTCAAAACAGAACACACACTATACTCCCACCAGTAAATGAAAATGTAGTGATAGATGAAAATGTAGCTTAGAGTGTCATTAATTTGGTAGTGATATACAGTGAGCTCATAATCAAACAGTAGACTCATTATATTTTGAATGTCTGCTTTTCACAAAATAATCTTTGGATAACAATTGCCTACCTCTTGCAAACCAAAGACAAAGTGAATGCAATCACCATGATATTGGGAAATGTACATGTATATTGGTCTTGCATACAATTACATTACATGTAGTTGAAACACAATGATTTCAATGATTGTAAGATGATTATGAAGAGCCGGTTAGCAATGTAAGTGCTTACCATCAATTACTTAGATTGCAAGCATTTGCAGTCTGACAGGGAATTCTGCGATATGGCTGAACACTCCCATAAGGATTTATTTTGCCCAAAAACAATTACTTCTTAAATCCACATAAGCCGAGATGTAAGAGTCAAATTTGCGACTAGGGCAGCGTGATTTTCTTAGGTTACAGCTTCTCCTGTATACAGGACATTGAGATATTTCGTTCCTAATGAAGATTTCTCTCGTATCTTCATCTGGAAGTCAAAGCCTAACAGCGTATGACACGAAAGGAAAACCATACTATCTATTGTTCAACTTGGATGTACGTACGAAGGGCAATTCGTGTATACCAAGTAGCCAGCAAACCCAGATATCAAGAGGACTGCGAAGGCCGTCGGTTTTCAGCTCCGCTTGCCGAAGAAGACGCTGGTACATCAACCGTCGTATATGCCGGGGAAGGTGAACCCGGATCAGGAGCAGGAGGAGCTACGAAATGCCGTGACTCTCGCCTAGAAAAGGTGATCGTTCTAGTGACGTTGAGAAAGTTGTCGGCCGCTGGGGCAGCCTGAGATTGATTCGGAACATGATTCGGAGGGACGATCCACTGTGTTTCTGGTCTCTGAACCGGGCCCGGTGGACCCAAAGTGGATGGGGCAGAAGTTTGTGCTGCTGTTGGCCTGGCAAAGGGATTTGTAAAGGCAGACGTAGAAGTGTTGTGATCCGTGGCTCGCGTAGAAAACCCACCCAGACCTGCTGGAGGAGCTGAAGGGAGCTGCCGTGTAGAGGTGGGCGTTCCGAGGACGGTCTGACCCAGAGACGGCCTATTGGGTACCACCGGGGTATATGAATGGGCCGATCTAACACGATAAGCTGGGGGATACGGAGGAGAAACGCGTATTGCCGGCCTGAAAAAGGCCCCTGTTGCATTCCCGGTGTTCGTAACATACATGACCATGTTCGAAGGCGAGGGGGGAGTGAATTGCATATCCGCCTCCTCCGCCTCCTCCGCCTCCGCCTCTTCCCCTTCGAGCTCCCGGATTTGCGCTTTCAGTTCCTCGTTCTCCCTTTCTAGGGACTCGTTCTGCTGTATGATATCCTGATCGTCCATGGTGATGTAGACGCTTCTGATGGGGTCCATAACGAACGGGCGGAACTGTTCTGGGAGATATCGGGTCTATACAAACATTAGCGGGGGGCGGTTCAGTAATTAAGTGAAAGCACGGACATCGGGGAGGGCTGGCCAGGGTAAAGTGAACATGAGCTTGGGGGTGGGGGATGGGATGGAATACGTACCGATGGGAAAGACCTTTCGACAACACGGGCATGAAGCTTGGTATCCGTTGGTGGCTTGGGTTCCGCCTCGCGCGATAACGGTCCTTAGGCATTCGGAGCAGAAGACGTGTCCTGAGAGACATGAGTAACGCGAGTTATTTAACAGCCTACCTGGCACTCACCACAAGGAGTGCAGACTGAATCCTTGAGATGGCCGAGACATATTGCGCACTGGGGAGTCATGATGATGAGCCTTCAGGACCGCACTGGGGGCCTTATATAACTTGCTGAACGCTGAGAGTGGCACAAGGGTTGCATTGTGAAAGTGTCTTTATCCTTTTGTCTTGTATTTTCGAAGGTTACTCCGCATGACGAGGCTCAAGGTTGACAAATGCATCTGGACTGAACAAAGGTAAGTGCATAGGCTGAGTAACAAGTCACGTTTCCAGATTCTGTTTTCTTTCATGTCGCGACTAGCTGCTTTTTTCCTCCCCATTCTACCTTTGTCAACCAAATCGTAAACGCGATGGTAGTTCAAGAGATGTTTTCCCGGGAGATCAACAAGCTCGGCCGAAAAGAAAGTACAAGCATCATAATTGAACTGAAACATTCCCTGAGATCTTTGTATTTCCTCCCATCCCCTTTTTCATCGCGACCAGTACCGATGTGCTCAACCCGGACATTCATGTGCATCTGTCAAGAGGGTCCCGGATCATACCCATTAAACGAAAAGCCAAGGTCATCTACTACATCCGTTTACGCGTCGCACCCAGCTGAAGATGATTGTATAGCTCGAACATCCAGCAGGGCAGATACCATCCTATTACAATTCGGAAGGATGGACATCTTTGAAGAGCTCGATGCCGATTATCTGGAAAACATGATAACCTCGCTCTACGGGACTTTTTACAGCCACTTGATGGATTTCACCACAGTAGAGGTATCGATTGTCCATGAAGCACTTCCATGGTATTATTTATTTAACCACCTTGCTCTCACTATAGGGCCAACCCAACACGTATCGGACCGAGGGCTTCCTCGAAGGCATCCTGCATACCATCCCAGAGAATCCTCACATTCACCAATGCTCCTCACCCTCCATGGGGTATGTGCGCGCATCGCCTACCTCTCAGGTGCGGGATATTATGTTGACAAGTTGCTGGAGGATATGGATAATGGTGAGAATGGTATTGGACCTCAATTGTCGGGTGTCAGTTACGTAGCATCCTTTTTTGTAAACAGGAACTGGCAGTGGATGACTGACCAAAAGGATTGTTTAGGAGCCAGTCATGAGCCAACTCCCAGTTCTCTCATTGTCAGTTCTTCATAGGCATAAATATCAATCCAGTGAGATTGAACATGAGAAACACCATGCCACTTATTATCTTTGCCGCCTTGCAAAGGCCATCATTCTTGCTTCAGACATGTGGACCCTTGCACCGATGATGACCTTTGTCCTTGAGTTCCTCCTTCAGCGGGACCCATACCTGCCCCAGGATCCAGGACATGCTTATTCTTGCATCAGACATATGAACCCTTTCACCAACAACTTGTCTCCTAGAAGCCACTATCTTCAGTGGACCCTCCAGCACTCTGGGATCCTCTTCAACATCGGCCTTCTGGACTTGCTTAGGTCTTTGACTGAAGGTTTCTATTTGACCCCCCAGATCCTCTCAATACATTTCCTGTTCCCCAAAACTGCATGAAATTGCTGGAGTCAAGAAGTGCTTGGGACCGGAGCATTATCAGGGACAGTAACATCTTTTCACAGGGGTACTCTTTTGATAATCAACACCGCGATTGGACTTACTGGCAATCCAGACCACGCTAGTGAGTAAATCCGAGAGTCGCATATCGCATGTGGGGTCTTGCCAGTATATCACAGTCCGGTGGAGACACTGTCAGAGTGGGATGATCTGTTGTTGGTGGAAAGCGCCGCTTTGATGATTTCACGGACAAAAATGAGCTTGCCGGCAAGCTCCCTATTGAATCTCCCCGTCCCTTGTATTTAAGCATTCTCGTAAAAAAAGAAAAAACAATGCGTTCAAATTTACATACTCCGTACTCCCTCCGTCCCACGTTTTTATCGCATCACTTTTGACCCTTGGGGCTTGGCCGCAGATGGACGGACTCTTGGGGGCTTTTTTTCTCTCCAGAAGGTGGAGATAGCGATGTTTTGGCCTCATGTCGCGGGAAGCAACAACGCCCCAGAAGCAGACCGTGGTTCTTTCCTCGAAGACCCAGCATAAAGAACTTTGAAGTTGTTGTTGCGCAGCAGCACTGAGGACCTCGGAATCCTGTCGCCCAGAATCTCCCTCGGACTCAGTAAGCACTCAGACCCCGCCTCATGTTCCTAGGAGATTTCATTTTGATCGGCTTTAATTGCTTTCTTCCTCGAGCAAATTATCAGCGCTTCGTCTATCTGATTCCGAGTATATTAGCCCGCGACGTCGACGCGTGTCATCTCATCTCGGGCCGCTTCCATCATCGCACCTCGTAAATGAAGTAGTCCGTGTCGGCTGGAATCAAAAGCCGATATTTTCAAAGAGAATTAGTGGTGAGGTTTCTTTTTGGGGTGGGGTAGAGGAAGGTGATGTGGCGTATGAGAATCTTGTTTCTGATTCGGTCATCGGTGGACATTAGTGTTGAAATTCTGGGTCGCCATCCTGCGAGACGTGGCTTATTCGAATGGTGTACGTTAACGACGGATGGTTCTTCGTGGCGAATCAACCCAAACCTCCGGGTTCGCATGGGGGGTATATACAATGGGATAATAATGATACAGCTCATGGGTACAGCTCAGCACTTCTTCTATGTCGTGACGCTTCTGGGTCTGTGCTCTCTTTTTCCGCTAGTGGATCGTCACTTTCATTCCGGAACTTGGTGATGATCTAAAAAAAACGAAGATGGGTTTTTTATATGGAGAACGGAGGAAGAGCAAAACCCACATTATTGTCCAATTCCGAATCAAGATTAGATTGGGACGTCCCGGTTGTCGTCGTTTCGTGGGCGGAGACGGATATGGTGTGATGTGGCGCTCTGCTATGCCGGTGTATGGGCATGGTGGCAGATGTGGTGGCGTTGAATGAAGTGGTTGTGAATGATAGTGAGCAATCGTCGGAGGCGTTGCCGATGTCTCTTCCGCCGACGAAGCGTATGCGGGCATTAAATACCTAATTCATTCTAAGAACATACCCAAGTCGATGGCAACGGCCAAAATAACTCACCACGAGGAGACTGTTAGAGTATAGTTTGGAAAGCGCAATAGAAGGCGCGAGGTGATAGTTGTTATGCTTATACGCGATGAAAAATGCCAAGTCCAGGATCGCAAAAGTCGCACATACGGCGCCAGTTTCGACGGTTAACCTGACGAACTTGGCGAGGATAACGCTGGTGGATCGAAAACCGCTCTTTGACCGGGTGAGGTAGTAAATCATGCTTGCTGCAATGATCACGTCGCAGAGTGCGGTTCCCCCCAACCAAACCTAGAGGAGATTGTCAATAACGACGATTTTTGATGCTACAGACAAGCTCTGCGGACCGCGGTTGTCTTCTCGTTATGCTCCTGGACCTTGGAGAAGATTCCAATAAAGTGAGCAGAAACACCTGACCTATACGTATCTCGTTACTAAGGTTCGAAAGCTATTGAATTCATTACTAACCATATGCCAGCGATGCCTTCTGTGATAGCGAGCTAACATAAGGACGACCAGTCAGGAAGTATATTACAAAGGCCGACTAAAACACGTACCAAGACGACGAGCAAAGGCAGCCACCACTTGTCGCTAAACATCCATATCCGCCAAGCAAAGAATATTTGAGTAGAAACACTGACTGTCAGAAAAGCCATGAGCTACATTTTCGAAATTTAAAAACCTCGAACGCACTGATAGAGCTCATCACCGGCACACTAAACCATAACCAGCCGACCTTGTCTAGATCATTCATATCACCCCATCCCGTGCCGAAATTTCGAAAAGCGTCTCGTGTCGCGAAGATGGTCTGCAGGGACTCGAGGGTGTACGCTATGGCAACGATGGTTTTGGGTACCCATCTGTCATGAGGGAAGGCGAGGTAATATATGTCTACGGGGCAGGGGTAAACGCGATCGAGGGATCGAGAAAAAGGGGTCACTTACACACTTGAACCGTCAATGCGCCAAATAGACCCCAGTTGAAGAAATGGCCTAACAGCTACGAGGCATGAGATATGACGATGCTGGGGGGATGCTGGTGCGTACCAAGGGTCCTGTTCTTAGTGAGGGTTAATGATATGTCACATGAGGAAAGTGGGAGAGACCTACAATTCGGCTACTTGGACTTCAGAGCCGGACATGGGGAAGGGGACAAGGACGTTCTATACAGCGTCCGATTGGCATATATATACTTGATGAATCCTGCGCGTCAGACTTAAAAAAAGGGTACGTTATCCGGATTACCGTAGTAGTCCGTCAGGGTCCCGAGGAAGCTCCGTCATCAGATTTTCTGCCTTCACACTAGAACAGGTATGATGTATTAAATGTACAAATGTTATGCAAGACTAGGTTACGGATATCATGATGTCGTTGGCTGGACATCCCTCCGTTGGTTATAAATATCCTCGTCAACAGTGTTCTTCGTCAGGAATCTCCACACATAAACGTGTTTTTCCTGGCCATAGCGAACTAGCCTACCCACAGCCTGCGTCTCGCAAGCCTTGTAAATCTCCTTTGAGGGTGCAAGTAGTGGAGACAAGAAAACCGCATGATTGGCTGATGTCAGATTAGCCCCACTAGCGCTTTCGTCCATGACGTTCAAAAGAAGCACGCGTTCTTCGCTCTCGTTTTGGAATGTTTCGAGGTTCTTGCTCTTCTGATGCGCGGTTCCCCTAATCTCGAGGAACTTGATTTTGTTATAGGTGAAGGCTTCGGTCACCTTTTTCATGAGATCAGGGAACTGGACGAACACCAGGACACGCTCATTTTTGGGAATCTCTTTGCTGAAAGGGCTTGAGCATTGGATGTTTCGGAAGGACTGATGAGTCAACTTACTTGATCAAATTAACAACCTTCTCGAGTTTCATCCCAAAGTGCTTGCCCTGCCCATCCCGACCCTCGTCGTCGACACCTAAAGTATCGGCCTTGACCACATTCAACACACGTGCAGCACTTTTGCATGCTCCAGATGCGGCGTAAATGCACTCTTCCTGCTCAGCGCTCGTTCTGACACATTCCAAGCAGCCCATATGCCCACACGAGGAAAGCACTGCCACGTCGCCAATCAGCAGATTCTGGCGCTCACATTTAGGACAGTTCACAACTGGCGGCTCCTCTTGCTGCTTTTGAAGATCGCGCACGACTGTGAAATACCGGAGGGAACGGACACGACCGACCAACTCCTTCGTTAGTCGCCGGATTTCATGTGTCTTCTCACGATGCTCCCAGACTTGGGCTTTCGTCTTCTCGCTGAGATTGACATCCTCTCGCTTCGCTTTGCCCTTTACGACACCAACGCCAGCCTCATCCAGGAGTTCTATAACCATCTCGGTCGCCTCCTTGTCGTCAACGCCTTCGCTCCTGCATACTCGGATCCATTCGTGGAACATGGACTCACTTCCGACGTTGCTAAGGGCCTTTTCTCTCTTCACGCCATCCTTCACCGCTTTGAGGAGGTCTGCTTTACACTCGTCCAGCTGCTTTTGGCGCTCCCCTACGATGACGTCGCAGGCCTTCATGGCATTTTCATTCGAGGTTTCCAGATCAAAGTGTGAACAGCGCTTGAGTAACGCCTCCTCGGCTGATCTGTGGCGTGTCAGACAATGAATTCGCAGTCAAGAATGAAGCTACATACTTGCTTTCACCAAGGGATTTGGCAAGTCGTTTCTCTCGGTCACTTTCTGTTTTCTTGCCGCGTTTGATAGTCATGTCAAGCGCACGTAAGTGATGCTCCAGTTCCAAATAGATGGCACGCTCAGCAGCCGGTAGAATGATATCGACAACTTTTTCCGTCCATGGAATCTCGTCAATCTCGGCAATATTCTAAGACCGCGTCGGGATCCCGAGAATCTCGAAAGTGACGGTAACATACCTGGCGAACAAATTTGTCAAGGAAAGCTTGCCCGAGTTCATGCCGGTGTACGTGCCACTCGAGACTGTGAACTTCCCGGAAAGAATGGAACTTCTCCACCTCTAAAGAAGGATAAGCTGGTGCAATGATTGCTATTAATATCGAAGACCATACCTGTCTGTTCTCGTCGACGTCTCTTGACCTCAGCGGACTGACCTTCTCCGTCATCGTCTACACCGAGATGAATATTCAGGAATGCAGCGATCGTCTTCAAAGCAGCAAAGTCGTGAATCGGCGGGGTACCAGAAAGAACCCAATGTCGCTCAGCCGTCAAGTTGGTAACAAGCGAATGCACTTTCCCATCGAGATATGTATATTCATCAACGACTTTGCGAGCGAAATGGAACATTTCCAAAGGAGGTGCGCGCATCTGCGTCCAGTCTTTCCGAACCGGCTTTGACTCCAATTTCCATGGGTCGCTATCGACGCGCTTCTGCTTTTTGACAGGTCGTTCACCTTCATCCCTAGCCTTGCGTTTCGCTGACTTTTTGGTACCTTTCTTAGGTTCGTCGACATCCATATCTTCATCTTCTGTAGCTTGAGTAGAAGATGCAGAGGGCCTTCGCACTTTCGGTTTCGCCTTCTTGAACGCCTTCTTGGGAACGTCTTCCTCGTCTTCTTCTTCGTCATATTCGTCCGAAGATGGAACCGAAGTGGGCGACGACTCGCTATCATCGTCATCATTTGCATCTGAATTCTCCATCTCAAAGTCTTCATCATCCGAAACAGGGCGCTTGTTTTTTTGACTGCCTTTCTTTGCCTTTCCATCGACTTTCTTCGGCTTTCCATCAATCTTCTTAGACCCAATGGCAGCTTCACTGGTAGTGCTGTCTCCCTCATCGTCATCCGATATGATGATCGCCTTCCGTGACGCAGCAGCACGACGCCTAGGCCGTTTGTTAGTGTCAGAATCGCTCTGCTCCGCCGTCGTAGGAGATGATGCTTCGGATGAAACGTTTCGACTCAGTCTAGGAATAACCACTTCGACCTTCTTGAACTTTTTGGGAAACTTTGCCTTTGCTGCCCGGGCCGCCTTCTTCTCCGCTTCTTTTCGGTCGGCTGCATCACGGTAGGACTTGCCCTTCAATCTCTTGGACTGAATAGCTGCCGCAATTCGTGCCGCTTCGTCTTCGACTAGAACAGACTATCAGTATAGAAGAGCGTTGCATTAGGTGAAAACATACTCCGCTTCTCGGCATCCTGGATTTCGTGCATAACCGCCCCAGAACCTTCGTCTTGGAGTCTATCCGTTTGTGCTTTCAAAGACTCCAGAGCCTTCCGTAGGTTAGCATTGAAGTGTCTGCCCTCCTTCGAAGGAAGTGCGCCGGCCGCAGCTAGAAGCTGGAGGTTGTCGAGGTAGACGTTACTCTTGAAGAGGTTGGACGCAACAACAACGATGTCAGCATCTCGGAAATCTTCAATTGTCGCAGAGTTAAGGTTCGATACGGTAGAAAGAACGAGCACTTTAAATTCTTTCTTCGTAAATTTACGGACCTCAGAATCCCATTGCCTTGTCAGATGTGGTGGCACGATAATTAGAGTTGCCTTGAGTAGAATCTTCCCTTTAACGCGGCCCATGGCATCGAACTCCTTCTCGACGTTCTTAGCGGCACAGTCAATGAGACCGAGTGTGATAGCCGTCTTTCCGTAACCAACTTGATCGGCTAGTACGCCACCACGGATATGAACCGGACGCTGCGCACGTCCTTCTGCTCTCCATCCCAGCGGGTCCAGAATGCTCTCCGAGATCTCTTCTTCAATGAAAGGCGCTGCATTTCTAGACTCTTGCTTTAGCATCCATTCTAAAGATCGCAGTTGCTCCTTGCGGAGCGGAATCTTGAAACTGGGCGGTTGCGCGTGTTCCTTGTCGGATTTGTTGCTGGAGATGACAAATTTGGGAAGGTTCAGGGTGACGACAGGAGTGAAGTTCATGTTGAGACGCCATGAAAGCACCGGCTTTTCAGTTCGGCCAGCCTTGGGGAGACGCGAGAGTGCGCGATGAAGAAGAGACGGGATGTTGACCCCGATTCGAACGATACCTGTGTTGTCCTCGGTTAGTTTCAGCTGCGTAACGAACGGGCTGGGTCTTCTCTTGAGTCTACGTTCGTATTCCCCTGCTTCGACAGGATCCTCGACAGGGACGACTTTCTTGTTGTTCATCTGTGTCCATTGTATATGAGGCGCCGTGGGAGCGCAACGCTCACAGTTACAATGACTCTCTGGCAATGTTACATCTTGCCACGAGCTGAAATTGTTGCCAGCATCACGAATACGCTCCAAGAGCCATGCCAACGCCTTGAAAGTGCCACGTTCATGGATCTTATCTACTTCCCGCCATGATTCACGTGGCCATTCCGGTCCAGCGTGATCCTTCAGTGGGACGGTGCAAGTAAGAAGGGCAGTAGCACTCCGACAAGCATCTTTTTGGATCGGGATTTCAAGTCCCCTGGCGGGAATGGAAAATTTCGCGTCATTGCTTTGGGATGCCTTAAAGACGAGCGTCAACAGGGGCATGTCCGAGCGAAATCTTGACTTACGATCAAATGAATATTTTCCGCCCTTACCCATTTACAAGGGATACAACAGGAGACCTCTTTCTCCTCCTCGTTGGAGCTTTGCCGCCACGAAGGATCCAGTTTCGCAATAATGGGACGCGCTTCACCATATTGATGACGGCGTCTGCTAATAGAGAATACGAAGCTGTCTTCCGAATCACTTGTTCGTTGGGGGTCCATAAGCATAAACAACGGCGGTAGTGTTCCTTTCTCTGAGGTTCTTTTATGTAGCGCCCCGTTCGCGGTTCCGCAACGATCAAGAAGTGCATAAAGGCCAGAAATATCACGATCGAGTTTGGGGACATCAGAGTTAGTAACTGACACCCGCAAACTAGAAAAGACCGTTTTATTCTTGAAGGTGTCATCGGTAAGACCTAGGCGTGCTTCCCAAGAAGGTACCAGCTCTCCTTCCCCTTTTACCTTGACAGTGACAGATGAATTATGAGGAAGAGCGAAATCCCAGTGGCCGGATAGCAGGCTTTCAGTACAAGTGAACCTGCCGACCGGCGTTTCCAACAGTTGACGTATCTCAGCATTAGCTGGCTCATGCCCCTCCGGCTTTGCAAATAACCGCCACTCCATTTGCTGAGGATGCAAAAATAGCTCCAGCGTAGCCTCAGGCGACTGATACACAGCGCTCCAATACTCCTGTCGCTTGGGCTCCACAAAGCGCAACTCAGACTTGGCTGCGCGCAAAACTGCAGCACACCAGCTCGACCATCGTGCTTCTGGAATCTTTATGTTGGCAGACGTTTTCAAACAATCAAACACCGCTTGGCTAACGCCTGACAATGAAATCGACATGGGCAGCATGGCCTTAAGTTCCTTGGCGAAGTCCGAGGGCGGCAGTCTAGGATTCTCCGTAGAAAAGACGATAGGCTCCGCGTTATGCTCAGGACGACCACCACACTTCTTACAGTACGGCGCACCACAATCTTTGCAGCGAAAGAGCTCCCGAGTAGTCATATCTGTCCGTCCTTCACACTCACAAAGACGCGCACTCTTTTCTGCATCCTTCAAGAGGTCAATCAGTGGCCGATTACCAGTCGCAGAAAGATCGAGGGACTTCTGGACGAGCTGATCTTCACCCGTAATGCAGTCTTCCGCAGCCACAACGTCTTCAGCGGGGCGATCGACTTCCATTGGGGTCTCGACGTCCATATGGGTGCCCCGCTTTGACTCGTAGCTCTCTGAATCATCCCCCGCTTTGAGAAGTTTTTTTCCGCAGACAAGTGCAGCCAAAATACACGATCCGACGACCGTTGTGGACATAGCATTGCCTGCTAAATCTGCCAACTGATCTTCCGTTTCACGTGTCAAAAGTAGCTTGTCCACAGGAAGACCCTGCATCGACAAAGCTTCCAAGCCAACCATCGGTCCACCGCGGTTGGTGATGTAGGGGATCATAGAGGGAGTAAGGCATGGGCAGATTCCAACTTTATTGGAACCTATTGTACGGTCGACGTTCTGAGAAAGATTCCAAACTTGCCTAGGACGAACGGTTAACAATAACACTTCAGGTTTGGAAAGGAATTTACGTCTTGTATGAAGGATCGACGCCTTTCTTCGCATCTCGCAAATGACTGATATCCATCAAGTCCCAGACTCTCTCCACTTGACCAATGCCCCAGTCTCCCCAAGCAAAATCCGGAAGTTTGCAGAAGCCACCTAACAATAGACCGAATTAATATCAATAAACTTGGGAGAGAGTCGGGACATTACCTTCATCCCAACTGGTAAGAGGACGTTTCGATCCCAAACCTTCCTCAAGCCTTGCTCGCTGATGCCGAGACTCGCAACGGCTCCAATCGGTCCGTCCTGTGCGCCGATCAAGGGCATTATAGCTCTCCTGCACGAGCTTTTGACGGGCATAATGTATACGGGGATCGTCAGAAGCCAACAAAAAGGCGTCCAGAGTGGAAGAGGCAGGCCGTTTGAGTTTCTTTGTAACGTAGTCCTTCCACTCATCGGGAATGGCAGAATTTTTCTTGTCCACTGCGATCAGATAGACTCTGGTGCGCGTATGGGGAATATAGTACTGTTTAGTGTCGACACGGGAAAAGGTCGCACTGTAGCCATGTACTTCAAATTTCTCTTGCACCCGAGCCCATGGGGCGGAGCACACGTTCTCGAGAATGACAATGGGCGGTCTATGGTTGGTAACCCAAGACATCATACCACGAAACGTACGTCCAGATTCACCGTTAGCATCGATATCCTGCTTTTCATTGTTAAGATTGGAATAGTCGACACACGATGTACCGGCCACTAAGAGATCGACATCGCCTGGTACTAGCGCTAATGCACCGTACGCAGTGTGACTACAGTTAAATTAGTATTCAATCACTATCCAAGATGATAGAACACACGCTTCAGCATTACCCAGCTCACAGACATCACGAAAGAGGATGGGAGGGTGAAAGTTCCTCTCAATATACGCCTGTTTGAAAGGCTCGATCTCGCACGAGAATACATGCTCAATTTCAAAATTGACGCCATGCTGCTCCAATATTGATTTCTGGATAAGTTCAAGGGCCAGAAGAGGGGATTCTGTGCCAGAGCACATCGTCGCAACGCGTAGTTTACGTCCAGAGACATGTTCGGCAACTTGCTGGATAGGGGGTATCCTGCTGACGAGGTCAGAGAAAATGGCGGGTATATCATGAATAGGTGGCAAATCCGACGCGTCTGGCGCGGCGGATTTGGTCCCTTTTTTGGTGGAAGCGATAGGAGCGTCGTCATCGTCGTTCATGTCGACGTCGGAAGACGGGTCGTCCTTCATCTCCTTGGATCCACCAAAAAATGATGTGATGGACTGCTGGCCTTTCTGCTGGCTCTTGTCCTTGGTCATAGCGGTAGGAGAGAGAAAGATGTTGTCACAAACGCGTGACGTCACACATTGTCGCCTTTTTGTCTGGTCACCTTTTTCTCGCCTTTTCAATTAAGTAATACCTTTTAGCTCAAGCTTTTGTTCTAAATTTGTTTTCAGCATTGAAGTTTGTTCCTGTTAAAGAATACAGTGAATTCCCTAAGGCTATCGGTACTGATAAAATAAACTAAATATGAAAAAAGGATAAAATGTAATAACAGGTTGATAAAGAGAAGTTACGGTGGCGCGCCATCTCGTACGAACACCCACTTCCCTCCGACGTTCTGCATGCTACCACCAGCACTAGATATATTGCTGGCCTGGTTGCTATCTGGATATTCCGTCTGCACATCCGAACCACCTCCTAGAACAATGGCCTCCGTTCCAGTATCCTCGTGACTGAGCTGCGAGAACCCACCCCTTCCACGACCTCGAGCAAATCCACCTCCTCGACCTCTCTGAAAGGGATTTTGATTGACGTACTGTCCTTGCCCTTGCCACTCAGAATACTGATCCTGCTGCGGTATCCCAATTGCTCCACTCATGGCTGTCATGAGATACCTCATCAACTGCTCCTGGGAAGGTGGCCGACCGTTTGTCACCTCCCACATCTTCCCAAAATATTCCCATGCGGTCGGTGAGGTGGGATCAAATGCTTGCGGATTAAACGCTTCGAGTCCGGCCGATTGCTCGACTGGCTGCAGTGTCTCGACTGGCTGTAATGGCTCGACTGCAGTCGTAGAAGAAGGAGGCGGTGATCTATGATAGCTAGCAGACGTAGACGCAACTGGCAAATCTGTAGGCGGCGTGTCAGCAGATACAGCTGAGGGTGGCTGTGTAGCTAATTGCTGTTTTGACTCTGCTTCGGGCGACTGCGAACGAGGTCGTACATCTCGTCCAAACTCGTCTTTCTCGCCGTCACCACTAGATTCAGTAACATTTCTGGATTCTGCGACTGGCATTGAGGGTCTCCTAGGAGGACTATATGGCCTGACGCCTCGCCTACCGCCATATCTACGGGGACTTCTAGATCGACTGCGTCCTGTTCTTCGAGGACTCATGTTTTCTTCCTTGAAACGATCACGGACATCCCTACTACTTCGTCCATTAATCCTGTCATGATCTCGATAGCCGTTTCGATGTTCTGATGGAGAAGCTCCTCGTTCGTTACTGTATTCTCTGCCAACACCCGAACCATTATAACGGTCATGACGAGGAAGATCATGACCGGTAGGTGACATGATATGTTGATATCGTTGATCAGAAAGAGGTGGTGGTGGTGACAGAGACACAGCAGGCCTGCGAGGATCAGGGATATTTGTAACATTAACGAAGTCAGGGGGCAGTGGAGCTGGTACACTGACCCCACCATTCCCCCGTTGAGCCGTCTGGGCAAGCTGCTGTAATATAGCAAGCTGTGAAAGCTCCAGTTGAGGCGCAACTGTCCCTGTTGTGTTTGCTGTTGTTTGCCTGACCGAAAATATTAGCCTTCTTCGGATGAAGAGAAGATATGAACTCACCCGTCCGATGCGGGTTTAGCAGCCTGCTGAAGAAGTAGAGCGAGCAAAGTTGATTGGGGATCCGCTGCCTGAACGGGAGGACTCTGCGCTGCAGGAGGTGTTACGCTCTTCGATTGTAAAGTGGCGTTTCGAGGATCGGATGTGACAAGTGATTTCTCGGGCTCTATTAGAAACAAACCATCACATTTTAGTTCTGACTTTCAGTTTACAGGAACTCCCAGGGAGAGCAAAGAAGGATGGGGTTGTATAAGTAGGGAAAGTACTTAGCGAATACATGGCAGGATAGTGATAAGCACCTTTTTCTGAATCCTTCACCGTTTTGGTCAAGCTCGAAAGTATCTGGGCCGGAAATGTATTTGCCTTTACCCAAATATCAAGAATTTTTTTGGTTTTTTCCTGTAAGAGTGAGAAAAAGGTCGGTCAGGACCACGTCTAGTTAACATTATTGCAGAAGACAGAAAGGCCGTAAAGTTGAATGGCGCAGGACGAATACACCAAGGAAAACAATCGTCAGAGACTATTGATAGATATTCATGCTGTCGTAATGCCTGTAAGCGAAGATATGTCCTTGGCACATTCTGTCTTCTGGATGATGTCAGCGGAAGCCTTAGGAAACTAACCTTGAATTCTTCTTTTCCAACGGAAAGAATATCTTGGAAAAGACCTTCCAAGATGCCCTCAACCTTAGAAAGAAACGTAGCGGCGTTGCCTTGACTGGAGCCAGCTGAAAGATCATGCTTGTTGACCTGATGTCGTGCTGCCCGAGAAAGCGCGTCAAAGACATATAAACTGTGGATCTTGGACGGCGCCGGAAGAGCTTTGTGGGTACGATACAGGATAGACACAAGTTGAACATCATCCTAAAGAATAAATGCAGCAGAAAGTCGAGAGCAATAATCAGCACATCAAAACCAGAGAAAGGGTGTAGTGCACGTACCTTCATCGACTTTAGCGCGACTTCTGTCAGCTTCGTCACCTTCGACGCTGAAAGACGCTTGGCTGTCACAATCTCCTTCAGCTGAGATTCAAAGTCCTGCATAAGGATTGAATAGCGAAATCGGGCAGAGGCAACAGAGCTTACACTGAGCAATGCCATTATGGCTTTCATAAACCCTCCAAGGGGACCAGGAGGAGACACGAGTAAGTACAGGAGGATGGCCAAAGTGTGGCGTGAGGGAGAGGATCTTGTTTACACTTGTTGTTACGATGCGCACCTGATTCCCGTTGCAGGTTCTCTGGCTTTATGTCACTCCGAGCGAAGGCGACTCTAACTGGTGCCTGTCTTTTCACCGCCCTCACCGTCTATGCGGTTCACTTTCAGCAGAAGCAGGAACGTGAGGTGAGAGCTTACTTGACGTTATAAGAATATCTACTCAAGCCGAACCAGACGCAATACCAAGGCGTTTTAAAGGACGACGTCCGCCGGACGGAGAAGATGCGCCAGCGCCAGGAGGATTTTGAAGAATCCAAGCGGAAGCGCGCCTTGTACGAGAGTGTCGAAAAGGTTGATAAAACTACGTCTGGTGCATGATGTCGTCCGGTACACAGAATTTTATTGCGCTTTGAAAGAATTTACTCAAAATGTGTAGATAACTCGGGTCCCCTCCTGTTCAAAAGCACTCGACCTGAGTATCAGTACCAGTCAACTTGATCTCAAATGTCAGATTGCGACTCGCACTGTCTGGTTACATCGACGGTCCCCTGGATCTTGCAATGCGTATGTCAGAAGGTGAAATCGTATCAATGTTCGCTGTCCACAACCACGCTATCCGCGATGATGGGTAGTCTGGCTCACTTTCAAACTGGAGGATGCGTCGGCATGATAAGTAACGACCGCTTAAGACCTCAAGCCTCTTTACAAATCGTTGTGATGTCACTCTAAAGCTTCGAGTGTTCGGCAATGAATCGTGCCCCAGACCAACCTCTGAGCGCCATCCGCAGAATATATTGATATTGATGCCTTTGCCCATGATGATTTCTTGCTATTTTCCTATGAGAATGCTTCCCCCTTCCTCACTTCCTATTCTTTACTGTTCTCATTTTCTTCGCTCTTATTCTATTTTCTTCCAACAAACAAGCCTGTACCTCAGATCCTTAGTGAAACCTTCAAGCTTTCCTCAAGGGTCCATCCGAAAATATGTATCCCTTTCTCTGATTTATCGACAGTGACTCGGGTTCTTTCCCTCACATCAACTCTATCTCGAAGACCTGCATTCGGGGGATTGTCTTCTCGGTACCTTGTGGTATATTATGTTGTGCAGGTGTATCGCACCGATTTTCCCTTGCCTCGGTGCCCTCTTTAAGATCGCTTTCGATGCTAACGTTGAGCCATTGACCATGATCGGAAGGTTAGAACTCGTATCCATCAGCCCGACCATGTCTGTCATGATTGCGAAGTGCAAGCCCCCGGCTTCAAGAAGGAAAGTATCGGTAGGAATATCAAACAAGTCCATGGCTGGGCCTGAGAAATCGCACTTAGAAGCTAGTAGAGGATCCGACAGCGTGAAGCAAGAGCCAATTCATTGGACTTTCGAGATGCTTTCCAGCAGCAAATGAATTATCTCAGCTATTTAACTTAATATTACATGCTATGTACTTAACAGCATACATTCATCCAGAAAGACGAGTGATGAAGCAACAAAAGACACAGAATAAGTGATGCAAAAAAAATGAAAAGAAATGTGGTCGTGAAGAAATGGGTGGTCGGTTGTAGTGGGTATTGTAAGTAATAATGCAAGCTTGTCGGGTATGAATATTACGAATTATTGTAGAACAATAAATGACAGAGAAATGGAAGAGTCCAGCAACAAACAAAAAAAAAAGCATGCGTATCAAAAAAAAATTGCAATCTCAGTGCCAGAAGCCCAGATAAGACCCTGCAGAATTGACCATCCGACCCATTAACGAGTCATCCTTGTCATGCATTACCCTATTTGACTGGAAAGTAGAGCTAGAGTCGGACGTACTCCGTCGGCCCGTACTTCTTGCAGGTTGCTTTGACAACGACAGATGCCCTTGAGTAGGAGACGATGGCGTCGGAGTCGTGCAGTTCGAGTCAGATTCAGTGTCATGGGCTGACGACTTTGTCGGCGTTGAGTTGGGACTAGGATGTGATATTCTCAGATTCCTAGAAGGCGAATTTGTCGGCGTAGGCTGCAATGAACGCGGTGTATCCGCGTCTTCAACAGGACATCTCGGCTCTTCCGTGATAGCAAAAGCTGCACCATGCTCTGCCTGAGAGGACGCCAAAGGTCTGGACTCCGAAATGTCCTCCACCGACCCTTGCGAGGGTCGAACTGTCCTCGAAGAGGTGATAGAAGAAGAGAGAGAATCTTGGTCCAGCGTTGTCGAACCCGCATCAGGACTCACGCTGCTCCCACTCGGACTTCCTAACCGTCGGCTCTCTTTCCTTCTTCCCGTCCTGGCGCTCTGCGACCGACTACCAACGTATAAACCGCCAGCCACAGCGCTAATGCTGCTATGGCTGCCATCGGGCGATAAGCTTCCCATCGGTGATGTCGAGCTGACACTTTTCGACCTTGACCGCTCGCGGTCCGACACACCACTCGACCATGATGGCGAACGTGTTAGGGATCTACCACGAGGAGCAACACCCGCTGCTGACGACGACGAAGAAGCGGCTGGCGACGGCCGCGTTGGGGACGAAGCCCGTCCACGTGTAGGCGGCGGTTGTAGCGATGACGATATGGGAGGCGACGTAGGTCTTGATACCTTAGGAATGCTCACCGGATCTGCCATCGATTGAGACATAGGAACGGCATTCTCCCTCCTCTCGTCTTCGACCACATCATCCTCTCTTCTCGCTACTCTTCTCCTACCGGCTGCACTAGGACGTCCAAAGTAATCTTCACCTGGATTCATATCCATGCCGCCAAAATAATCATACGGGCTATCCTCAGCATCAACCTGGACCTGAGGTGGCGTGCGTAACACTATACGCATAGCCGAAGGTGGACCTCCAGCCCTGCGTTCCAGTTTCTTCACCTTCAACTGTTGTCTAGGATCATCTTCGATGCTAAAGTACGCCCCCTTATGGTGATACGTCGTTTCACCACCGTTCTCGGCAAGACGCGCTCGGGGTACTGCATCATCATCATCATCCTTATCGCTTTCGTCAACGCCAAGGAGGACATCGTGTCTGTACATCCCGCTAAACCCTCTTCCCAGCGCTGGGTTGGGAACATACACCAATTCCACCGGTGCTCCCGAAGCCATCCCACTGTCCTTGGCACCGTCATAGATGTTGCTATACCCTTCGTCACTCCAGCCCTCGTCACCAAAGCCTTCCATCCACAGCTCATTATGTTGTGGATTGCCACTACGATGGTGCCCGGAGAAATGGTGACGCACGCCAAACCCGTCCCAACTCCAGTCATCGCCACCACCACCAATTTTTAACATTGTCGGGGCGATAGGTGCAATTGTGCTGACGGTGTGCGTGGGATGACTCTGCATAGCTTGTTCATGGCCTGGTCCAGAAGTCGAGGTATAGGGAGATAGGGTATTGGCTGGGAGTAAGGATGAAGAGGACGAAGAGGACGAAGAAGACGAAGAGGTGGATGACGGAGGTGCCTTGGGACGGAGAGTCGCTGCTGAGGCGCTGGAAGAGTGACGCCGCCTAGACGCCGTCTTGACATTTCTTCCGGGCTTGGAACCCCGCCTCTGACGCTGCTCACCACCTGATTCTGGAGTTGTCGAATTCGGAGACTCGGCGTTTATCGATGACGAGGTCGATGTAGATGAGGTCGAGGTCGACGAGGACGCATTGGACGCCTTTGATTGCGACCTTTGGCTGGCGGGTGTAGGTGCGGTCGAGACCTGGGTGTGCCTCGAGGGCCGCATTTCGATTATACCATCGTCTTCGTCATCAGAATCGTCCTGAACTTTATTTACGAGGGGATAGGAATAAGCCGTTTGAGGCTGCGAAGATTCAGTTTCTGACTCTGAATCGGTACAGATAGCACATTCATTATCGGCGTACGCATCATCATTGTGTGCTGAAGGATAAGACGGCGACTGAGAATGCCGTTTCTCCCAATGCGACGGAGGATCCTCTTCATCGGACGATGTCTGTGAGGACGCAGAAGAAATCTCGGCATCTTCATCATAACTAGTAAGAAAGTGAGCTTAGAAGGTTATTTCCATAAGAAACATCGAGCGGCGCACCCTCCCTCATCACCCTCTTCGTCTTCGTCGTCATCTTCATAATTCATCTGCCAGTTGACACCCTTTGCTCCTGTCCGGCCATCCCAGCCAGAGCGATTCCCACCGGGTAGAGATACATTGCCCTTCTTGACCTTCTTGGATCGGGAAGACTTGGGCTTATCAATTGCTATGTATTGTTCGACGAAGGTATTGAAAGTGATATGCTTATGCTTCTTCTTTGGCAGAGTCTGATGTGAGGAGCTGTTCGTGTTGGCACTGTTGTTCGCATCGGATCCGGAGACGGGGGAATAGTCGCTGGACCGCAGATGTGCCTGGAAGTAGCCGTTGAGATCGGTGCCGCTGTAGGCGTGGTTTGATGAACGTAATGTGGCGGATATACGGTCTTGGTCTTGAGCGCTAGTGGAGGGTGGGTCGATTCTCGGGGGCGAATCCTTGCGAAATGCACGATCTGGGCCCCAGCGAGTGATGTGAGTGTCGGATTTGGTGTGCCCTAATGGAGGCCGTGATTGATTGCCTACAGAAACGCCGTTTTGAGGTTCCAAGTGTTGGTTAGCGCCTTGTTCGCTGTCGCTCTCCGAGGGGCTGAAGGCCGGACTGTGGGGTAGATCCGAAGTAAGAAACTCGCTAAGGTTGCGGTGTTTCAAAATAGGTTTATGTTTGGGTGAAGACAAGTCAAGATGGTCATTTGGAGTGACAGTCGACTTGCGTGGGGGTGGGGTCCATTCTACCGCTGTGTGTAGAGGGCCATAGAGCCAGGTTACATCTGAATCCTTCAACCTGCGGAGCAGGAAAAAGGAGGGATTGAAAGCGTTGTTAGAGTCCAGGAATAGAAAGAAAGTTGATTGCCGCACCAGTTGAGCGTCTCTGGGGACACTGTCTTGAGCTTGTTCCGCTGTTTCCACCAAGTTCTCCAGCTGGCGTTCTCTAGACGCATTCCGTTGGCAATTTCGTTCTTTTGCCTCGTCATGTTGCGCCACGATTTCCATACGTCCTCTTCTTGCCAGTCGTGGCTTAAGTAGTCAACCTGACCGCGTGGCAGGGTTGATAGAGCAGAGTCGTCTGGCGTCGCATTCGTCGACACCGAAACGAGTAAAACTGGGAGGTAGTTGGCCATGGTGATGGTGGAGGGAGGTAAGGAGAGTCGCTCGTTTCAAGATTTCTGGATTGTATCGGAAACGGATACCGCGATCGACGGGGAAAATTACGCCGACAGAGCGTCACTGTGTCCAAGATCTCGGTAAAGGAAAGACCACCCTTGCCGTGGACGAAACGGGGCAATGTAAACTCGTTGAGGCTGAACAACAAAATAGTGCTGAACAGACTGTTGCCCAATGAAGGTAAAGAAAAGCCCCACTGTGGGTGTTCAGTTTTTGAGGCCGCTCCGAAGGTCCGGTCAGAACACCCGGTGTTACCCGCAGCAAGTGAGTGGCGGCATCACCTCGGCCCGGGAAGAATGTTTCCCCCCCGCAGTGCCTGGAAAGCTCAAATTGAATTTTATTTGATACCCCGCACTACGCTACACCAGAGCAGTCTTCTTGGGCCAACCTAGTAGCAGCCCTGATCCTTCCTGCCAGGGATCATGCAACCACTCCCTTCATATGACCTTTGTCCTTACCCCGCAATCCATTGATCCCATCTCCACGCTATCAGTCAGCTGTCAGCTCACAAGTCAGAAGTGCCTCCATTGTCTATGTGGCATCCTTCTCGATGTTTTATTCAACCTGGGAGGGACTACCTGCTTTCCCAGACTTTTCCCTTTTTCATTCTCTTTCCAGAATATCTCGTCGCTCTCTGCCGACTTGACTCTCATCATATCAGCTGTCCTTATATTCTCACGGGACATATACAATTTTGCGCGGGTGTTATGCTAAAACCTTTCTTACAAGTCTGTGTCTCGAGCCTCGCCACTCTGAAATACCAAAAGCAGTTTCTCCGATCCAAGCTTCCTCTTTTCGCTGCGGCAAGTGGAACAAACGAGCAGTTTTTCTTGATTAGGCATGTCCTTGTGCTTGGGTATTTCAATTCGACGGCCTGAACGGACAAAACTGCAAAATTCACCCCCCGTCTCTTCTGGGCAAATCACGATCTCCTGGCTCCGTCCCCTCAGCCATGTCTCGCGGCGGAAGCGCCTTTATTGAGAAACGCCCACTCGCACTGGGCAACGAAGCTTGATCGTTAATAGCTGATGAAGCTAGAACTTGCGCCCATGCATGTGCATGTTCCGTCCGGGCATGCTCGAGACCGGCTTTCAACAACTTCCAAACACGTTACGAGATCAGTATAGGCAGGCATAGGCCCGGGTGCAGTTGGTAGCCACCGTGACAACAATTTATCAGCTCAGCAATGTCGACGGGCGGTATTTTCACAAAAGTGAGACACACATGACCATCTTCACACCCACACATTCATCATTCGCGTGGTCATTCCTCGTTTCCGCTGATTCTGTGCCGAATCGTAATGCAAATTGAATCCAGTGGATCTATGACGTTTCTAGACGGAACTCCGAGCTAAATTTCCTCCGATCTATCTTTCGGAAGTGGATGGCAACCTGTGACGTAGAGCTCTGCTTTCCTCTACACTAAAATTTCGATATGCGATTTATCACTTCGCACTGGCTGCCTGCTTGTATGATCTCGCCTTAGCTTCATTGCCCGAATAGCCGCCGCCCTATGACTTTCCTCGTGAACATTGTGGGCGAGACTCGTGGGCGGAGGTAGGATATGACATATATCTGATTTTCATCCGCGTTAGACTCGGCTCTTCTCATTGACATCATCACATCCTGAGCCCGATTCGGATGCCGACTCACGGGGGTTAGTCCTTTCAGATGCTTATTTATATCCGTTCTCTCAATTCTGCAAAATTGTAGTCGGGTCCAAAACTGCCAGCTAAGTAAAGATATACTCTATTAATATGTTATTCACAATTTATTGTAATGTGACAGGAATATATCACAGAGCAATGTCCCTGTCTTACCATGCTGGGACAACCATCCTCTGGTCCAAAGAATAGACCTGCATACTGAACCAGGCTCAACGATTCCAGCACGATCTGAATCATTCGCTCATCGTGTTCAAAGTTCGGTGGCTAATACCTTTGAATACTCACATGCCCAGAAGTGCTCACATAATCGATATGTTGTTGCTTCCTCCTGCAAAACTGTCCCCGTATTACACGTCCGCTTGATGTTTTTTTCAGTGCCCTAAAGCTTATATATCATTCTTTGTAGCGGAGATGGAGTCTAGTTTCGATTTTCCTTGCTTCTCCGTTCTTGAAGGCGTGTTTTCCCTGTGACTGATCAACTCTGATTCTATGGACGTGCTTAAGGACGCTGACGAGCGAATCCTATCAACTACTCGCAACGCTATTGGATGAGCCACCTGGGGCGATGCCTTTTCGGTTACTAGAAAAGACCAAGGACGAGAGTCTCTATTTCTTTCAAAGTTCCACAGACTCAGAGGGAAAGCTCCTTAGAATGTGAGTCTGTATCGCTTAATCTAGTCTTTCAAGACCAAGAACCAACACAGGTTACAGCGAAATATCTACTATCTTATCTCTCTTTTTTTGGATGCCCGCTGAGATAGCCCCAACATTGGCTTTGTATCGGTTGTAGAAGTACACGTAAGATGTTGGAGGGTTGCAAGGATAATCGCTGATGATATTCAGGATAGATCGCCTAACTCTCAAATAGTTCGACTCTTAACAACGCTTTCCGGGATTGCACAAACGTGCATAATGTTGTCGTGAGGATGTGAGGACGCTCTCTGCTAATCAAACGCGGATTGCGGACGTATAATGGATATATGAACCTTGGCAACATAGGAACTGGGGCTCAAATTGTAGCTGCATCAGTTTACCGTACAAATGCCAGGTGGTTTGTTGAACATCTCGAGTGTGCAGGCGACTATCTGAAGGAGAACCATGTCGTGAGGCCATGTTTCATGTTTTGGGTGTCGATGACACCAAAGTTGGGGGCAAGGAGCTTCCGACTAGGGTGTATCCCAAGGGAGGATGTTTTGTAAGCGACCTAGATGACAGTAGAACCAGGTCCTCATTTTACTTGTTCCAGCAAGGGTTTGCAAATGAAATTGGCAGGGCGACAAAGAAGGTACTTAAAACTCAAGTAAACTCCTCTGAACCACAAGCATTGACTTTTTTTCAAGGTCATTGATTAGTATAATAGGAAAATTGAGACCTTTTCTCTATGTATACAGTAGGCGCAACTGAACATTTCAACTCTTTATTCTTCTGCACTGGTGTCCCATCGCCCAATCCACAAACTAATGAACCGATTAGTATTCAAAGAGAGAAGATCATAACAAGGACGCTCACTCAAATACGGCCATAGTTGTCCATTTCCTGTTATCCGCCACAGGGAAAACGAGTGAACGGGGACCATAGAAAACCTGGCCGCATGATCGTAAGCGGAAGTAAAAGTGGGCAAAAAGAATACTACCTCATCGTCAACCTCATCGCCTTTCCTCGGCAAACAATGCAAGAACCGCCACCCAGCTTTGGCTCCGCCATCCTCGCACATCGCCTCAGTCACTTGATAGCCAGTGAAGTCCTTCAGACGCTGTGTCTTGGTAGATTCTTGGCCCATTGAAATCCTTCCAGTGCGTCAGTGACAAATTACAAGAAATCTTTGAAAACGAAGAGTACCAGGTGTCAGTAACAACGACATCTGCGCTTTTCACCGCATCCTTCGGGTCTTCGAACCATAATATATTGCCAAACCCATGCTCGCTTTTTTGCTCCGTTATTTGTCCAAATGTCGACCCTTCCAACCGAATTCCAAGTTCCCTGACCTTGGACACCACGGGTTTGGGGGCGCCATACCCCACAGGACTAGCGACGCGCATATTATGCCCCAACCTCGGGTACGTGACAAGCATATCGTGAAGGATGTTCGCCGAGTCGCCAACATAGGCAATGGTCAAAGAAGGGAGTTCTGGCAAGGGGCCCCCAAACTTTTTCGCCTTCTTGCTCTTGGTATATTTGGTTTTCTTATCAGACTCAGTCGATGGTTCGGGTTCGGGTTCCTTCTCTTTGTGTTCAGAAACTGGTTCGGGTGTCGGCATGGGCTTTTCTGCGAGGGATTCGGGGGTAAAAAGGTGAGCATGTTCGTGTAGTGTTAGCAGGTCGGCCAATACTTGGGTGGGATGCCATAGGTCAGAGAGGGCATTAATCACGGGAACCGGGGAGTATTTTGCGAGTTCCTAATGGTAAATGGTGAAAAGAAGAGGAACAAGTTCGGCATATCGTGACTCGCCTCAACTTCGTGGTGTCCGCCAACACGCGCGAAGATGCCCTGGCACATTCCCCCGATAACTCGCGCAGAGTCCCTTACACTTTCTCCTCCACCTTCTCCCTTATTCCAGCTAATTTGAATATCATCCTTCCCCAAGAACAACGCCTTCCCGCCGAGCATGGCCGCGCTTGTCTCAGCCGCGACCCGCGTTCGCGTGCTCCGTTTTGAGAACATCATCGCGACAGTCTTGCTGAAGAGACTCTGACTTGGTAGACGGAGGTTCCGAGAAGCATTGTTTTTTCCTTTTTCATGGGGTGCTAACCAAGGGAGCGCAAGGTGTTTCTGATAGTGCGAGTGGGAGATGAGACGACGGATTTGTGGCACTGAGAGGTCGGCAAGCGTTAACAGATGTGGTGGAGGCATTGCGAGGCAACCGTAGATAGGCGCGACAGTCTGAAGTTCAGCTTTGTTGTTATCTGAGGTGAGTCAAGGCAAGAAACTGCGAAATTTTTGACCACTGACACTCGGCCCGGTTTAGCCTTTGGTTGTGGCTGTGCTCATAGAGACGCTTCTCCCGCGCCTATACAAATACCTATACCAATACCTTAGGACCTCCCTGGCGTACAATTGCTAGTATCTGAGACTAAACCGAGAATTAGTACCTACTTGACATGCAATGTGTGTCGGACGATACTAAGGGAACGGTGACAGTCCTCTAAGCGCAGAAACAACCCTGCAGCCGGTACGGTGACTGATTTCTTTTCAGGCAGGCAAACAGAAATTCGACTAGACTAGTCCTCTTTAGCTGTATCGCGCCGGCAATATAACCTCGGCTACATTCCCCAGTCCCCTTCGCATGTCCATTGCTGGAACATTTCGATGTGACACCGTGGTCTTATGCTCAAAAATTGCCAGTTCCATGCCTGCCATAGGCCTTGGTCTTGCACTCGCATGTGAGTCCAAGATATGGTTTGATAGAATGAACTTGTATCTTTGTATAAATATCCTCTATCTGACTGGTACTAGAGCACGCCTTACTTTCATCGACCCTTGTTTCACTTCCTTTCTTCTCTACTGGTCTCTACAGTGTCGGCAGTTGTTGAGGCATTCTTATCTCTCTTCGCACTGTCGATCGCTCCAAAATCGTCTCCTAATTACCTGTTGTTTTCCATCGAACAAGATTGATGGACGGACTGGTCTTGCACGACTTCAAAGAATCTGTTTCCTTACAACGTCTTTGATGATCTAAAAAACTCTTACCGGGGCACCATCTGACATCAGAAATAGAGCTGGCAGTGAGGGTCATACTAATCCTAATCCCAATGCTAACGTCAAATTAAACATCACTGGGCGATTTGTGTATTCATACTCACATCCAAAGACTTGCAGTTTTCAGAAACATTCTTTCCTGACATCTTTGCGACGGTTCCTTGTCTTGATACTATCGCAAGCTAGTTAGTTCTAGAAGCCATGACTATTACCGTCGCCGATGGTCCGCTTTCCTCCGTCTGCTACGATTTCAGGTTTGCCCATATCCTAGACGTGGCCATACTCAGGTAGTGGGGGTTGCCAATAGACATTTTCGTGGTACCGGTTACACTTTTTACACAGATGGTGTTCTTGTCTGTGCTGTCCTCATCGGTTCTCAAGCATATCTGGAAGGCAAACCAACCCCCGTTCGAGTATTCATCTGCATCTCTGTCTCTCAGGGAACGGTCAGCTCCCGACGACTATGCAGGTCAAAAAATTAGCAATTGGGTCGGTTATCATTATCTGATCAACGATTTCAGTCGCGTAGATGACGATTCGTGGCTAAGCTGGGGGGGGGAGGGTCAGATGTATGAAACGAGCGATGCGTGAATACAAAGATTGAGACTACTCAGGTGGCATCCAGATCGTATATCATTGAAACGGAAGTCGTTTTCCTCTCCTTCAAATTTAAAGGTTGTCCGTCTGTACCGCACGGGTGTCAATTTTTTTGTTCGCGATGTTCCCTAAATACCTTTGTGCTTTGTCCGCGATATGCATTAAGGATATAGTCAAGGATGTTTAAACAAGAACAAGCCAGTGTTGGATTAGCAAGCAGGAGCTCCGTCGTATCCCGCCGGCCAAGCTCGATACCCCTTTATGTCGGGATGGACTATATATATTGAATACGGTCTGTCGAGCACCCTCACCGCGTTTCTGCTTATCGCTACGCTGTGTGAGGGTGAGTATCTACTTATATTACTTCATTTATGTCACTGATTGGTACTCTGTAGTCTACGTTATAGCTAACAGCATAATCTATTAGGTACAGTGAATACAACACCGCGTTTCTGCTTATCGCTACGCTGTGTGAGGTCTACGTTATAGCTAACAGCATAATCTATTAGGTGCTACAAACGCGCGTCACTTTCTTAGAGCCAGCCAGAACGCAACCCCTAGGGCATGATAAGATAAATGAGGTATTTCCAACCTCGGCGTGTGCACTATGGATTATACACAGTGGAATCCACCAACGAAAACTTAATTCAAGTCCAAGTCAACAGAAGGCCATACGAGTCATGGCCAAGTGGAGAAGCCTAAGCTTAGTGCAGAGGCTGGCATACTTTAAAAATGGACCTTCAACTAGGCCGTCTTAGTATGTACTTGGAAGATACTATACATTGAAGCTCAGAACATCAGTATCACGATGTCCCTCCACATCATGATACTGTTGGTTTTCCAAATTCGCCGCACATCCGTTATCATCCCCTATGATACCATTTCCCTTATCGTAGTTACAGGAGTATAAGTAGAGTACCCCCTTTAACTTTTCCTGATTGTCACTCATTCTTACTTACCTTATATACATATATCACCTCCTGTCCTTACTTGATCACTATAAAGCTTCACAGTAGTTATCTGTGTATCTGAGTCATTTCACTATTGCACCCGGCTGAGATGCATATATCTTACAGTGCTTGAAATCGAGCCCCTCGCGCGTTTGTGCCCTGCTAATCCGGAGTTCCCGCTCTCTTGAGTACAGCATCTACTGTAAGTGGTCAGCGTGATGTGACACATCATGTGATGTTCAGTGCTGTGTGACTCAACGCGCTTCACGTGATCTGATGCACTCGTTGATCTTAAAATGGAAACTACGTGGGCAGAACACTGCAGCCACTGTACCCTACACACTCGCCGTCTTGCCGCTCTTCTGTCTGTTCTCTACCACGCGATTCTGAGTAATCGTATATTCTTCTCCGCTATTGTTCAGCTACAGTTCAAAAAAGAATGGCAGCTATGCAGCTGGAGACGCCTTCCCGAATCTGGCGAAGAATAGAAGCTGTGGAGGACCGGGACATGCCCTCGCTCCCCTCAATACCTGGATTTGATGACTCTGATGGGTCCATTGAGGCACACACGCCAACTGACGACCTCAGTGTGTCCGACGTGCATGTTGGTACTCCGATGCATTCCACTCCGGCTCTGTCTTCCCATCACACGTCAACGTCTCGTAACCCTTCAAGTGTATCCAGTACGGCTCGTTTTGCTCATTCATTCGCACGTTCGGCACATTCATCAGCTGCGATATCGGCGCCTCGAGGAACAAAGACAAATGCCTCGTACAGTTTCGATGTCAGTGCAATACCTTCGCTGCCAGATGTTCGTGCCGAAAGTGGGATCGGATATATTTCAGATGAAGGGGAGAAAGAGGAGGAGGAGGGGGAGGAGGAGGAAGGAATTTTGAGGCAAAGCAAAGATAGCGTTCCCGACGTGTATCTGCCTCCGGATTACGCGGATGGCGATGAGGAACAGGACGCATCTATTTCTGAGGCTCTTCAGTCAACTAGTCGCTCGAGCTCTCCCTTTTCTGAACAGGTTCAGCCTACTCCGAAGAAAAATTACGACTATGTGGTCCCACTCAGATCTGAGCCAAAGGTACGACTTTCCACGAATTCGCTGAAATGCAACGCTCATGTACAGATAGCCTTCCCCCCTTGATCCATACCGGAACATTTCTATGCGTCGGCCTCTTGCACGAACGCGCACTCCTTCACTATCACAAACTACCCTCTCCCCAGCATCCTCCCCGCCTAATTCTACGCCTCATAGCACTAAGTCTGTGTCTATCAATCGTTCAATGGCAGAGTCGCCAATTCGCGGAACGTCGGTCCCTTTGCCACCTTCTCATGCTGGTTCTCCCGCCGCCGCCTCTATGGAATATAGTGGCAGTCGATCACAACAGGACCTATCCCTACGTGAATCTGATTGCCAGTCATCTATGGATATTACGGAGTCGCATATATCGCCGATCAAGGATCTTCAGGCTGAGGGGCAAGATCAATCATTCACGTCGTCTAACCAGGTAGGAATGGCCAGTGATCATGGAGAACACGAGCCGACTTTTTCATCTGATGGTGACGACACTTCCTCCCCCCCTCAGAACTCCCAAAAGCCCCCTGACCATAAGTCTCTGGCACCTATGTCTAGCGCCTTTTCTTCCCCAGCTCAATCATTTGCTTTCACACCAACTCCTGCTTTCTCCCGACCACGGGCACGGTTCAACCTCCCTCCTCCACCTTCCGATCTTCTTGCCACACCCAAACCGGAGGAAACAGACCCTTCAGAGCTGGGTGAAGCTGAGCCGCTGACCCCTCATACGCGCCGAAAATCGTTTCTGTTGTCCATCGTAAACTCTACAATTCGGCCCCGACTTAAGTTGCCTACTCCTCACCCACGGACTGTTATACCTCCTACCCCGAGTATCGCTGAAACGTTGACGGAACCTGTAGACGGACCTATGCCTGCGGTAAACCTTCGAACTGCGTTTGCTGGTGCTACGCCTCGTCCTCGAATAAACGCAGGAAGGCCATCCCATCCGCTGGCCCAGGCATATACAGCGACAACAGGTTCAGAAGATTCAGAATCCAGCTCTATTAGCAGCATAGCTGCGCCGAAAGTTGCTACGCGCCGAGCTTCTATGGGAGTTGCGCTTCAGAGTCCTGCGTATGATGGCTCCGCAGATCGAGCTTCCTTCATATCAACTGCATCGTCGCATGATCTGACCACTCATGTTCGTGCCAACACTTCTTTCGATCCTGCTATGGGATTCGGAATTGGTGCACAGGCTAACGGAAGGTTCAATGCTGGCAAGCTCAATACGTACTTGCATGGATTGAATAGGCGGTTGCAGGAAGAGAATGAAGCTCTTATCGAACGTCTGCGACGCCTTGAGGAAGGGAAAAAAGGCGGCGCCGAAACAGAAAGTCCTTCTGAAGACGGTACTATTCCCTCTGACAGGCGGTTGAGTGGTGGAAGCAGCAGACGGATTAGTGCAGGGGCGACTGTATTGGGTGATGTCCAAGAAGATGTTGGGGGTGAAGGCTGGATAGAGGAGAAGGTAGTGTTGGAAGAAATGATCGAGTCGTTCAAAGAAGAGATTGAAAAGAACATGTTGGAGAAAGAAGAGCTTGAAAAGGTGCTTGATGACGAACAACAAGGACGATCCAGAGATAAGGCACGGTGGAAGGAGCGTATGGTAGAGGTGGAGTGTGGTGTGGAGGCTATCGTCAAAGGCCTCGAGCAGAAATTACAAGACGCCGAGACGCGAGCTCAGACCTCACAGGAAGCCCTCATTCGGATGAACGAACTGGAAAGACAGCTAGAGATGGTCTCTGCGGAACGAGATCTAGCTACAGAGAGAGCGGAGAAGTCGGAGAAGGTGCTGGAGAGCGGCAAGGAGTTGGGTGGGGAACTTAAAGAGGCAAATGACCGAATCAATGAACTCAGGAGCGACCTTCGAATCTCCAACATTCAAATCAAAGAGCTAGAGCAGGAGGTCTTACGCTCTGACGAGAGAATTGATGTACTCGAGAAGGACTCCCGGGAAGAGAAGAATGCTGTGCAGGAGATAGAGAAAGAGTTGTCCAACAAGATGGGTGAGCTGGATGCCCAGAAGAGGACGATTCAAAACTTACGAGGGGAGCTGAAGGCGCTGACAACTGAGCTGCAAACAACGAAATTATACGTTTCTGAACTCGAATCAGATGCAGATGCAGCGGCTGACCGTCTGGAAGCCCTTGAGCTCGAGGTCACCAGCGCTAACGACCAGGTCAAGGGACTCCAGGCTGAGGCCGAAGAGACTACGCAGCGATTAGAATCTTTGGAGGTTGAAGCCCAACAGGATAAGGAGCTTGCTCGTCAGATGGAAGAAGCCCTCGATGCTGCAGAGCACAAGATGGCCGCCGATGATCAAGAGCTATCCCAGCTCAAATCTCGGCTATTGATGCTGCAACGCGAGCGGGAACGCTCGATGGAAACCAGCAGTCGTAGTGTAGATCCTTCCCGAGAAATCATCTCGCCTGTGAACACCGCCGACATCGAGGCACTAGAGGAGGAACTCGACAACGCCCACCGGGAGATCGCCCGCCTCAACACGGTTCTCAGTGCTTCTCCTGCTCGAAAAGCGATAGAAAAAGCGAAGGACGTGAAGATTGATATGTTGGAGAAGGAGAATGAGGCGCTGTCCGAGAGAATCAAGGCATTGAAGATTGCTTCTACCAGCTTCAATACTCCAGGCAGGATCATTAGCAACAGTGGCATCTCTCCCATTCACCGCCGCGTTCTGTCTATGTCATTCAAGACGCCACGAACGCCTGGTACCCCGCTCAAGGAGGCAAGTCTCAGCCTGGCCTTCTGTCGAGAATGCAATGTATTGAACCCTATTCTAGATGTCATGGTTAAACAGCCAGACTGGTGATGCAGATCATATTGTCTCGCCACTAATTGCAGAAATATCGCGACTGCAATACGAACTCGACATCGCTAATGAGAGCATCGACGACAAGTTGGACAAGCTGGAAGACGCTGGTTTGGGCGTCGTCGGGCTTACTCAAAAACTGGAAGATGCTCGTGCCAGAATAGTAGCTTTGGAAGATGAGATTTCTCGTCTTATCAGGAAGGAGGAACGCCGAATGAGACGCCTTGAAAAGGCGCGATGCCGAAAGTGTATGACAAAAGTCAACTTCAACTTCGGGCTTTCCGAAGATAATGATAGGTGCGCAAGCCGAAATGTGGTTGTTCATTGGTTGACTGTTTTACTCAGCTCTCTGGAAATCTCTCATCCCAGTCTTGCTTCAGAACCGCCAACCCCCCCTACGAAGACAAGCGAGGTTCTTCGTGCGAATTTGAAATCCTTGAATTCGCAGCTATCTTCCATGAAGAAACAATGGTATCAAGAGCGCGAGCAGTTACAGGGCGAGAAGGTCGTGCTTCAAGATGTTACCAACCGTTTGAATGATGAAATTCGACAGGCGAAGGAGGAGGCCACGAAGATTTCTCAGACAGAGAAGGCTGGCCAAAAGATCCGTTCGGACGTTCAAGCTGTGAGTAGTATCCTTCAATTACATTCGATGCTGCTTAGAGTAATTTAAACTAGGACTTGGACAAGGCAAAAAGGACGATCTCTGAGCTTGAGGCTGAACTTAAATCCGAGCGAGCACAGCTTCGTATGCTTGCGGTTGAGCAGGCTCGGGTTGGTCATGAGCGAGACAACATCATATTACAGCTTCAACGAACAGAGACGGTACGTATATCGGCATGCTGCCGATACAGATTAGCAATCTAATATACGTGACCAGGACATGGAGGACGTCCGACAGCACTTGCAAAAATACAAGAAAGAAAATCATGATATGGAAACCGAATTGCGACGTATGTATTTCGGTACTGTCTAGACCCACTTTAGTAATAACCTCCTTCCAGAGAACGCAAATGCCGAGCAAAAGGCGAGGCTGTTGGAGAATCGAGTTACCGAGAACACCGAGACGATTGAGCAGCTACGACAAGAACGAGCGCTCTTGGTTGCTGATCACAAAGCCCTTCAAACACGCTTCTCTGAAATATCCGAGGTTAGTCCAACATGAAAATGTTAATGAGCTAATTCATCGTAATTTGTTAGCATGCGAACCGACTGCGCGACGAACATGCTGCGTCCCAAATATCGCACGACAATCGCATACAGCAGCTCGACCTCCACATGACAGAAATCGACGATCTTCGTCGTGCTCTGTCAAACCAAGGCGAAGAACTACAAAGAGTCGAGACCGAGAAGAATCGCATATCCGCAGAACGCAGCGAGGTCTCCCGGACGGTCGCCGTTCTAGAGGCTGATTTGAAGCGGGTGAAACAGGACGCGGAGGCCTTTGGTCGCGATTTGAAATTGCTTCGGAGTGAGAAGGATCGGGCGGAGGCGAAGCAGAAGGACGAGTTGGCCAGAGCGGAGAGGGCGAAGAAGCAGGCGCAGACACAAGTGCGATTGTTGACTGAACAGCTAGATGCACAAAAAGCGAAGGTTGCACGTGCAAAGGAACAGATGGAGCAACATGCTTGTACGATGTATGTGCTCATTGAAACCCTCCCCGCACAGATACTCATGACTTCTTTCAGAGATGAGCAGCAACTATCGGCAATTAAGCTCCAGCACAACAAGGAGTGCAAAGGCTTGATTGTCCAGATTCGATACCTCAAGGCGAAGTACATCCGCGAGTCAAATATGCGTCTCGATTTGGTGTATCAAAAACAGTACCTGATGATACTTCTGGGAAAGATGGAGAACAGGTACGTAAAGCCCTCCTGTTCCAAAAATTGTAGTAGATTGATCCTTACGATTATCGCGAAGTGAGAAAACCATATTTGCGGCTATTTCACGGATTGGTTTCCCTGTGGAGCCGCCTTCACCTCCAGCGAAACATCGGAAGTTCAAGACTATCGCACAGATGCTTGTATTTTTGTCCCGAGTGAGGTAAGTGGCGTACAGAACGACAGGAGGTTTCGAGCTGATAGACGATGTTTGTTTTATAGACGTGCCAGTGCTGAATGGCAAAAACAGTGCGAGTCTAAAGAAGCCATTGCTGCTGCGTTGCAAGACATGCGGAGACGGCGAGATTCTAAACCGTCCTAGTCATAATCTACCATTTTCCATTTTAATCTTTGTCAATGCAGTGTATCATTTCTGTATTGCTATCAGTAAATCGCTTGTTATATATTGTATGAATAGTATTATAATTTCCCACCTGAAGGAAGATATCAACAAGGCGACGCCATTATAGGTTTTGTAGATAGGAATCAGCGCTTTTTCCGCGCTAGTCGCTTTGCGTTGAGGACACGGTAGGCACGCGGAGAAAAAACGTATGAAAGTCCACTCCATATTGTCGTCGCGACAACAGTCCACCTAATCAGCCTTAGCAACATTGTTCGGTAGCAAAAACAAACAGTGAACTGACTGTAACCCCGTCAGTGCGAGATCAACGGTAAGCTGTTGGCCGAGTAACGCGAGCCCTGCTTCTGGTGGAACCAGCTGGCCCACAGTCGTAGCGCCCATCAAGAGGAGTTGCAATGCCGTGTTGATCTTCGCAGGAATGAGCACAAATACCTCGTCGAAAGGCAATGATATACCTTGCTGATTTCGGTGGGACGAACTTCAGCTGAAGGGATGGAGAAATCCCAATACCGCGAGAACGTTTTCTAAGACATAATGCAGTTGAATCATTCGTGGAAAATTGGACGCATACGGGAGGGGGTAAAGATGTATATCGTATCTTGAATGCGGCCAGTACAAGGAGCACATCCCGTCCGAGTATTACCACTGCTACAGGTACTGCACCCGTCATGGTGAGGCATTCAATATGTGCATATATATAAAGGTGACACACCAGGTAAACATCCTTTCATCGCCAAAGTTACCGTCAGCGTCGTCATCAGCGCTTTGTCTGCAGCAGGATCAAGAATCGTTCCCAAGACCGAATTCATTTTGAAACGACGCGCCAAATACCCATCAGCCTATCAATGTCAGTTGTGGAGAGAATACAGGAAGGATACCCCATGAGGACAGACCAAGTCGGTGAGGCCGGCGTAGACCAGCAAACCTGTTGCAAGCTTGAAATTGCTGTTCAATATTGACCAGCCAAGAACTGGACATGCTAGGATACGCGAGACTGTTAGGGCATTCGGCAACGTGTAGATGTTCTCCCGTATCGTCTCTCGGATTGTACGAGATTTTGGAGTTGGGGGATGGTGTTGATGGTGTAGAGAAGGTTGAACAGAAAACGGTCGGTTCCGAACGCAGCCTTGGAAACGGTGGCCTCTACTTCGAAAAAAACGACGAAGAGAAGCATTCAGAAGCGAGGACGGAGGCTGGTATACAGAAGAATGAAATATTGAGGCCATTTGTCGCGGTGGTTTTTTCAGGAAATGATGACGTCAAATTTTTTACGAAGGAGGAACATTCGGAATCGAAGATACAACTTCAAACTGTTCCAAAATGAAGGGAGCATTACACATGTACACGACCGGCCACTATACTTTATAACGAAATTTAGGATGCAAGTAGCCCAATTGCTCAATCTCCTCTGCACTCTTCCCCTCCAGTCTGTAATCCCTTTCTCCTCTTTCTCTCTTCGCGTTCTCCCATCTGATATACAACGCGCCAATGATCACAAGGACAGAGGCAATACTGCTGGTGACGAGGTTGAGAGTGTTGCCATTGTGATAATCGGGTGCATCGGCGGGTAAGTAGGTCCACACACTGACACCGGCCGATATGAACCAATGAGTAGTTAGTTACTCTCACAGTGGAACTCACCCAATAATAGATCCTAGCGCACCAATACCTAGAAAAATGACTGTCAGTAAACATGATTGTGAAATAGTGTGGGATTCGCAAACCAGGGATTAAGGCTGTAGCGACTGCACGTATGGTATCAGGTGCAGCGTTATCCGTTCCCCACGTCAGAATCACAGGTCCTGAAGTAGTCCCCCCTGCAATAGATACAAAGCATGCTGCATATCTAGAGAAATTCGATAACTGAGAGATTGTTCAAGACATCCTGGCAGGCAACGCCCTACCTCGCGTGAGGATTTTTGGTCCCAATGGAGATAGCATATCCCAATACTATCAACAATGTCGAGAATAAAATGGGAATTGCCCGCTGGTTCTTTCGGTAGCAAAAATATGCGTTAAGTAGGATCCATACCGCACCTAGGGCATAGGGCGGGACCGTGCGCAATTGGGTCTGAACCGTAGCTGCCAACTCAGTCAGAAGCTATTCTGGGCTTTCTTTCTAGAGAAAGCATGTCATACTGTATTTCCCCACTAGAAACGCTATCAATATGTATAACATAGAGGAGCAATTGACCACGAACATGTAGCAATGACCGTGGGCATGAACAGGCTTAACCCCTGGAAAGATATATTGATCATCAAGTAGCAGATTGAACATATCATAGTCTGTCGCAAATTCATCAGAAGGCAGCAAAAGAGACTAAAACGGAGTTGACATTAAAATTAAAGGCCCTCCATATGAGCTTCAAAGTCGTTTTCTCTCTTATCGCCCCCACTCGCGTAGCTTGGTCTGCGTCAATCCGTGCAAGTGCCAAGGTGCGTTCCTGAGGTTTCAGCATCCGAGTATGTTGCGGGTCCGCAGGCAGTATGATGAAACACAAAAGGCCAAATCCCGTGGTAATGATGCCCTCAACAAGAAAGATCTTCCGCCATGACTTGACCGTTCCCACGTCTTTTACAGACAGGAGACCGGAGGCAAGTAGTCCACCGACTGGCATCAAGATACTCAGTCAGGTGCAGCGGCCCTAACAAAGAAACCTACATGCGCCCGCAAGGCTAGTGGATACACCAAAGAAGGTCCCAAGTCGCAGCACGAGCTCAGAGCGTCGATAGTACTAGAGGAGATTTGACATGGGCTGGAGCCAAGCAACCTGGAACGAACCGGAGTACTTACTCTTGACATGATATAAGTTAACCCTGACTGCCATGCAAAATGAAAGATAAAGGAACGCGAATCAGGATAGTATCGTACCAAGGTACCACCCTCAGCTATACCGAGGAAAACTCTGGTTACAATAAGACCAGCAAACGATTTGACGAACGCCGTGCCGATTGAAACGATTCCAAAACCAGTTACCAGGCCGGCGAGCCACACAGAACCGAAATGCTTGAGCGCGAGGTTGGACGGGATTTCGGCGGAGACGTACTGGATATTTCTATTAGATAGGGTACTTGGAGGAAAAGGGGAACGCACAAAGATGTAGAATACCGTCAGTGCAATGTTGAAGTCGAATCCTTGCAAATTTAAATCCTTTTCAAGACCTGGAACGAGACGACGTTCAGACGTTGCACCGATTTGGCAAAGGAGACGAGACTCACCAGCAATCTTAGCGTTTCCTGACATAAGAAAGGTATCATCTTCTTGATCATAAGCGATCTAAAAAAATCGCATACCTATCGCAGTCCTGTATGCTCCGTCAACGCAAGTTTAGATCTTTTCATAGAAAGCCAGATTGGCTACCTGTCAATGAAATTCATGCAATCTAATCAAATTTTAAGTAAAATGACACCCGGGCAAAACCAAAAAAAAAAAAAAAACTCACAGATAAGCGTAAAGATTGGTAGCAGGACCCAATCCAACTTCTTGAGAAGTTGTTTCTCTGCATTCGGGTCAATGGCATACTCGACAACGGTGTCTTGCTCGGTCTTATATACCCCTCTTTCCTTCGACATGGAGGGCAAGATAACGGGAACAAAAGATCATTAAGAAATGTGTTTTTGAGGACGTCCGGTGGGATCCCGTGCCAATCCCCGAATTAGAACAACATTCTAGGTCTGAAAAAAATAATCCATAGGGAGTAAGTAAAATGGAAATGGGGTCTTATGATCGCTCGTCAGAAAACGTGAAGATCTGATAGAATACTATCGCCAGTCTCGGTAGGGCGCGCCTGTAGGGAGCATTGAATGGAATACCACATAATACTAGTATCTGTCGCCAGCGAACCTCCTTCGGAGTCTGTTTGGACTCTTTCGAGGTGCGATCTATGTCAAAGAACGTTTCGGCGTTTGCTAAGCGCTCTGGATTGGGCTGAGTAGTTAGAAGGTACAATGCAATGTTGTCTCCACGCTCCGTTCTTTGCGGCGAAACTGGACTGGCGCGATGCATGCTTGCAGCTTGAACGTTATGAACTCTTGACCGGACCTTCGCAGTTAGTGTATATTCCTGCCAATTATTAATGGGACCACATACCGATTTTCTAAACTCTTTAAGCTACCCTATGAAGCAAAATAACAGTTTCATTGGTGAATTCTCTTCCAGAAACAAAGCGTAACGACTAAATAAATCTTATTAAAGTTACATTATCTTTAGACAAGTATTTTGTAGTCTGGTTCGAGATAGCTGCAAGGGTTCGACAAGAGAAAAATCTAAACAAGTTCTTCCCGACCGAATTGGTTAACAGCAAGTACCCTCTTTCAGCATTATGCTCAATCCTTGATGCCATAGCGTTCCCAATATACCTTCATGCCGTCCAGTTCCAGCGTCTTTCCTTCACTCTCGAGCCACCCCATTAAATCTCGCATCCTGAGTATCGCGCGCACTTTTCCGCGTCCTACTATTTCTTCTACTTCCCGGACTGTGCTCGTTCCTTCCTCTCGTCCGACCTCTTCCCTATCAAGACACTGCACGACGCCGACCACTTCACCACCAGCACTCCGTACGGCATCGATGGCACCCCGAATAGCCTTTCCGGATGTCATAACGTCGTCCACGATGACCACCTTCTTTCCCGCCATTGGAACTCCGACAAGCATCCCGCCCTCGCCGTGATCCTTGACCTCCTTTCGATCATAGGCCATACCGACATCCCGTCCGTACTTGTCGAACAGCTTGACAACCGTAATTGCACCCAAGGGTATTCCCTTATACGCCGGGCCAAATAATATGTCGAAATCACCCACATTAGCGAGGGTATCTGCGAGAGCAGTGGCCAAGACAGACAAGGTGGAACCCGACGAGAGCAGCGAGGAGTTAAAGAAGTAGGGTGACTGCCGTCCGGATTTGAGCGTGAACGAACCGAATTTCAAGGCGCCCACGGACATTGCATGACTGATTAGACTCGCTTGGGAAGGGCTGAGTGTGGCGGCCATCGTCGGTAGTGGTCGTCAAAGTGGCGAAATTTTGCGATCGACCCGAAGATCTGAATCTCTGTCAGGAACACAGCCACATTTTAGCCCTGGACAGGACGACTGGCTATTCATCCCATCTTCTCCGCGTTCCTTTCCCTGTAACTTACTCTTGCCTTGATACCGGGACTTTTTTTTTTAAAGTAGCTTCCTTGCTGATGAATAACAACGATCAACCCCGTCATCTTCGTTTGAATGGGCACTAGTATCCGAGGCCAACAAACAGCGCGGCCTTCCCTCCTCACCAATCTTTCTGATCAACTACGGTCCGAACTAGGCGCGGTTGTAATCTTCTGTCTTGCTGTGGCGACCGAGAAGGTGCTTGCCTCCGAGGATTTGCATCAGCCTTGAAGCTTGCAAATCATCAGCTTTCCACCGCGCTTCTATTGACAAAATGTTATATGCATGCATGCGGCGTGTGTATGGAAGGATTTCACTGTGCATACCGTATACTTACTTACTGAAATACCCCGAGTCTTACGTCCGTGTGTCCATAAATCAAAATCGGCCCCAAACCCTGGAACGGCTTCGTCGATGATCCTCAAAGGTAGCCCGGGCGATTGCTGCTCCTTTGGTACTTCAGTCCTGGTATCTAAGATCTTTTAATTAGGTTTTTGCTCGAATTGAGCGGCCTGTGGGGTGATGCGATGTATCTTTGTCTATTCCTCGGAATTGACTTGCCGCGGCTATCCAGGGTTACCGGGGATTTATTTTCCTTGGCGTCGCGTCTTTACATACAGGCACTAATTTCACTGGTTTTGATTCATGAACATACGAAACAGCTCGTTGGAGAGAACAAGTCGTGTTGCGGCTCTGGATGCTATCGACAGTACTTGCTCGTACACCAGGTGTAAACCTTGATAGATCGGTGTCAAGTTAATCACATAACTTGCCGTAACGGAACTTTCTCGTCAGTAAATGACAGGGCGAACGACGGATTATGTCCTGACGTTGCAACATCAGAGTTCTACCGGAATATCCAACTAAGGCCAACATATGTTTCTCATTAACATGGCGATGATATCGCACTGGATTGAACCGTTGACGGCGACTACGTCGCAAAACATTTATTTCCTCGGGCCTCCTCCAAGTGATGGTTCCGATTTCCGCTGTCCCGCTTGAGGTTCTCGCACCCGCGTACACGACCGCGCCGGGGATAGATATTGCTGTAGGAAAAATTCTCAGTGACAGATAGCACGGTCGGTGTTTTGGGGGTTGGCGTGAAACGCACATGCGATATCTGTGGCCGATGGAACCCAGGAAAGCTGACCATCGTATCCTGCCTCGATCGTGCGTAGGAACGAGCTTCGGGGCCGAGGGGGACAGGCGCCGTGTACCTATTACAAGCGGTAAGGTTTGTACCCGTTCCACTTCAAGTCACCCGTATCGACCGAAAACGATATCACTAAGCCACATACAATCAACATTATTGTAGCCGACAGCAATCCCCCTCCTAAGAGACTCTAGCGGCATCACCAGCATTTCTATTCTGGTATGACCACAAGTCATCCTCGAAAACCTTAAACATGAATTCAAGGTCAAATTCACTCCGAACACGTTAGCCGCGGAAAAAAACAACAGCAAGGCGTCACTGACGTACGCAACAAAGTCAGCTGTCTTTATAGAATTCAGCAGACTGGAGAGAGTGACGTCGAGTTCTCAACTTGGCTCCTCTGATAGGTCCTTTCGTATCGAGGAATCAGTCTCAAATCCGATAGCCGTGGGCGACCAAGAACACCCGCACTATATGTTCAACGGTTGACATTTTGTACCGGTTAACCAGTGTCAAAGGAGCGAAATTGTGAAAGAAGAATAGAGGCAATTCAGCCACCAACAACACAAGGTAATTCTATGAAGACTCGGTCTGATTTATCAAAGGAAGACACTAGTCCACAACACGTCCTGCAGGAAAGATCTCAAGGTACAGCACCTCTACTGGATCAGAATAAAGCGCAGACCGTGGCAAAATAGAGGGACCTGATTCGATCGGAATGTGTTGTAGATGGGAAAATTCGGTACCACATGAACTCGCCAAAACTGTTTGCCATTTCTCCGTCATTCGTAGGAAAAACACGCACCCAATGATTAAACAGCATCAAAAAGAACGTTCGAAAGCCTTGGGGTTTGCCATTTGGACAGACAGGAAAGCCATTTGAAGCAAGATCGTCCCTGAGCCTTAAAAAGAATTCGAATGGGTGAACAACGCCTAGATAAATTCAAACAACGGTGGTAGATCAAGCGACAGACCAGCCAAAGTCGAGTATCTCCTAACTTCGTGAGGCGGCCTGACACGGACTAAGCTCAGTCATAGTTGCGTCGGGCTTGCTCAGCCATACGCGCGACCAGCTGAGAATCCACATGGGGATTCCCTCTAAAAACACTCCGCTGCAGTTCCAGAAATAAAGCATCACCTGGGCGTAAATCATGAGGGATAATTCCGAAAGAATCCAGCAGAACAGCGAAGATGCCTCATGCATCATCACGTTAGGCGGAGAAAACCAGTGACCCACTTTCCGCAGCGCTGTTCTCACTTCTCAGAGAAGTCTAGCTGAAGACGAAGCGCGTTCGATGTAATTTTACTGGCAATAGAATATGCGGAGAGATAAGCAAATCCCACAAGTTATAAGTGAAAGATGATACAGCAGGATGGTTCTGATGGGAGACCCATTCTTTAATTATATGTCAAGAGATTCACAAGATCTGGACAAGATTGATCAGGGTCTAACGTCTAACAGCGGTTTGATGTCTGACAACATTCGGACAGGCCAGGAAGGACGTCTACATGGACGAAAAGCGTAGATTCAGATCAAGGTCGGAGTCCTAGACAAGTACAGTCGCACAATGCGATGATATCTTTGCCAGTGTTTCACTCGAGGTCATCACGAAAAAAGCCTAGCTGTGTGGGTAGTCTTGACGGTCATGCGCCGATTCCGGGAAAACTGAGAAACCCCAGCGAAAGGCACCGGATATTGCGAACAGTTGATACCGGCAAGGCCGACATCCAATGCATCCGCCCCTCCTTGCTTCTTGGATTCGATTTCATCAAGCTTCGCAGAGCACCATGATTTCCTCGGATGTTTCATTTTGATGCGATAACTAATCATTGGGAGCAATCCTGTCGGAAGATTATAGCCATAGATACCAGAGAGCCTTCTTTAATGTACGAAATGTGAGGTTGAGAGCTAGAAGACTCGAGACCTTGGAGGTAAATACGAGAGGGGGTGGGGGGAGCAAAGACGGCTACAGACGCCACCTTGATCCGATCAATATTCCGGAATTTTTTTCCGCGCACCGCATGCGGAAGACAATATAATATATAGATAAAGTTCATATGTGGATACTGTGCAAGAATAAGTAAATACTATTGAGCGGTGATGTATCGAGAGATGCTGGTTATACAGATGACATGCAGTGTGTAATGATATATGAGGATGGTATAGTTATGAACAACTTGGCGCTTCAAAAATTTCAATACAGAACATACAAGTAGAAAGTATTGCAAGATATCAGGGCGACTGTAGGCGCTCATAAGACAAAGATATAGGCGAAGGTACTGGAGTCCGACGACGAGATAGAGAAGCCGGCAAGACATCGACATCTATATCATGTAGCCGAGGGAGAGTCGGAGTGGCAGTCCGCCGTCGTTTCAGAGGGGGTAATGTAACATCCTCTTTCATGTTTTTAGCGATATCAGTCCATGCGGAGCACGTCACACGCTCCGATGTTGTTGTTCGAGTGTTGGATGGAGTTGCACGGCGCACAGAGTGGTGTATCTGGATGGCCGGCCGAGAAATACGTTCAGGTGTTGTCGAAGTGGATGCGGACGATGTCGAAGATGGAGATGCTCGGGAAAAGTTTGAAAACAGCCTGTCGAAATTGATTAGCAATGAGACGGGTGAAAGGGATGAGCAGGACAGGGACGTACTCTTCGGCATCTATCTTTCTCTTCAACACGTTGTACCGCCGTTCTAGCTCATCTTTTTCCTGCTTCAACTGGAGAGCATTGTCTCGAGCTATGCGAGCCACATTTAGAAGACCAAGCGTCGCCGCAGCATGGACTTCGGCTCGTCGTCGCCACAACCCACAATTCAGCCGCAGAGCAGAATTTTCAGCGCCAAGCCTGGCACATTCGGATAGTGCCTTTGGAGTATCCATGGAGGAATCGATGTGTGGGTTGGGTTCATCAAGGTAGAGGCGACGAATGCTGGGAATTATATGGGCACGGAGGTGGGCAGGGATGAGGGCAGGGTCGATGTTCACTATTACCGCCTTGAACATATAGTTGAAGGGGGACAGGTAAAGGGCTCACCAGTTGTGTACGGGGCTCGGCATGTGGGGCAGAGATGTATGGTGGCATAGGGCTTAATTGCGTTAACAGCGCGGAATACGCATTCGGTGCAGAACACATGGCCTACAGGAGGCATGATAGGTGGGTGGGCCACGAAATGAAGGCGAGGAAGAGGGACGTACCACAGGGCAAAGCGACCGGCTGGTTGAGTTGGTCAATGCAAATACTGCAAGACGGCATGGTGAAGGTGGGATGGAGAGCAGGAGGATATCAGGATCGCTTTTATAAGATGGAAGGATCGCGGACAGAACAGGCAAACAGGCATTCCGAAGGTAACCGAGGAGTTATCAATGACATGTTTCTTCTCTCAGGCAATGGTGCGAGAGGTAATCCACAGAGGCTGGATGACTCTTGACTTAGCCGAGAAGACGGATTAGGCGATTGGTTTGAAATGTATCGGCCTCGGAGCGACCGTTTCCATTTCGATCTAGGCCCATGGAAAACATAAGATCCATCGGGCGACCACCACCTCCTTGGCGATGCCGCCGTGTGAGTTCCTGTGAGTTCCGCACGAGTATACTTGGAAAATCCACAGTTCAAATCCGTGCCTCCACGCATGGCGGAATCTGATCCCACATGAACCAGATTCCAACTGAAACTATTCCTCCGATCTCCACTGCTCACATTGCTCAACCGACAGAAGATGTTATATCACAGCCTACACTGCATTGCACCGCGCCCACCATAGATAGATGCACAACAGCGGATCGAACAAGGTGTTCGAACCATTCATTTCGTTATGTATGGTAAAGTGCGAGACTCCTCCGAAACCATCCTCTTTCCAGGCCGGTCTATAACCTGCCTCTCCCCAAGAGGTACCCAGAATAAATGAAACAAGGTCGGAAGCCAATCCCAAGTACCCCTTGTCGTGGAGACAGTTGGGACATTGGTTCGGAACTCGGACTCAGATGATTACCCGTAACTGCAATGACCATGTCCATGTCGGAGAGATGTGGCGTACAACTTTACGACAGTAGTCCGTTAATCACTTCAAAGTAGCCGGTAAGTCGCTGTCAGCTGGTATTGTGCCCGACTTGAACTCAAGTGATGCGCAGAACATCGTGAATGGTAATATGTACATAGCCGGAAACCGAACTGTGATATTGTAAGTCAATTTCTGATAGAGGAAATTGCTTAGCAACATACCAGTTTCCAAGGATCTTTTCCGTGGATCGGAGAACCCAACTGTCTGGAGGACTTACGGAGGGCAAGCTTCAAAGTTCTACGCTCCAGTCTTTCCTGCCCTAATTGGGGTTGCGAAGGTCCGCGGCGCGACATCAAATCGTACCTGCGACTGACAAACTGAAATTGACAATGACAATTTCATATTTCTTCTTGACTCTTTTCCTTGTCTTTTTAGCAGAGCGGCTAACGGAGGAACACCCACCGTTCAGGGCATCTCTGTCAATGATGACCTAACAGAACAGCATCCATGAACGCTACAAGTACTCCGCGGAATGGGAGCCTCGCTAACGAGAAGCAGGTACTTTATAGCACTCAAACCGCGGTACAACGAACGATCTACTCCGTTTCTCTAGAATCGATTAAAACCTTTACCTCATCAAACGGTCACAGAAAAATAGCGATATGTACTCACAATAGTCCCAAGTCCAAGCATTGTGCCCTAAACTTCTTCAGCTCACCAGAGGCTAATAACGGCGACGAAGCTGGTCGTCGAGATGGAGTAGATGTCAAGTTATACCGGCACAAGAGAAAGATATCCATCAGTCTTGAGAACCTCGTGGTGTTCTTTCAAAGTCTCTTCAGCCATTCTTTAAGCTTGTTTATCATTTGAGGAGGCTGAGAGGCCTTCACCTCTGCCATTGTAACACTATCTCCTACCTTACTTTGCTGAAAGCTGTCACCGGGAGCTTTATTGCAAAAAAATAAGAGAGGCTGAAAAGGATATGGTATGATTCAAGTAAAAGATCCTCGCAGGTGTACAACTTCCAGTCAAGAAGAAAGGTGTTTCTACAGAAAAAGTCTGGGATTTCATAATCCAGAAAAAATCTGAGAGCGAAGAGCAATGCATGCGCACTCACAATGAAGAGGTGAGCGGCCAGACGGAGAAACGCTCTAATTAGCCCACTAAAAGCACCAAACTACTTCAGACAGCCACAACTATACTTAACATGTAACATACCAAGCCGACAGATCCTGGGAACTGGATCCCTTGGACATAGGACCTAACCAATAAAACAACAGGATCAATGAGCGATGACTGGGACTAAGAGGGATAGAGCCTGAGACCAAATAGAGGCAAACAAATCCCCACGTGACAAACGCGACTTTTGACACCATCTCGATCGTGGAGACTTGAACTTCGTTCGATTCTTGGACTTTGAGTCCCGAGAGCTTAGCAATCTCATTCCTACGCGAAAAATTATTGGACTTAATCATTGGGGTCCCAGAATCTGCAGTTTTAGGATCCCGATACTAGTATGTCTTCTCACTTACTTTCCGTTCAAGATACTGAGGTGGTAGTTCCGAGACCTTCACAGTCAAATAATGGATCAGTTTGTATTCCATTGCTCGATATGCTTGAAAGAGAACGCCGTTCCACTCATGCGGTCCCTGATGTGCGGTTGGTGCCTTTCACTGTAGCATACGCTAGTCTCTTGAGGTTGAAATCCATTCTATAGGTCACAGTTTCTGCGCACCATGTCTTCATGAATACATGACAGCAACCTCTCGCCCAACATGCCCTGAATGTCGCGAAAGAATCAAACGGGGAGATGAGAGGCGGATCTTTCTCAACATGTCGTATGTTCCACGAGCGACTACTGTCATCTCGGGACTTGCACAGATGGATGCCAATGCGAGACTTGTCAGTGTGGCCAAGGCGGGAAAGAAGATAGCACAGGCCACCAAGGACTTGCGATGTGATCAGGATCTTGCGGTTCGTGAGAGCTACCGTTATCATGCCTGCTACAGACCTGATAAGCAGTAGGAGGCACTTTTACGCGCGGTTGAAGACTTCAAGGAGCGAATCGCGCCTACTTTTGCAGAACTGGACGTGAAACGCCGAGAGATTCAGAAGATGAGTCGAGACCATGAGGTGGCCCTACAAGCGGCAAAAACTCGCCTCCTAGAAGTCGAATTGGAGAGAGATCAGGCTCTAACTTGTGCGCAGCAAGCTATAACAAACAAGTCGGAGTATGAAGAAAGCATGTCGAGCCTCAGATCCGACAATATGGCATTGACAGAGAGAAACAGCTCGCTAGAGGCAAAGGATGCCAGACAGAAGATGACTATCCAAGCCTTAGGAACGGACATGAAAGCGAAAGATGCCCAAATCGAGCAATACAGACAAACAATCACTGAGCAGAAGGTGAAGTCCTGGGTTACGTTCCTCTCATGATTGCTAAAATCACTTTAGAACCGAATCCATCGATACAAAGCACGAATTGAAGAGCTCAAAATCCAACAAAATGCCCGAGTTTATGAAAAATCAGTCGTTCTTCCAGATGAGGTAGACAAATTGTTCTAATGCGAAAAGTACATGGCTCATGCCTGCACAAGATCGACCTTGACGAAGCCATTAGCCATCATTCGCCTCATCGGCTCCGGACCTCTGGTCACGTACAACAAGAAGATAACAATGCCGGGGACTTTGAGGGCATGCCGGGACCGTCGTTCAGCTCCGAGCAGGTACCTCAATGTTTGAAACGGAAACGAGCAGAGGAACGCTCTTCCAGACCTCTGCGTGCAGCGAACGGTAACTTTGGAAAGTTGTTCGCAACAGGACCAAAGCGGTCGGTTCGCGTGCCGAAAGGACCATGAAGATGTGGCTTGAATATGCTGTCGGGTAGACGAACACAATGCCTGGCTTTATACCGAAACCACATCCATGAACCTGTCGTGTGGTGATAGTATTTGTATCGTGGCTATCTTCTGTGATCGAAGAGAGAGATATTCTGCTTATGTTCATTTCGTGTCTTGTCGTTCTTGCTTGCTTGCTACTTGTGAGCGGTTCTACTCGACGGATACTGGCCCGACGCGCGAGTTTGCTTTGCTTCAACGGCCCGGCTGAAAGGCCTGTGAGTCGCGCTGGTGGCGGATAGATGGTACATAATCTCTATACAGTCTGGGGACCAGAGTTTTCTGTGTGGACAATACTGTGTGATGCTACCTTTCTCGAGCCTGCCTACCCATGCAGAGGACAGTGCCCAATAATATGAGATAGGCGACACCCCAGGACTCAAAAACGGTTGGCAAAATCTACTCAATTGCTCGGTTGGGGTATTATACAGACACTACCTGGGTTCGACTTTTAGTGGCAGGTGCGATAAGATTCTATGGCACACAAGTCAGCACTATTCAATAGTCTTCCCTAGGCAGCGGGAATGTGTTGGTAGTGCATAGATAAAAGGGCGTAGGCAGGAGATCTAGTTATTTCATCAAGAATTGCCACCTTGTACGCGAATAACCTCAGTTAGACGCACCCAAAGAACGGAGATGTTTCGGTTACTGAGCACGCACAACAAAAACTTATACAAGTGCAATGGCGGCGATGCATAAGTCTCTGAGTACCAGAGGGCCGTCATCATCCTGGTATCATCGGTCCAATCCACCGGCCAATCGAGCAGGAAATCGATCGAAAGATAGACTTTCTCATTTCGCCGACCATCGGTCTCATCGCAAGATTTGCCATGATATAATCGAATGTGTTCTGGACTTGGAAAATATCCCAGCGTAGTACATTGAAGCTTTCGCTGACAGTGGAAATGCCATGGCCCCGCTACGTCAACTATGCTGTCCGTCGGGACCAATGATTCACATGTTAAACGCGTTGAACGATCCCGTCGGTCCATCATATTTTTATTTTCCTGTTTTTGAGGATGTACGTACAATTGATGTGTGCCACGACTTGACTAAGGTGAGACCAATAGTCATCAGGCCTCGGGAGCTACATATTGTATGAATTGGCCAGGGCGGGACGTCACTGAAAGGCAACATGAAAAGCAGCAGAAGCAGCACCTTCGGTCGAATCTTCCCGATGCTTACTGACAAAGAATCACCAATGCCAACGGAGAAACGCTCAAACTCCATTAATGGAAAGTGCATTTCTAAATGTAGAAATTTTATGCATCTGAGCAATACACGCTTACATAAAGTCCAGCCCTAATTTTGTACCGTATTTCATTTTGGGAGTGCTGCGCCGCTTCTCGCAATCCACCTCCATGTCCTTCTGGTCGACGGCGCACTCCTCCAAGTGGGCGGAGGATGTCGCCGACGCGGGCTCCAACGATAATGGAATGTCTCGTACGAGTACGCTACCTGTACCCGTCCTATCGACCCCCCGCGTAAAACAAAGGATGATACCGAAGCCGTTCAGGGCGTTTTTGAAGCACTTTCGTCGTCGACTAGCCCCGCCGACCTCACGCTCGATGATGGATGCTATTGACCACGCTATGAACCACCCCCATGACCTCAGCCCCTCCCTCGAGAACGAGAAGGACGAAATTGATGAAGTCGTGGTTGACCGATGTTGGTCGGAAGAGTACGCGAGCTCTTCACATTCTTCCGACGTGATCGACACCACTAGTGGCTTCGGAGATATATTTGAGGAACACAATAGTACTTCCGCATGCCACCGGGCAGGATTTTGGGCCTCTTGTAGACCTCTTATCTTCATCAGATGGCGACTATGGCGTTGTCTTCGAGATTTTTTTGATCCTCGCTTCGAAAATCTTGCCGTGGAACTGGATTATCAAAAGGAGGTCTGGGAAGTTTCGAAGAGTTTGGCTCTATGGGCGTCCATATTCTTCTTGGTGAACTGGTTGATGGGGCTGTTATCCATCCCTACGCCCACCGTTCTTGCCGACAAGGTTAGTGAGCCCACGTCAATCTCCCTTGAAATGATGCGAATCCATGCGCAGATTTTCTATTTCGCCATCGGCCCTGTCCTGACATTCCCCATCCTTGTGCTATGTCTGTACGATTTTCCCCTCAAATATTCGTTGTTCTTCCAGTGTTTCGTCTGTGTATCGGCCTGGTCCTGGTTCGTACTATCCTTGTCCGTCAACCATACCCCCTCATCATCGTCATCATCATCTAGGTCGTTCTATCAAGTACTATATGTATTTCTATGTGGGTACTACAGCCACGAAGTGCATGCCTTTACCTGCGGCAGTAAAGATTTTTTATCGACGTTTTAGTAAGTCGAGAACGATTCGCGTCCAAATTTTGTGCTGACAGCTCATAGCTACACCTCTGCTCTGCAAACAGTGGCACTATTCGGCCTGAATCTTAGCCGTCTCCCAGCCATGATTGGCGCGCTCTCCTTTCTCGTCTTTTCAACAGTGTTGATCATCCCTCACCATATATTGTGGTATCGAAGTGCGAATTTCCCGAACTTCTCTCATCGTAAATCTAACCCTGCTCCCAGATATCATCAACTTCTTGGCGTTCCAGGGCTTTCTTTTATACATGCACTATCAGCGGGACATCTCTGCCAGAAGATTACACATGACGCGGATACGACTGAAATTGCAGGTACACAAGACCACCAAGGCCCAATTGAATGAACGGAAGGCGGCAGATTCAAAGTACCGTCTCACCAGTTATGTTTTCCATGATAAGTCTGCAATTTTCCTATATCTACTATCTTCCTTACTGTTTATTTACAGGTCCGCGTTCCTCTGAATACGGCTAGTGAGTCATCTGCATTTCTGATTTGTCACGATGCTAACTTGCATTCGAATTAGTCTTGGCTGTACAGAATATGGATGCATCTGGAACGGTCCCTAGGAGTCAGCTGTTGGAATTCAATGCTCTTGAAGGCAGCCTTAGTCAGATGTCGAAAGGCAAGTCAATGTTATTATTCTTTTCTTACTTATTTCCTGATGCGTGCATGTAGTTCTCAACGATGTCTTGGACTTGTAAGCCCCTTTCATAAACTTGCTAAGCCCTATGATATTGACAATTTTTGTATTCGCAGTAATCGGATGGATAGTGGTAAATTCGAAGTCCTGACGAGGGTATGTCCTTGTCCAATAGTGCAGTCAAATGTCGTCTAATACACTACAGCCGTATGCCTTTCATCAAGTTTTGCGCTCCATGTTCTTACCGCTGGAACTTGCTACCAATGCGCGTGAATTAGACTTTGAAAGGGACTTGGACATGAAAATTGATGATGTATGCCCTTCCATGTCAGTCGTGGTTGCATATGCTGACCACTTTCATACGTTCGTACAGTTTGCTAGGCGAGCCGAGTATAAAGCTCTCGGTGAAAGTGATGAAAATATCGAATTGCTCTTGCGGGATAATCCAAGCGGTGAATTGGTGATGGGCTTGGTTGCTGGGGATGAAAACCGGCTAAGGCAGATTGTCACAAATCTTGCGAGGTGAGCACCCTGCAGTGTCTGGGCTATACATAACTAATTGGGCTCTGATCCAAAGTAATGCATGTAAATTTACTCCGAAAGGTGGAAAACTCAAAATTTCGACTCGGCTTATTCTCCCAGAGGCGAGCGCTGGTGTGGACAGTGAAGATGACACTAAGGCGTCACATTCAAGAACGACGTCATTAGACAAAGAGCATGAAAAGACTGAACGCACCCGTTCGTTATCGGTGAAGGAGCTTGAGGAACATAACAAGCAGTTGGGCGGGGCGCAGCGTTGTTTCGAGAGAGAGAAGATTGTGGTTAGAATTGAGGTTACGGATACAGGAATTGGCATACCAAGTCATGATATGACCGACTCCAAACTTTTCTGTAAGTATCCGGTCTTTATTGTCGGTCCTCTCAACTAATCAAACACCCCAGCTGCTTTCACGCAGACAGAGCAAGGAAGGCTACAAGGTATGCTTCGTGATCTGTCTCTTGAAGTCTATAATCATGAAGATGTCTTCTAGGCGGTAAGGGAACAGGCCTTGGACTAGCTTTGGTACGCCGAATCGTGAAGCTTAGTGGAGGTCGCCTGGGTGTCCGCTCAAAAGTTGGACAAGGATCGACATTTTGGGTGGAACTTCCTCTTGGCGTTGGACGTAAAGTCTTGCAACCGGCGCGGGAGCCTGTCTCCGGGACTCCTGATCCATCCTTCATGAATATGTATACACTCACCAGTAGAGCGGGTGAAGACTCGCTGCAGTCGGCGAAAGCGAGCGCGGAGGGGACCGACGCGATAAGAGCCACGCCAACATCTCCGTCGACTCGCTCCGCTTCGGCGCTACATGGGCTTATGAATCAAGGTACGTTGTTTTTGCATGGTGCGCCATCATAGTAGTCTGTAACTCGCTTTTTTTCAAAGGCGGTAGTGTTGAACTAAGCCTAGCAAAATATGACTCCCATTCACCTGTACCAACGAGGACCATCGGGGATCGTTCCACAGGGACGGAGTTTCCACGGGCTTACATGGATTATGAAGACTCGGAAGATTCTCCTTCCTCTCAAATCGTCCTTCCGCCTCTCCTCGAAGAAAATAACTCTAACGGGACAATAACAGGACAGACATCACGGAATCGACCAAGCTTCATTGTTCTGCCCAGTCCTCACTCCTTCGTACTCGACCCACAGCAGTCACCTACGGCTAATCCCCCGTCGCCTTCTATCACTCGAGGTTCTCTAACGAACTCGAGCTCAGTACTGTTCCACCAATACCAAGTCCTCGTTGTAGATGACGATGCTTTGACGCGCCGGTTAATGACAAGGATGCTAGAACGGTTAGGCTGCTGCGTGACGACGGCGGAGAATGGGGAGATTGCGCTTGGAATTTTGTTAGGACAAAGTCCTGAGATGAAAACGCCTGCGAGTGACAACTCGGTGCCCATTTTGGACAACTTGACTCCTCCGACGCAGAGGAGGTTTATGGTAGTGTTTCTGGATAATCAGATGCCAGTGATGTCGGGGTTGAAGACTGTGGCGTATCTACGGGAGATTGGGAGGCGCGATTTCGTTGTTGGAGTTACTGGTACGGCCAGTCTTTTTGTAATTGCATGCAGCAGCTAACGGGCCTATCCTCGCATGCAGGTAATGCTTTGATTACCGATCAAAAGGTTAGTTTTTCTTTTTCTCATATTAGCTCTTTGACACTCACGATCGTTTCTCTCTGTAGGAGTATCTTGAAGCTGGCGTCGATCAGTGAGTTTTCTTTTCTCGTTCCCCTTCTACGGAAAGTTGACGCGCTCATCCGTAGCGTTCTTACCAAACCTGTACTGGAACGAAGTCTCACGCATATGTTACACCTCGCGGAGCACCGCCGCAAATCAGCAGCAGCGGAGTCATAGCACTTGTCTTACCTTCACTCCTCTCATCGACGTCACCCTGATATTTCCATCTCTCTGTTTTGGGTCCTTTCCTTGGGTTCATTGGGGACATTTAATATGTATCACGTAGAATTTATATTGCAGTTTTGTAGGCACACTGTATACTAGTAACATCTTACGAAATATTGAATAATGAGTACAGTTGACTCTCTCATAACCCATAGCGGTCGGTGGACCCTCAGAACTATGGGTTACGAGGGGTATGGGTTATGAGAGAGTCACTGTAGTTACATCTAGAGCAATACCCGAATTATGGTCCGTTTAATTTACTTTCTGGACATCAAGCTTCAAGCTTCAAGCAGAATTCTTTCCTGTTGAATCATTGTGATAGCACATAGCTGTTATGCTCTCCAAACAACTGATAGCACCAAAGTGCTCGTCTAAAAGATGGCTACTGTAGACAGTTCTGGTGGTCGGCATAACTGGGACTGCCATGAATCCTGAGGGGCCCCTCGTGAACTCTGCCAGGTTATGTTCCATTCCAGGCGCGACGAAAAATTGAAAGCACGAAACAGGCCAAAATGGAAGAACCGCCCCCATCGCTGTATGTCTCAACATGTTGAAAAACCCAAACCATAGAACAGCCTTTTTTTGTACATGCAAAACAGCCAACGCCGGTACTTGTGACGAAGCAGCTTGAAGCATTCATGCATGTGCTCGATACATGGCCTGATGAATGATGTAATATAACACAGGGACATATGTATCATAGGGCATAGTAAAGCAAGGACGCGAAAACACTTATTTCTGAAAACACAGATGTAGTAAGCAAACTGAATCAAGGAAAACAAGGGTATACTGGCTCACCAAGATGATGCCGTCGAATCGTTGCTTGAACCATGCCATCGTATCGTCCTTCTTGATGCGATGAGAGAAGCCAATACGAGCCTTCTTCTGTTTCCGCCTTGCCACACGAGCACCAGGACGTCCCATAACCACGTAGAAGTCCATACCGAAGATACCAATAGTAGGGTCATACCGAGCCCCCAAGTCGATATGCTCTTGGATACCGAAGCCAAAGTTCCCCGTCTCGGAGAAGTTCCTTCGTCTCAGCTCGTACTCCTTCACCTTCAAACCACGCTCCAAAATCTCCTCAGCCTTGGGGCCTCGGATTGTCACATGGACAGCAATTTTTTCGTTACGACGGATACCGAAGGTACGGACAGTGTAACGGGCTTTCGAGGTGACTGGTGTCTGACCAGTGAGCTGTTCCAAGACCTTCGATGCACGGGTCAGACGATCACCAGATTCACCAACGGAGATGTCTGTGAGTATACTAGTTCAGCACGTCGCTTCACTTCCCCAGTGAATGTACGCACTGATGACAAGTTTGTCAATCCGGGGCTCCTTCATGGGGTTGGTGGGCGTCGCCTTTGTGTCGGCCTACAAACATGGTGATAAAACTAAAGGTCAACAACATTGTAGACGATGAGCTCACCATTTTGTTGTCGGTTTTGTCGATATCGGTGAAGGACCTCGTGCGAAGGAAATAATGAGTGGCTTAGGTAAGTTGGTGGCTGAAACTTAATTTCTGCAGCTGCACGGCATCCTCCGGAATTTCGTTCGAACCGCCATCTTAAATTCTGTTCGCATAGGCTTCGCCGTCAATGATACAATAGATGTACCTTCTCCCTCTCCTGCTCGAATGAATATTTTATTATCGTTCCAATGACCTTCCGCCTCGGAAAACGGTGTTCATGCAGGCAGAAACAAATGTTGGACTAAAGCACCCTCAGTTTAAGTAATTAGGCGTATGTAGGTTTTGAATCTGAATCTCGGCTTGCTTGTCATTTGTTATCATCATATGCTCATTTACTTCTCAGATGGCGTATTCGTCATACCACCGTCAGAAAGTCTACGAGCGAACCTTGATGCGCCTCTGATAAATAGTTGGGCCATGAGCGGTAGGGTCTTCCTCGATGTGATGCATACGGTGATATTGTGCATCTTCGTATATATGGTCTGGATGTCTTGTCCGACAACCAACAACCATTCATTCTCAGCAATGCATCACCGAGACTCTTCTATGCTACTCAATGCTTGCCCAAGTATGGCATTGTTCGGTCTCTCTTGGTTCATTAGAAGCTTAACCAGGAAGGACAAACTTGCCTAGGATGAGTCCTATCAAAGTCATCCTTTCTTTGTGCAAGAGACTAGTTCAATTGCCGTGTTCGCTACGGCTGTCATCCAAGAGTGATACCAATGTGATGCAATGCTAAGGCATTTAGTTTTGATTTCTCTTGTCTTGCTGTTTGTGCTGAATCTCAGTTACCAGATGACCATCCGGAATTTTACCTCAGATACGTTTTATCCGCTTGTCCATTTCTTAACGGCATACGAACGCAGGAATCATCATGAGTACTTCTTAGGTGGCCATACCAAGAAATCCAGTCATGTTATGCCTTTAGTGCCGGTCAAACTGATCATAGGGCATTCAGAGCAGTACTTTCAGTATCAGGTTCTCCCGGGACGGGGATGTGGTATCACAGTGATTACTATCGGTATCGACAGAGCGTCGAATAGTTGAAGGTAGGTACTTGGACCTCAGGGTTGGGTGTAACTCAGCAATGAGCATTCACAGACCAGCAATCCGGCTCACGATCGCCAGGCAAATGCGAATGCTTAGTATGATTTTAGCACAAGAAGATAACAAATGTGGTGACATCTCAGAAGTCGTCTCTCGAACCGGGCACTTTTCGGCACCATTCAGCATCATCTTACCTCGTAGACCTCAGGCCTCAAGACCTGGCATACCGCTGGCCAACATGGATGCGCTGGCAACCATTTTTTTTCAGCATCCGATTCATGTATAAAAGGCGACCGCACCACTGCTCGTTTATTGTCAAGGAAACGTCGTACATGTTTCCCAAGGTCACTCTCCTCTCCCTCGCTCTCGCTGCTGTTGTCTACGGCCAACAAGTTGGGACTCTAACAGCTGAGAATCATCCCCAACTCCAAGTTCAGCAATGTACATCAGGTGGCAGCTGTACAACTCAGTCTAGGTCGATTACACTCGATTCCAACTGGCGTTGGACACATGAGGTTTCGAGTTCCACCAACTGCTACACCGGCAATGAGTGGGACACGTCTATCTGCCCCGATCCCACGACCTGTGCAACCAACTGCGCTTTGGACGGTGCCGATTACTCTGGCACGTATGGTATTACGACCAGTGGTAACGCGCTTACCTTGAAGTTCGTCACCCACGGACCGTACTCTACCAATATTGGCTCCCGCGTGTACTTGCTTGACTCCAGCGGCAGCAAGTACCAACTCTTCAACTTGAAGAACCAGGAATTCACTTTCGACGTCGACATGTCGAACCTCCCTTGCGGTCTCAACGGTGCTTTGTACTTCATCCAGATGGACGCCGATGGTGGAATGGCCAGGTTTCCTACCAACAAGGCTGGTGCCAAGTACGGGACTGGCTATTGCGATACGCAGTGTCCGCAAGACATCAAGTTCATCAACGGACAGGTTGGTTTTCTGTCTCTCTTTACGTCCTTCACTTTAGCTCATCGCCGACGTTTAGGCCAATGTTCTGAACTGGGTGCCTTCTGATACCGACGTTAATGCTGGGACAGGTGAATACGGCACTTGCTGCAGTGAGATGGATATCTGGGAAGCCAACTCTCAAGCCGCTGCCGTCACTCCTCACGTCTGCTCGGGGATTACTGGTCAGACGAGGTGCTCGGGCACCCAGTGTGGAGATGGTGATGAGAGGTACGACGGATTTTGTGACAAGGATGGTTGCGACTTCAACTCGTGGCGTATGGGCGATCAGACATTTCTTGGTCCCGGCAAGACCGTCAACACCAACTCCAAATTCACCGTCGTCACCCAGTTCCTCACTTCCGACAACACCACCACCGGCACCCTCCACGAAATTCGCCGTCTCTATGTCCAGAACGGCAAAGTCATCCAGAATTCTAAGACCACCTTCCCCGGCATCAGCGCGTATGACTCTATTACCGACAACTTCTGTAACGACCAGAAGGCGCTCTTCGGTGACACCAACTCTTTCGAATCCAAGGGTGGACTTGCCGCTATGGGCTCGGCATTCGAGGCGGGCATGGCTTTAGTCATGAGTATTTGGGATGATCACGCGGTCAACATGCTCTGGCTTGACAGTGACTACCCCACCGACGCTCCTGCTTCCCAACCCGGTATCTCTCGTGGACCATGCGCTACGACTTCCGGACAGCCCTCCGTTGTCGAGTCGCAGTCTGGCGATGCATATGTCACATACTCCAATATCAAGTTCGGCCCCATTGGCTCTACTTACGCGCATTAAAGTGTGCTATTCCAAGTTTTAATTGCATTCCTCACTGACTCGAACAAAGATGACGATGTGACGCCTTTCCTTGGTGAGACTCACGCTCGGCTTGTCTGACATTAACTCAAGTTGACCCCGAAGATTTGAGTATTCACGACCGTTTTTACGTTCTTTTCTTATCAATCAAATTTCTGTGGCGGGTTGCTTTCGTCACCTTGTCCGTATCTTTGTCCCTTCGTTTCTAGACTTCTACTAACCGTTGAATCGTTACCGAAGACTGGTCTTCATAACTCTTCCTCGGCTGGTACGCTCGCTGTAAGTTTCCCATATAGCACTTCCTTCCCCAGTGGCCTACCTCCTTCCTAGGCCTCCCTCTGACTTTCTTGTGGGCATCTATGCATCAATGGGTATGGTGTGATGATTGCGGAACAAAATCAGCTTTGGCCGAGGGTTGAGCAGAGCACTTGTATTCACCCCCAGAATGTCAGATCCTTGGAAGCTTATTCAGTAATGGAAGAGAATTATGTCTTGATTAACTCCTGCGGACAGCTACAAGGAAGTTTGGATGATGAGTGTTTGCCGTGTTTCTCATACTTAAAAGTTACCCTTCAGCAAGTCTTCAGTGTCTTGCCAGTGAGTGCCTATATTTGTCCACGTGCCGAAGGCCTGGGAAAACACCGGGCCGTTCAGTTCAAGATGACCTTCTGCGCGTCGTACCCATCATGTAAAAAGTTCTCGACCACCATGTGCTACTTGTACAGATTGCTTTTCTTCTCTTCTAAACGAAGGCTTCCACATCGAGACAAGCCCATCTGATCATATAAAAGCCGTGTCCAATGTCTGTTTCAACCTTAGAAAATGCTGCTGTATCTGCTTTTGGTTCTCTTTTTGACCTGTAATCCTGTGACCTTGGTCGAAGGCTTTCACACACTTTCTCGCCGAAATTCTACTGGTCTCACGGATGAAGTCACTTGGGACCCTTATTCGCTTTCAATTCATGGGCAACGAGTGTTTGTCTTAGCAGCGGAGGCTCATCCGTGGAGGATTCCAGGAGATCCAGCTATCTGGGCCGACATCTTCCAAAAGGTCAAAGCAAATGGGTTCAACACTGTGTCGTTCTACGTCAACTGGGCTCTTCATTATCCTGCACCTGATACCAATGCTGGTAGAGGTGATTTTGAAGAAGGAACTTACAGGGATATACAGGGATTCATTGACGAGGCGAAGAAAGCTGGTCTTTGGATGATTGCGAGGTCCGTCCACATGATTTTGATTTCTTCGCTTGTGCTGATCCTTCTATTCAGACCCGGACCGTATATCAGTAAGAACGATTCCATCTGCCCTAAAGATCGCTTGATGTCATCGCATAGACGGAGAAACTACTGGCGGGGGGTTCCCTGGCTGGGTAGGGAATATCGCAGGGAATTTACGCACGAACAATCCGAACTATACTGAAGGTACTTTAGTCCATACGGTTTCGGCATTAGAAGATATCTTTTGAATGCTCATTTATCAGCTTGGACACCTTATTTGACTTCGATTTCCAAGATAATTGCCAAGAACCAGATTACGAACGGAGGTCCCAGTAAGTGTCGATGCAACAAAGGGAGAATGATGTTCACGTCAAATGCATCCAGTCATCCTTGTCCAAGCCGAAAACGAATTTTCTGAAAGTGAAGGCAATGATGTATACATGCAGGCTATCATCGACCTCTACAGAGACAACGGTATTGTAGTTCGTACGTCGGCATTTTTTTCACGAGCCGATTATGCTCACACATTACATAGCGATAACTCACAACGACCAACATGCCGGACAAGCAGGGTATCATCTACTAATTCTTCACCCTCTTCTCATATTGACTATATCGCAGGAATTTCTCACCCGACCGCCCTGGCCTTGGACGTGTCAACATATATTGGTATACTTTTCTCGCACTCTCGTCACCAGGAAGCTTACTCCTTCATTCAAGCGGCGACTCTTACCCCCAAGGCACTAATAGTTGGGCACAGGTTCAGTCAATATACTACTCTGCGCACCAGGCTGTTGCCCCAAGTAATCCTTTGTGTCTCGCCGAGGTATTATGCGTGATGGTTGAGTGTGCTCTCTCCGACTCACCGTGCTACTTCAGTTTGAAGGAGGCTACCTATTGCAGTGGGGTTCTGTTACACCTCGAGGTGGAACGGGGTACGAGAAATATTGTAAGTAAGAACGTTTCATCTTTCCAGTTTGTGGTAAATTTTCGTACAGCGAATGATCTTACCGATGCTACTTTCGGTACGGGGGTTGCCATCATTGTCATTGTATTGATACTAATATGCGACGTTTGATCAGAGGATATTTTTTACAAGGAAAATTAGCAAGTATTTCCATTGCCGCTTCTCCTTTGTTGCCAATTGAACGCCCAATTTTTTGTAGTGCGCAAACAGCCACCATCTTGAGTGAGTTTCAGAGTGTTCGCCGAATCTCACTCTTTTAATTTTTCAAAGGCATATACATGCTTTTCGGAGGCACAAATTGGGGACAGACTGCAGCTCCAGTCAGTGCGCGCGTTGCATTTGTAACTTGCGTGTCTAATTTCGTTGACAGGTCTCATATACCTCATATGATTATGGCGGAGGTATACCTGTCTATTTTCGCTTTGCGCACAGCACTTATTCCAAAAAGGGATCAACGAGAACCGCATCGCTAACACCAAGATGAACGAAATGCGCTTACAGGGTCTGTTGTCTTCGGTAGTCTCCAATTTCATTGAATCAGACCCCCACAGGGCTATTCCTGCGTGTCTCTCGCGATTTGCTGTCGTCGGATCTCATAGCGAACGGCACAAACTATACAACATCTTCGTTAGTCCATACGGCAGAATTGCGCAATCCTATTACCGGTGTTGCATTCTATGTAACTCGTCACAACGACTCCACGTGAAGTGCACCCAGATGCTTTGAATTATCATTATTTTTTACATACCTACAGATCGACAGAGCTGACAACCACGCAGATTCATGTCAACACTTCCCAAGGGTCTTTGTTGATACCTCAAACTGGTGTTCTGACCTTTAATGGGCGCGAGAGTAAAATAATTGTGACCGACTATGTTTTTGGAAGGAGCTTCGCCACTATACTATACTCAACCGCTGAGTATGTGGAAACTATATTCTTGAGCTAATAGCGATTCTCAACTCCCTTTCTTCAGGATTATGACGTGGACGATGTGAGTACTAACTTCTTGTTGAAAAGGATTTTTCTCAGGCTGAGATCTTTGATAGGATCGATGATACGGATTATCTTATCCTATATGCCCCCGAGGGGCAGACAGGAGAGACTGCATTTTTACTGTCGACTGAACTCAAATCATTGAATCTCCAGGATGCTCCTGGAGCTACGTCAAGTCTCTCTGATGGTAAACTAACACTACAGTACACCTTAAATGGGTCTCAATTCATTCCCATCCAATTACAAAGCACCAAATTTGTGGTCATTCTTCTGGACAAGATGACAGCCTACCAATGGCATGCCCCAATCATAGAGGGGAATGGTACCTTTGGGAATTTCTTTTCCATTGGAACGAATGATACGTTAGTCTTCTGTCGCCTTTTCACCTACCTAGTGTTCTAAATTTGCTTTAGTGTTCTTGTTGGAGGACCATATGTTCTGCGATCCTCAAGTTTAAATCGAAATACGTTGGAATTGGTCAGTCATTATCAAGTATGATTATTTGTCATGCGCTTTACAACGCCTCATGCCCAGACTGGAGATCTCAATGGTACTACTTCCGTCGAGTTCATTGCACCATCATCCATCTCTCGATTGTCATGGAATAGCAAAAATATATCGGTATTCAAATCGTCTCGTGGATCGTTTGTGGCTACCATTCAGGGTGCAAATGTAAACATTAGCCTGCCTACTCTCGGCGACTGGAAAGTCTCCGGCAGGTGAGACGTCGACGTCCTTTTCATCGCATAATCCATTAATTCAGATTATGCAAGCCTGCCGGAGATTGTGCCAGAATTTGATGACTCCGGGTTTGTTCTAGCTGATATCAGGACCACCAACGTGAGCCGCCCTTTTCCCATCAATACGACACCACCAATTGAAGGTTTTGCTCGCAGTATACAAACCTCCCTCCATTATATGGCGACCTAGTACTCTATTCACAGCAATACGGGTAAAATCACAACATGTCTCAACGACTTGATTGACAATAATCCTGTACTAGATTTTTCGGTGGGAATTTAATCTTTCGAGGACACTTCAAAGCATCTGGAGACGAGACCACCGTGAAGCTAGCAGTTCAATATGGTTTTGCTGGCGGATATACTGCATGGCTTAATGGCGTCTTCCTTGGATCGGGGCAAGGCAATTCGACTGTGAGCTTGTCAGAGGATTCATGGGCTATTCCTGGCAATGCGCTCCGAGTTGGGAAGGACAATGTGCTTGTTATTGTGCAAGGTATGCTGCTGTCGTTCTGAATCCCTTCAAAGGTTCATAGTTTTATGGTATAGATCACACTGGGTACGTTATGTCTGAGCATGTTGGACCAATGAACTCTCTGATGCACGTCTTTTGATAAAGCATCTCTGAAACCAGCAGTAGGTCTTATCACCTTCCCGGCCACCCTATGTGCCCTGATCTGATAATCTAGCAAACGGCGGCAAAGAGCCCCGGGGCATTCGAGGGTATGCCATTGAAGGTGGAAATACAACCTTCACATCGTGGAGGTTGCAGGGAAATCAAGGCAGAGCAGACAATACTCCCGACCCCTATCGAGGATATTTAAACGAAGGGGGTTTGTATGCAGAAAGAATCGGCGCACACCTACCTGGATACCCTGATGTCCAATGGAGAAATGGTACGCCATTCTCCGGTGGCGGCCTCTCACGCGCCGGAATCAATTTCTATCGCACGACATTCAACCTGGTAAGGTTTGCCGACTGAGTATCAAGCACCATTGAACTGATATGCTTTAGCCCGTTCCTGATGGTGTCGACTTTCCTATCCGATTGTCCATCACTCCTAGTGATATCAGCTCGAACTTTAGAGTTCAAATTTACCTCAATGGATGGCAAGTGGGCAAGTACATCAATAACATTGGGTGGGTTCATTTCAAAGAGGACCCTTCCTGATGTTTTGGAGATCTGACTGGCACGTACTTAGTCCCCAAACAGATTTCGTTCTTCCCGCAAGGTGATGGATGAGATTAACTCAGCTACAGGCTTACTAACATATATCGACTAGTGTCCTTCGACGTTCCTCGACAAACACGCTGGCGCTATCACTTTGGTCCCTGGACAACTCTGGCGCTTCTATAGCAGGTCTCGAACTGATATCTGATGGAATTTTTTCGACCTCCCTCGTTTTCAATGACTACCATACTCCGGATTACATTGAACAGCAAAAGAGCAGACCATCTGGAACATACTATGAACCGATGTGAAGATTACGGAGGGATTGAGTGTAAATACATCAATAACATTATAAATGAACATCATGGGAGAGTTCAGTCACTTTCGTCACCTAAGAAGGCCACGATGCTTTGTCTAGCTGACATCTTCGCCCATGTGTCAGTTATAGGATACATAAAAGCAGGTAACATGTATGCTCACTTTTCGCTTCACAGATTTTCCAGTCATCTCTTCATTAGAGTCATCTTGGTCGGATTCAACTGCCTTCTTTGTCATAGCGCGGCTCCCCGACGAGCGGCTCACAAACGACTTCTCGAAGGATTGGACGTCAGCTAGGGATGCGAAGTGAATCACTTGATGCAGAGAAGTGTGGGGACGACATCGCATACCTAGCTCTTCCTCCAGTTCTCGTTTTTCTCGAATGGCTTTGGCCTGCTCCATGCTCATTCGGCCCTTCATGCCCAATTCAGTGAGGATATCCTTGATGATTTTAATCTGCTGTGACGGACGATCGACACCTTCGAAAAGCGTCGCCCAGGGTTTACGCACACCGCATGCTAAAACCAAGGACTGGCCAGTGCATCAGGACTTGAAGACTAGACTTGAGAGGAAACATACCTTCAATCGCTTGATAGTGGCGTCGTTTTTGTCCGATGATTTCTTGTCAGCTGTTTTCTTCGTGGTAGGCGCGCGCTTCGATTTGGACTCCTATCCAAGGTGTCAGTTCCGTGAGGGCAAGACTTGGGCGGCTAAATATTACAATCTTCTTTTCTTTAACCACAGTCTTCTTCTGCGTAACAAGTGGTTCATTCTCCATATTTGAGTCCCCAGAGCCCTGATGGTGCCAAGTCAGAGGGAGTTTTGTCACTGGGGGAGAAAGTTGCTCACCACATCAGCCTCAACAGGTTTCGACTTGGGTTTGGAGCGCTGCTTTTTGCAACTACGAGCATTTGGTTTCATCGGCGCAATAGATTTCTTCTTTGGCTGGGGATCCTCGTCTTCAGAAAATATGCTCCTGGATTTTGTGGATGGTCCTTGGTGTTTGGAGTCGAGGCGTTTCTGTGGGAGGTTCGTACTGATGACGACGAATTATCACGCGATGCCTACCTGATGAGAAATGTAGCCCCCTTGTCCGAATACAAAAGGATTGATAGGATCATATGGGACATCGTCCTCGATGTCGGAGGAAGCAACAACAGACTTGGGGCAGCCATTACTTTAGGCATGTCGAACGTAGAACACACGTACTGCTGACTTGAACTTCTTTGCCTTCGCGCCACCCGCTTTTTTATTTTCAGAGGATTCCATTGATTTACGTTTCTTTGAATCACCGGTGCTGCCAACTTGAACCTGTGCGCTGTAAGCAAGCGGTTCGAAACAACGTGATGAGAATGGACTAACCGATCTAATTTCGACGTCAGAGTCGGAAGCGTAGGAGCTTGCACCTGAGGAAACTTGTTCGGAATCCGACGACATCCTTGGATCCAATAGCTTTGGTGATAATCAAGAGAAAAAGAATCTGGGTCAGACGCGACTGTCACATCAACCGTCACATTGACGTGCTAATGTTGTATGGTACTGTTCACTCCGGTTTACCTCTATTATTTCTTGATGCCTTCGTCTTCCTCCCCCCTTTCTTCTGTATAACATATGGATGTCCTCCAACAAAAATGTTGTGACTTTCCATGTAATTTTTTGACAGGAAAAAAGGACATCCTAAAAACAAGCTAAAAAGAGCATTTTTTTGTCCTCTTTTAATATAAGAAAAGCAACAAGAAAAACAGATCAAAAAAATGCTTTCCACTGTTTCTGAACAATGGAAACCATATTTTCTTTGTTAAAAATTTGGTCTTTTTGGTGGATAAAACCATTACAAAAAACATGGCTTTTTCATTATGTTTTCTTGATCCTGTTTTATGAATGCAAGAAGATGATCAAAAAGCATGACATTTCTAGGATCAGTTTTTAGGTCCAAAAAAGCAACTGACCCCAGCAGTGAATGGAGAATGGAGGGGTCATCAGTCACCAGGAATATAATTGATTAATCCAGTAGGGCTGCACACTGTACCAGTATATGGCTGTAAAGCCATAGTCTCAGACAGTCATGGAACTATCTGTATACCATGCCATATGCTCAGTTTGGGAGTGTTGGTAGGGATACTTTATGGTTGTCATTGACTGTGAAAATGAAATTACATATATAGACATATAGAGCAAAGTCATCTGTTATTTGATGCATGAATTGACAACATTAGAAACATTAGGTACAGAGAGAACAACTGGGCCATATTGGGCAAAGCCAGATATGCCCAAGAATCAAAGAAAAGTTAGGTGTGTTGCTCTGAACATGAATGAGAAATTGATAGACCATGAATAAGTAGTCAGACTGCAAAGGAATGAAAAGGATAAAGATACCCATGGTGCATGATAAATTTCCTTTGAAAATAGCCCTAGATAAGATGAAAAGTCAGTAAAAATATTAGCCATATTATGATGTTGTATGGTCATCTGTGTTGAAATTTCCAAGTTGGGTGTTTTCCCCTTACTTACCCTCCACCCAACGACTCAGACATGCTGTTTCTGGGATGTACAGTAATACAGAAACAATGGGTAACAATTTACCTCGCTTTGATTCACCTTCGGGGACCGAGTCACGATGGTGTTGTCAGCATCCTGCCATCTCTTGGGTACGCCCATCACGGTGGGTTACCATGTCTCCGTGTAACTCTTAATAGATGCTGAATAGTGGTAAAACTCCGATCTTTCTTTCGGAGGGCATATAAAAATTTACGATCCTTCTAGAGAGGGCTAATCTTGCTCAAGTGAGCCACGTGTTACAGGATCGACCGACGCCTCAGTGTATTTTAATCTCAGTATTGATACGACTTTCTGCAGTACGTTTATCTCCGATGTGATTAAGATCAATCAAGTGTCCGCGGAATTTGTACTTGCATTTATAGATACGTTACTCTATATTTACAAATGAACGAAATGTTAATCACAAAACGCTGTTCCGACCGTAATATCGTAATACTATCCAACCGCGATCAGTGATGACAGGATGGACTGAACATGCGTACTTACAATGAGGTGGTACATGTTGATGCCTGAGCTAGGAATCGACGCTGAGCATGTAGGGTCTTCGTTACCAATGCATGCCTTCGTGGTTCCCGCCGACGGTGGGTCTCCGCTTTGAAAGTATTCGACGCCTACATATGACTCAGTGAGATGTCTGATAAAAAGACCACAAGAGCTGAATTACCATGATGCTGGTATCCCAGATCTTGCGATATCATAGTAGGAACCCTGTGAACCGATGTTATTATTGCTGTCATCAGGTGGAGCAGCAGCGTACCCATCACTGCCGTGTACGCCTCGAAAGATATTTGAACCTAGTTTGGAATCAACGAAATAAGCGTAGCTAGGGTTTCCGGTCCTGCGGAAGATGTTTGTCAGCTACACGAAGACATGCCAAAGGATAGTTGGACCTCGGTTGACCAAAGGTGTACATTTTTAACGGTCTGACAAAATTAAAGTCTCAGACACGTCAAAACAGTGACAGAAACGCGTACACGTCTGGAAAGTTTTGCTGTAGTGTAATGCTATATGACGCATAAGGACTGCATCACAGAGAGAAGAGGAACACTTACCCGCCAAGACTGGAAAGCGCCCCACCCAAGGAATGTCCAGATGTGGCAAGAGTGTAATTAGGATGACTGGCCAACTCGGATTGGATTGTTATAATCACATCGCCGACAATGGAGTTCCAACTTTAACGGACATGCTCGAGATAAGGTCTGAGACTCTATGCAGAGACAACTCACGCAGTATGAAAACCATGGTGAACTTGAGTACCAACTGGATAGCCAGTTAGATATAAATGATCAGTCAACAAAAAAGACGCTTACCGGGTGCATTGACGCCTTGGATGTTCAAATCGACAAGCGTAATATCACCGTCGGTTGCCAAATCCTGGACAGTCGAACTGGAATATGATAACATTAGCCACATGTACTTTACGGAATATTATCTACTCACCTTCCGCGGAAAACGATGACGATTTCGCCCTTGGTGTCGTCACGGGCGAGAAATGCCTGAGTATCTGTTGTCTCATTGTCGTATCGTTGAACAAGGGTGTTTCCGTTTGGGCTAGCACACTCGTCAAGATAGGCAGAGGAGGCGTATTGAAGGTAATAGACGAGGTCATCGTAAGTCTCTGGAGCATATCACTAAGAATATAAAGGAAGAAGATATGAGCTCCGACGAACCGTTGGAGACGGTACAGCGGGGCTGGATTCCCCTGCTAGGTAGAGCCGAGACTGAGAGGAGAGGAAGAGCAAGGAAGGAAGCTGACCAGAACATGCTTGGTTGCGTTCCCTTAGAATGCGGGTTTGACAGCAGTGGTAGTCATATAGTATGGCTTTTATATGTGGTACGCGACTGTGACCTCACGGAGAAAGACTTAGGTGGCTTTGGATGACAGGCGCATATCATAAGACTGGGACGACTTTGCTTCTCTGTTGTGAAGTACGGCGTTACAACATCCTAAGACGAGTATCGTCCGCCGTGTATCATATTAATACTGATGGGGACGGCCGAAGATCTTTATGGATCGATTGCGCAGGGTATGTATGTAGATCAAGCGCATGATCACAGGGTCGACGTCCCCGGTAATTATGAGCCTCGATGAGAGGAACGCCATTCTCAAGAAACGGTTCAGAAGACAGCGAAAATGCTACAAGAGCAAGCGTGCATTCCGCAGGGACGGTATCAAATCGAGAGAACAATTTGGCAAGAGCAGTCGATAACTTACTAATAGAACGACAGGTCATGGAATGAGATGGGGTGATACTCTCGCCCCTGGAGATCAGCCATCAGGTCAGTAAGTGAACAGCCGCTGGCTCTGAGTAGCTGCATAACTGCTACTACGTTACTTTGTCGTCGAGAAAGGCATCCGCAGTTCGAAGGGCAGAAGATTGAGGCTCCATGGGGTGAAGGAGACCGGACGATAGACGGCGCAATGGTTATCATCTACTTGGAGGACGATGGTGTCAATAACGGGTACGTTGGATTGTGATTTACACGGCGTACGCTTAGATCATTTCATAAACGTTCAAAACTCCCGATATAACGTTAACATAGCTGCCACCCGTGAACACGCTATTCCGCAGAGATATTGAGCGTGGTTTATCTGTTCCAAGTTTCACTGCGGCCTTTTGGTCAGACAGACATCTTTGCATGTACCAGAACACTAAATTATGGCAACGGTTTGCAAGTTACGTTTCCTAAATTGAAAAAAAGAGCCTTTCTTAAGGCTCCTTGCTGTCGTCTCTAGTCCAGAGCGAATGGTGCCATTGCGCAAATGTGTGAAGGCGTCGCAGGAGGGCAACGTTCGCCAGTAGTCCTGTGCGGAAAATGGCTAAGTCGACGAAGGTATTGCGAAAGTGGTACAAATTTAAGCCGCGTTTCGATTCAGCCTCCGAACGATCAGGGCCGCGGCCATCCGAATGCTGCTACTGTTGACATCATCGCGCTCATCGACGTCCATGCTCATTCCACGCGATTTTTGCGACTGGGCTATACGCCCTGGCAGCTAGGCTAATACCACTACTCATAGCTCTGCGGCCTAACTCTGGCAGGCAAATCAATCACCGCCATCGGCCCATCTCGACATCAATGTGGCGAACGGCGCTGCGCATGCACAGGCAGTACTTGGTGCACCATGTTGACACTGGCAGGTTCTAGCGTATTAGCGGGACTATTAGTCAGATCCATGTAGGAACACCAGTTTTCTAGATGACAGTTCTTAACCAGTACTGGGCAAGCTAGCAAAATGGTGGCCTTGACTTCAGCACCGTGGTCATCGGTCATCACGCCCACGCCCGAGAGACATGTACTTAAGGTACGTTGCAGGTAATAGTCAAAAATCTGTCTCGCTAACCTATCCCAGGTATCAGAATCTCTACCCTATCTTGGGCTACGCTGTCACGGACCACCCGGACTGACATACTCATGTCAACCGTTCCTAAACCTCCCATCCGCGGGGAATCCGCTGTAAAGTGGAGTGGTTCTTAGTCAACAATCGTTCTCACCTCCTGGGTGGTTTCCCTCATGGCTCATTTACCGGATGCTGTGTCTCAGCCTAGAAGTTCTGATAGTGCGCTCGATAATCAAAGACAGACCGTTGGCATGAGGCTAAAGCGGGTCCACAACGGGATATTAGGTCCAGGACCAGTGGTCTCGTCAATCTTTGTTCCGACTATACAAAACCCATGCCATCCATGTTGTTGAAGGGTCCGGCTAGCCTTTCTCGGTTAGCACGAAGCAAGGATCGTCGCTCTATCGTGGGTAGCAAGAACCCGCACATGCCTATTGGTATGTTTTTTTGTTATCTCTGCTCGACCTTGGGAAGTAACTATATGAACTATACCATTTAATAGGTTTTAGTGAATTCCCACCAGGCAACCAGGACGCTCTCTCCATTAAATGGATGTCCATAAAAGAATCATCAAGAGACAAGGATTATGGTATATTTTCTCTGAACCTTATTCAAGTTCTCGGTTTGGAAATCACAAACAGTGAAATCGAAACTCCGACACAACGCGTCCTTGACTTCTTCAACTCATCTCCTGGAAATTTCTCCTTCATTCGCCTATTTCTCGACCTCATCCGTGTCCTAATGCCTTCCTACGAGCTTCCTCCACTCACCGACGATCTTGACCTGAACAATTTCGAGACATTCGCAACGAGCTCCAAGAGAGCCCCGAGTTTGGGCCCACTCTGGTTTATTCCCCCACGCTACAAACCCACGCGCTCCAGTAAGCGATCCATCCCGTTGCTGCACTGTACGCTCACTTTGATTCAATAGACACACGTTTGGACGTGATTTCCATTCGCCAAGCCCGCTACAGGGACTGTCGTCCACGGGCTGTTCCGGATCAGGGAAGTAGCAGCGGTGAGGACTCAGACGACGCGATGATGGACACCTCGCCGGACTTTTATGAAAGCCCCCAGAGGGTCATTTGCAGAGAGCATATATCATATCCTGCCGCTCCATACGGTATGTTTTCTTTTTTTTTTTCTGAGATTTCTGGACTCTTTGGCATCCTGACACGTGCAATTATAGCTCCGCGCGCGTTTTCTTCTTCGCTCCATGCCCAGCAGGATAAGGTCCATTCGATGAGGCCTCCCTTCCCTTCATCGAGCTTGCGCCCAGCCTGTGAGTGGAGTTTGCATTATTTACAGGTCGCGCTAATTAGTATTCTGCACTTAGCACATCGGATGCTCCCACCCTATGCTTATGAGCCGTCTAAACCCGGCCGCTATCAATATTGAATATGTCTCGCCTTTTTTTCCGCAGTTTTTTAGTCCCAGCTGTCCTTATGCCTATTAAGTACTATTGAACATTACGCTTCCATTGCTAACTATCCCATAACTTCTTCATACTGTTATGATTTGCTATTGGTATCCCTGAACTATTCTGTAGTAACTTGACTCAATACTCAAATTCTGTGCATCAGTTCGTGAAATTTGATGAAATTTGCGGGGATTGTAGGATAGCAATTTTATGTGCTGAAAATGGCCGTCGTAAAGGCGGATTCCAAGGGTAGGGAGCGTTTTCGCAGGCCTCTGCGTGACTCTCGAGATTGTCACAATCTCTGTCGACACAGAGATACAGAGCTCCGCTCGTCCATGAAGAGGGATTGCTGGTGCCGTCTGTGTCTCAGTGCCGAGTCTCGGCTGATGCTGATTCATGAGAGACATCGGCGCTAGGTGTCTCTTCTTCATTCCTACTTTCATCCCGCATCCCTAAGCTTCGAGGCTTCGCCTCCTCCTGTGGGTCATTACACTGGGTGTTTCTCCGAACTTCGCAGAATAGTCTTGTGAACGCGACACTAACCAGCTGACTCGGACCAGTGGTTCGGTGTGTTCTACGCCACAAACTCGGCCAAACGAACAAATCCATATGTAACTTTTGGTCTCACAACTGCTAGGTCTCGTCTCATCTACCATCAGTCTTCTCCCGTTGTTTACTGACTTCTGTGACTATACCGGATTTATCGACAATGTTTTCCCGAGCCTTCCATCCAGGATGTCCCCCCCCCATCCTGCTATATAAGGACGCTGAGTGTGTCCCAATGCCCACGGTGGTACCTCTTCCCACTAGGTACCGCCCCGGGTACCGCTGCACCATTCTGACTGCCTGGACAATATTCTGTCGATATCCCTCATGCTTTCATATTACTTCCTCTACATATGAAAAGCGTCGCCCGTTGGTGGACTCCCAATTCCGCGCGATTCAGGTTTTTCATGCGAAACTTCGGCCACAGCATGGACAATGTCACTACACTTCAAGGGTCTATAGCTCGTGGCTACTATCTTTGGCTTTCTCGGTGTGTACGCTTAGGTCTCATCGTACTATGCTGTTGTTTGTTGTCCACAGGCCTGATGTTACGTTCTCTGCTAGTCATTGACTACTCTCAACATCACATTATTTGTGGACTCGAACATGCTGTCAGGTCCGTTGTCTTGGCATGTTACGTTTATATTTAAGGCGCCATTAATACTTCGCTGGTCGGTCGTCAGTGCGGCATCAATACTTGGTCCGAGGGCGCTGACGAACTCGACCGTGTACTATGGTCGCATGATTCTTTTCCCCTTCTTCCCCTTCTTCCCCGGTATCCTTGATTCTTTCGATAACGAGCGTAAGGTGATACAAATTTCGGAGATTTCCTAGATAACAAACTCAAGTGCCATTTTCTTTTGGCTGAACGTGTCCACGATGATGGAAACTTCGACGCTAGAACTGGTGACTTCGACTCTTCCGGAAGCCATGTCTGCGAGGTATTTGGGGTGGTTCTTCTGGCTATCGAATGTATTCGTATTCCATGACAAATCCAGTTCTTAATGTACGATCGATAGCCCTGCAGGTGTTCGGCTTGTCAGCCTGACCGTACGAAACTTGGTCGAGGAAGGTCGGAAAATATTGGTATGCACCTCCTTTTGCAATGCGTGTAAAATTCTGAGATCACTACGTAGGTCTTGAAGTCTGAGGCTTGGATCTTTCATTACTAGTTGCACGAGTGCCAAGTCCGTGAGCTGACACCTAGGATTTGCATCAAGTCGAATTCACTCTGGTCTGTTCGTCTGATCCACAACCCGGTGATGTCTTAGTCTGGTTTGTATATCGTTACATCTTTACTTCTCAGTGGCGTCGAGAGACAATATACCGGGCAAGCACCTCCATGCACTGTTTTGGTGTACCTAAAGCCACCGCGCTCATGGGAAGCCGTCGAAATGTCTATAAATATTTGCTCTGTCTCTTCAACACTTGCTCGGTTACAAATTCAACGCTCTTCCTCAGGGGCACACCCATCTCGCTATTGTCAAGATGCCTCGAAGTTGGCGCACTAAGCTCTCCCTTGCTACAGAAATGGACTCGCAATCCGAGATAGCAGCCTATCCCGCTCTCGCGGACATATTCGACTCTCTCAGTCTCGATAATGTGCCTTCAGATTCTGTATGGCACAAATTACCGAACTCTTCCCGACAAGATGTGTTGGGTATGCTTCGCTTATCAAGTGTATACAGTGGCATTCCTCTGATCTTGTTATTGTTGCAGATACACGCCTAATGTTGATGAAGATCGGGCAGACGCAATATCGTGAGAAAGGGCATACTCAGGAAGAGTCCAAAGCAATGGAGGAGTCGCTCGCAAATTCACTCGCAGCTGTTAACATCAACTCTGAATTGAATTCAGCACTGGAGAGTTCTGCATCGGGTGAGCCCTTCACGAGTAAGTCCGAGCCGCAGTATGGTAAGGCTAAAAAATTAGCGTTTGCTGTTGGGTCCGTTCATCACTGGTCGTTTCTCTACAGACACGCGGGCGCTAACGGGCAACGTTCTGAAGCCAGAAAATCATCCTTTCCCTGGAGATTTCGTTTCAAAGTCGAGTTCTGAGAGGAGAGGCAGCCAAAGTACGTCTCTCTTCGCTTCCGTGTACCCTATCAAAATACCGATACCTCTTCCGTCCCAGCCTGACGAAGCAGAACTTATCATCCCTACCAGTACCGGTCGCCGTTACCGACCTGGGGTGAGGGGGATTCATCGTATGTGTTCGAGTAGTTGATCCACTATGCCCCGTGTACTTCTCTTGGAACATTTTACGTGCAGTTTGTAATATGATCAATTCTCGGGATGCTGGGTGGCCTCGCGACGGACCATGTAATGTTCCATGTAGTGAACTATCAATAGATCCGTGAATTGAATAAAGACTTGGCATCCTACCATGTCATTACCTTTGACAATGCAGTTGATATGCGCATAGCCATGATGTTTTGTAAACCTTCTAACACGTACGTTCAACCTTCATGGACTTGACGAATGGCGCTTGACCGCTCTTCAGAGATACCTGAGTCAAATAGTGGCTCAGACATATGCTCTTGAGTTTGGAAGGTAGCGTGACAAATTGGGGGTCGATGGCTCGTGGTAGATAAATCTTGTATTGTATCATTTTTTGAAATAAGATTCAAACAGGATTCTAATAGATGTCCTGTGTGCTTTAAATAAAATCTTGGGAACCCGCTGTCGTCGTGGGAAAGAAATAATGTTGTTGCGCTCAATTACCCTTCCCAAAGTTGCCTATCGCGCCATACGGTCGATGGCCCCTTTTTCGCGACGTTGCAACTTCATCGCGTGCAGTGGTGCAGGGCCGTGATGAGCATTATTTAACGATCATGGAGTATTACAGGCCAGTAATTGGCAAGTTTACAGGGTTCAGTCTGGGCAGAATTTTGTGCGTGTTGCATATTTCTTTCCATCGTGAACAGCCTTTTGAGCTTGGTGTGAGCAGGCAGGTCTTTGAAAATGTTGCATATCTATCTCCAAACTCGTACGACCGCTGGTCTGACGGTGCATGTATGACCAAGCGAAGGCATCCAACCATTTGACGTGAGCTCGACCCAATCTTCCATGTATCTACGATACCGCCCTGGTATCACTGTCATCCGAATCCTACATATTCCAAAATCCTGATCGTATTATGCACATCAATGCACCGTTGCTCAAGGCACCTGTCTCACCCACTGCCCCAATATACTACGATAAGTTATCCAAAAACACGCATAGCCGTCATCTTGCACCAAGCCTGATGGACTTGTCCGTGGCGACGCTTCCTCCAACTCTCCAATAAACAGTCCTTCTGTTAATCTCAACCCAGGTGTCAGCAGAAAGCCTTTACCAACAACAATTCCCCGCTGTTTCAGTTTTCCAAACGTTCTTCACGGGCAGAGACACCATCACAATTCAATAAGGCTGTGTGTCAGGACGTGCAGTGACTTGACTCTCGTAGCCATCACTGCTGTTTTCCGGAGGCAAATTTTGACGGTTACAGATACACTCACTGTAATGGCATCTCCGACCTGCTTGTCTGGCGCGTCATCATAATGGTAGGGAGGATTGGGTTTCGTAGTATGGTTACTATGTAAATGATGTCAAAGGTGATGTCAACGGTCTACATTCGACAATGATCACTCCAAGTTCTTTAGACCACCAGCAATGCTTGGGGCTTCTACCTCAATGTCTCGTACGCTCCTTCTGCCATTAGGCATTCAGTCAGAAGCACGGCGGATGTTTGTCGTGCTTTTGGTCTACGCCAGCCTCCTCACCGTATCTGGAATTGTCTACATCTCCTTTCAGAAATTGTCTGTTCCCAATCAGAATTCAAGACTGGCCTCTGCACCAAAACAAAGGACCTAGGGAATAGCGGATTACCTTCGTCTGTCTACATCGAGTGATGATACTTCGTTCTTGTCGAGTGCGGCGTGGACACCACTTAGCTTGAGCACTTGTACCTTCGGAATGTCCGCTCATTATGCACCTTGCGTGCCGCGAAGATTACCGAAAGACACTCTTTATTCAGAGGAGCTATTGTGTCCTGCCTTTGAAATTTGCCAGCCTTACTTTGCAACTGAAGAGCACAGGGAGCGTTGGAAAAGCATGGCGGCGGGTATCAAAGAACGTGGAATGTTACAGGATAACGGTTGGATGGTGTATATAAAGGACAGTCGGGCCAGAATTTCGTGCGTCTTCACCAGTGAATGCGAGACGATTGTCGGGGCTGAGTCTACGTTCAGGTGTTCAATAGCGTCTCTTTCAAACATTCAGTTGCAGGATATGATCGCTGGACGGCCGACGCCTGTATGGGAGGGCTTGTCTCGTTGGAACAACTTCAACCCTTCAATGCGACCGAAGTACTTTGGAACAACAACCCAACAAAGATCCATCCCAATGCCATAATTGCTCTTTCACTTGATTCATATTCTTTCCAATGCCATCTTGATCGTATGACGCACATCCTCACCCAAGGCGCACACCTCACCCTTCGTAGTGAAGTTCCATATGTAATAATGGGTCGACGTGGGAACGATTTCGTCCAGCAACTCTGGGAACGGCTGGGATTTGACGAAGAACACGTATTACACAGTGCGACAGATGATATTATGCGAACAGGATGATATTTTCTTGCCGAGCGGTTTTGGTGCATCCTTGGTTGTCCCTCAGGACTCTTAAAGCGTTTGGCATCAATGTCCTGATTGAGTCTTCGACGAGAAAGAAGGTTTACTTGAATCTCTTGTTCATTGGTGAAGCTCATAGATGGCACAGATAATGTACATGTCGCGGTCCAACAATCGTGCTGCAAATGGCGGGCAGGATCATCAACGAGTCTGCTCTTCTTGATGCGATACGTGAGCTTCGCGAAGAACGAGGCAGGGGAGAGGAACTCGTCATGTTCGATGAGAAACAATACGCTTCTGCCTCCGAGTTATTCACGGACTTCAACGAGATTATGGCTATCATCGGCCCTCATGGCGGAGCGATGCATCATCATCGGTGGGCTGCCCGAGTACTCTCATTATAGAAATGATGCCGACAACTTTTACGTCAATGGCAATATACGAGGAGGCGTCGGTGCTTTCCCAAACGTACGCAGTCCTCGTGATGGAGCCGAATGAGCCGAAAGAGACAGATATGGTCATTAATCCAGGACATGTTTTGAGAATTCTGAGAGAGCATTTAGGTGTGGGGATGTATAAACCCAGATTTTTGGCATTGAGAAATGGCGCGAAAAGGAAGGATTATGTTGAGTATGAATCTTTGGCTAAAGATCCGTTAAGGATTAGTTACCAATGGGGTGGACAGGAGCTTGGGTTGTAGATTGATTACTTAGCAAGTTCGAAATGAAAGTCGGATTTTTCAATAGAACAGAAGGATCTCAGGCCTACTGTCTTACCAAGGGAAGCTGGTCTAAATTTATAAAAAAGAAAGTGACACGGATGGCACTTCTCATCATCGATGCTGGTGATCTCACTCTCCAGTGCCTGGTCCTCACCGGTCGGTGTTTCAACTCTTGGATCGTATGAAATGGTCAACATGAAGAGAATTTCAGAATTGCCTGAATGGAAAGAAATAGCCGGGCTTCGTTTGATTTTTCCACCAATTGCTTCGAAGGTACATCACAACATCAAGTTCGAGTGATGGCGAGAAATACCTAGGGCCATAGAACTGTTTTAATAAGGATATGTCGAAGTCGCAGGCACATACAAGAACGAAGCAGATCGGGTAGAAATGTTTTAAGTAGATAGTATGCATTCGGTCACGACAGTCATGCAATAGGCTTAAATCGTCCCTAGGTATGCACCGCAAAGCCTAAGAAAATTCAGAATGCGAGAACCCGGAGACTTAAAGGCTGAAGTATATTCTTGTACTCGTAACCACACGGCCAATGATATAGATTAGATGTAAACGCTGGAACGAATAGTAAGACTAGTCGGAATCGGGATTGAACAGAAGCCGAGGTGCATTGTACTCCGAGTTAGGCGCTTTGATGCGTTCGTTGTGCCTCCCCAGAAATGTTAGACAGACTTCTGTGAGGATGTCAGTAGTAACCAACACAGAGCAGGCACTGACATCACATACCAATAGAAAACTCAGCGCCGCATGTAGGACACGCAGCTATGGGCTGCTTGATCATATATATTCGGATAGGCATTTCAAACAGCAGACATGCGTTGAAGGTCCCTGCAGCACTACGTACTTACCGCATGGCATAGAGACAGTCACATATGAAGATTGTATGGTGGTTCTGATACAGTGGAAAAAGGAAAGAAAAGAGAAAAGAGGGAAGGTTGAAAACCAATCGGAATGGTGATGACTGTTCCTCTGACGCGTCGCGACAAAGTGTCAGTGGAGGCGAACCTGTCGAGCGGGCCTTGAGTTTATTTCGTATCTAAAATAAATACAATGATGATGAGATACCAATATAATGAAGACCATGTAGTTTACACACTTTCTGTACATTACAAGTACTCCATGGATCCAAGAAAGACGCTCAAGCCAAGAAGAGACTGCTGAATGTTACCGGCAACGGAACAGCCACGTGGCTACGCTGACAAATCACTCGACTGTTCCTCTTTCTCCCGCAATCTCAACGCAGAAACAAAGGAATTCCCTCTGCAAGGTACATAATCCCTTCATGTTTCATGGCATTAACATTAAGGCACAAATACCTGTGGTCCCTACTATCTTTATTCAATTTAACCCGTCTTGATTTGGGTGAAAACCTTGTAAATCTCTGAATTCGCTTTCACATCGCCGTGAACCTTAACTCCAGATTCAAGAACCTTATGTTAGCGGTTATTGGGTCGGCTAGTATGTTCGAAACTTGCAACTGAAGATAAGGATATCTGGGCTGTACAAAGCTGTACAATGCAGACGAACGCGTTTCAAGTAAGTCTCTCTTACCATCATTGACAGTGCTTTCTTGCGCTTTACCAAGACCCCAATCATAGGATCTAGGTTCCAAGGGGTTCGAGATGACTATTATAATCATTTTATTTCATGCCATACCAGTGGTAATGATTGAATGTCACCCGCCTGCGGGGATATATCAATCCCGTTTACTAGCTTGAAACTTAGGTTTTTTTTTTGACCCTAATATGTACGCTACCTAGTCTTCTGTTTCGTCCAACCGGATCTTACTGCTGGATACTTCTGAACGTACGCCACCCAACAGTAGCGAGGCCATGCCGCCATCAAATGAGACGAGACCGCAATAATGATTTCCTGATATAGCGGAGTGACCTACATAGTAGGCGTAATAGGATAGGGTCCTTATCACTTGTTTGTCTCCTCTCGTCTTCTCTTTAATCGCAAATCGGTAACCATCTCCACTTCCACAGTCACAAAAAGCGCACCATACGTAAGTCCGCGGGCCAACCTTTTACAGATGTCGGACAAAGTGATGATCGTCGGTCCTTATATACAGGTTTCCTTTGATTTCTTCATGGGTTGTTTGGTATTTCTCTATTCATTCAAACTGCCAGGCTTTTCATCTTCATCAAAGGGATCCAGGAGCTTTGTAAAAGATACATATGCTCACAAGTCTTGTCTTCATGGATAAACGCCATAATTAATCTCAAAGGCCATCATTGTGCAGCGCGATCTGGCAAACCGCTTGGACGCTATTGGCACTCTCGCGCCACATCAGGATTACAAACATTTCTTTGATGTGGTATATAATGTAATTGACCTTCTCTTCTTTACACGACCCTGTTCCTTCATTTGCTTCAGTGTGTCCAGGAGCCCACGATTGTCAAGCGATTCCCGAACCGTTTTGTTGGTCAGCCTGAACTCCCTTGGGTACGTCCTCGAAGTCCTATCCGATCCCTGAGGATGCATTCTGCATGCGGCCAGGATCATATGTCTATTCCTCCGACCAAGGTCCGATTTTTGTATCAGACTCTACGAAATGTTGTCGTTGTTCAATTCTGCGTGTTCCCCGTTCCCGGTCTATTCTATCTATATTCAGTACCTTCATTGCAATCAGCTGTTGCTGCCTGTCGACGCTACCTAGAGTACGCAATCTAGCGAACCATGGAAATGTCCAGATCTGACGTTGTTTGCGCCTTGAGATAGTTCGATGGATCTCTTCCCTTCGTACACATTTTCATCCTCCTCCTTATCCTCTCCTCCTCATCTGTCGGTGTTTCTTTCGGTACCAATACAGACAACGATCCGAGTCCCACGGATCCTATCTGCGATAACTGAGTGCTCTTCATGCCACCCTCATGTTTTTCTTGCTGAATGTCTCTGTCCGATTTCGGTCACTCGGCAGTTTGGGATTGTGACGCCACGACTCTGTACAGCAGCCGTTATTCAACAAGGTCCAGGAAATCACGTGGATAACATGCCGAAGTGCGCGCTTTGTTTTTTTTTATCGGTGATTAGTTCGCTTCGTAATGACGATAGGTTGTTTACGGTGTCTTGTCTGGCAACATGATTACAGTCTAACAACCTCGCCTCGGGTTAGGCAGCCGCCTTGCTTCTGTCCGTTTATAGTTTAGCAGCTCTGAGGACGTTCTATGATGGTTACAGTCTTTGAATGTATGATCGATAACAGTTCGGTTATGACTAGGTTGAGGCGTAGCAAACTTGGGACAGAAACCGCGAAATACATTCATTCATCTTGGCATCGATGGTACCCAAGCGGCTAGGCAATGGATGCCTCAGGTCCTTCGCGGGACTGCCATGATCTACATCTAGGCGCTGAGGCTTGATTAACTTCAGTGGGATTTTTCGTTCCGAATGGCGCACGGATAGTGACCGGCAATTTGATGGAAGGTCACTGGTAAGTATTTCGGAAACATGAGCGATTCCACTCATGCAAGTCGCTAATTGTTTGTTCCAGAACACGAGCAAGGAATACGGAAGGGGGGCCTACCAGGCCATCAAGGCACGTGCAGAAGGCTATATACTAGGTACCATATATATATAGCCAATCCTTCATTTCCATCAACCCCCTCCTCGGTGACCCCACCGTCCTTTGACTATCCAGTCCATTCACGCTCCGACTCTCTTTCATCTTGGAGGACATCGCTGGCTACCGGTCGTCAGTATGCCTCATAGCATTCGTGCTACCTTATGCGATACTGCTCAGAAGCTGGGCTACTTTCATGTCCCAGTCACTGCTCTCGAGCCTCTGCGGGGCCCCGACGCCGTCAACTTTGACGAACCCCGGTTAAGCCCTATCTGGTTCAAGCCACCATGCCCACCATGCCCGTCAGGTACGTTCCGTAGGCTGAACGTGTAATCCCCGATCACTGACCGTTATTGCAGCAGATACCGACATGCAGGAGTTGCCGAAGATGAATATCAGAACAACGCGATATCGTCAGAGAGGTCGTCCTCGAGAAGAGTGCGAAGTAACACCAGAGGAGGCCCTCGCTAACATGCTTGCCGCAACCAGTATTAGTTCACGATCAAGTTACGAATTGGGAAGTTCCGTATCGTCGGATTCATCGCCCAGTCCCCGAGGGCCTGAGGACAGTGAGTGTCATCAATAGATCTAACTTGGGGACTCTCGACCCTGACCATCTTTTTACATTCACAGTCCCTCGGTGCCTATTAATGGACAACATCCCGACGCCCGCAGCTAAGTCGGATCTCGTTTCGAGGTCGACCGCTGAGAAGAGGGGAAGAAAAGGTAAGGAACCCTCGGCTTCGGTTGTGCTTCGTCTCGTACTTATTCAATTGTAGCTCGACGACGAAGCGCGCCTTATAGCCCGTATCAGTACTGTCCAGCATTGCAACGGCCAGACCGAAGCCGAGGGGCGAGGGATCCTTCCCCCATGACTGTTGTTTCTGACTAGTTGTATACTGCGTGTACTTGCCATGTAATTCTATATCTATATTATTCAGTTCAGATTTGCGCCGGCGACCACGAGGACAGTCGAAACTTGTTCACCAAAAAGGGCTTAGGGTCTTATCCCATTAGGTACCCCGGGCGCTTGTATATCGTCTACATGAGCGGTTACTGATCGCCAACCTGAAGTTTCCCTCTGCCATTTTGCCAGATCTTTCCGCCGTTTGCGCGGTATTATCGACTTGATGGAAATTGGCGCTTCAGTTTGTGGCGTATTACTTTGAACCTGAGTCCCTGATGTTGTAGATCATTCCAAAGTTTTCGCAAAATCGACATGGTTATTGTTGACTCATCATCTATAGGGACCATCTAACTAGAAGCTCAGGCCTTGAGCTGGTCAATCTAGATGACCTCTGGAGTTTAAAGTTTCAGTCTGGTGTCGGTGACAGAAGAATTCGACGAGCACTTTTTCTAGGAATCATTCAGTGAGTGGTTCGGAATGCGGCACTATTTCCAACTTTAGATTTTGGTCCACGCAGCGTCAGCAGTGCTTTGATGGGAGCTCATGAGCGCTGAGGATCTAGAGTCTCTATAGAGGGATTGCGAGTGCGTTAAGGCACTATCACTGATCCCTATCTAAGCCCAAGCTTCGTTCTTTGCGATAGCAAAGTAGGAAGTCTGTCAGGAGTAGACCGCGAACTGTACCCATGCGCACCCTTGCTAAACACAGATCGCGAGTACATGATAAACAAAACCTGGCGAGGGACAGCAAACTTGTCATAGAGCTGATGGCGAATCTTTGTATTACGAAGGGCGATGTCTGAAACAAGGCTATTATTACCTATTCGTCATCGCAAAGCTGTAACGTCGAGAGAGAAAAAAAGACTTCAAAACCCGGTGCACGATGTACGCGATATTGAAGTACGGATTCCATCGTTCTTCTATGAACAGAAAGACACTTATTTTGTCGGCCCATACGAGTTCGATAGAGGCCAAAATCTGGACCAGATGAGAGTATTCATACAAGAAGAATGAGCCTACTCCGAGATATGGATAAGGCGCATACTCGGGGTGTGCCGTTGTAACATCGTAGTCCGGGGAAAGTTCGTTAATTCCAGGAGTCGCAGACTAAGGGTAGCAAAGGATTGGGTCTGAAATCCAGAACTATCTCGATGAGAAGTCGAACACTGCGTCCTTTATATACTGAACTGTTTCGCTGCGGCCAAGTGAGTTTCGGTCCTCGTTTTGAATAAAAGTCGTGAGCCATTGTTCTACATGATTGAGTCAAATTCAGGTACCAATATCGTTTACAGATAATAAAGCATACCTGAAGCCTCGTAGCAACATGATGGAGAGTAGGAGCGGAAGCTTCGGCCCGGAAGCCGATGTGGCGCGAATGATGGCGCTTCACTCAACGAGGCTGCCATTCCTTATTCGAATTTCCGAGTGTTGAGATTTGGACTGTATCCAGAGTACATGCTCGTAAGACCTTTAGTCTTTGGGTTACAAACTCCTGAGGAGTTCCCCCATTGACTTCTCATATTTATACAGGACTACTCCTTTTCTAGTAGTTTCTACCTAATTTCTTCTCTTTCCCTCGGATTCTTTCCTTACTCAGCATGCCGAACTCTCTCGCAGATTCCAACACCGAGAGTGGCTTAACTTGGTCTCTTCTTGTTAAACGGACCTCGTACATCAAATAATGTATGTTCGCTGCGCTCCATATCATAGCGGGTTGGCACTGGAGCTTTCCATCACAAACCAGCTAGATGATGAAAGAATATCCTTTATTATCTGGTGAACAACGGTTGCTATCATTGGCACAATAAATTTTAGCCTCCGGGCCATTGAAGAAAAGAGGATGAGAAGAGGATGCACGCTGCGAGATTCCTTATTTATTGTTAAGTGCAAGTTCATCGACTGAGAGATCATAACAATTAGTACGCTGGCCGTCACGTTCATCCATTGATATGCAGTTTGAATAAGGCTTGAACGTCAGCGGCATATAACATGCATATACATTTTGGACATTGGCGCTTTGACGGGCTTCCAGTGGTTTGTTGACCTGGCTTTTGTCTTGTTGTCACCCCGAGCCACTTTGCTTCCCTTTATAATGGAACACTATGACTTGTTCTTATTGCCGCACTTACCTCATCTTCAAAGCGACATATCTCACTCAGACTACGTGTTAGATTGAGTAAGTGCACTCATTCTCAACACATTCTTAGAGTCACTCACAGCTTCGAATTAGTACAAAGTTCCTTATTCCTAATCAGCGTGACTTGGACATGGCGACCGCCGTACTACCAGGATCTTTGACACTCAGTCAACCTCAGGACAAATACATCTATTCGCACTCATTCATTAGTCTCCTCCAGACCAACGACCCACCTACTAACCCAGATGCCACTCGCACGATGATGGCACAAGCAGCCGACGATATAGCTGTTGCAGAAAGGAAGATAGCATCCCTTCGGTCTCAGATCATGGAAAAGGAGGCAGAGATTTACGCCTTGCGTCAAGTTATTGACGACTGCACCGCTGTACTCTCCCCCATACGCCGTCTGCCAACCGACCTCGTCCTGGAGATCTTTCGCTTTGTCGTCCCAGAAAGGTATAACGTTTTCGACATTACTCGTGGACCGTGGCTCGTTACACGCATATGCAAACGGTGGAGGACCTTGGCATGCACATACGGTGCCCTCTGGTCATCAGTACATATCACAAACATCGCGTCCCGTGCCACAATACGCTCCCTCAATGAACCCGTCATGCTGCTTCAAACTGCTCTGGGGCGATCTAGCACGTTTCCTCTTTCAGTATGGTTCGAATATGGAACCAAGAAGAAATGGTCAGACTACGCGAATTTCGAAGATGAATACGATTCGGAAGACAGCTTGTCATCGACGGACAGTGACAATGGAGAGTTCAGTGCGTCAATAGATGGCGAAGATGACGATCAAGAGGACAGCAACGAAGAGGAAAGCGATTACGAAAGCACTGTCGACAGTGTCGATACGATGGTCGACCGCCAACTTGTGAAAGTGCTCATACAGCACTCTCACCAGCTGCAATATCTAAATATCGAGGTAGCGAGCCCTTCCATACTGAAATGCCTCCGTTCACTACACGGACGGCTGGACCGTCTGGAGAAAGTGCACATATCCTTGCCCTGGGATGCACGGGATCACAATGAGCTCCAAGAAGCCTTCACCCTTGCACCCAAGCTTTGTTCTGTTCGTCTGAATGGACTCTCCTTAGAAAGCGTGCTCAACTTCCCACTCATCCAACTCAAATCCCTCGACCACCAGCCCCAGAGAATGTATGCGGATGTATGGCTGTCGACAGTCCAAACCATCCTCCTTCAGGGGTCTCATCTGACAGACTACGCGCCCCCTTCACCCCCGAAGCCATACGATAGTAACATGCCTTGGCTCTGCAGTTACTCGATTCGTACTTTTCGTGTCAATGCTTGGTATGTGCTCGACTACTTCCATCTCCCAGGAATCGACGAGCTACGCATCCGCCACTTCGGGTGGGCACGTGATCAAAGTGCAGGAGACACTCTGGCAGCCTTCATCCAGCGTTCAGGATGCACTTTGAAGAAACTCCACATCCGAGGTATTCCAGATAGCATCCTCTCGGCATTCCCGTCTCTCCACAACAGCCTTGTCGAGCTCGAAATCACGGTCACTCATTCGAACGAGAGGCTTCTGTCAGGGCTAAGCGCCTTCATGCGTGCACCTGGTCATTTTTCGCTTCTATCAAGACTCGAGATAAAATGTTCGAATGAGATTTCCTGGTACCCTGAGGTGCTTTATGATTCTTTGAAGGAAATTTACGCTTTCGTCGACGGTCTGTGGAGTGCAAGAACGAAGGTGCGGGTTGAAGTCTGCATCGACACATCTCGTTTTGATGTCCATCGAGTATGCAACGTTGCGAAATTCAAGCATCTACTAGATGAAGGAATGGATATCGCCATTTTTGCGGTGGGCAAAAGCAAGTCTTGGGAAGACACTACCAGTGAAGAAGAGGATGATGTTTTGGACTTGCGTAACGTTCTTCTTGAGGAAGACAACAGTAGTGACTGAGAAGACGATTTTCAGCATGACGATGGTTTAGGTGAAGAATCCGATGTGTGCTAGATTCCCTTATACCTATGCGATATGATTAATAACGATATTTGACGTGACGATGGAACAACAGTACTGAACGGACATGACTTCAAGCAGAGTGCGAGGTAGAGCGGGGCGGTGCGTATAGTCGCGTAGAGTCCTGCATAGGCTGAAGTCGGCCATGCAAATTTTGTGTCATAGTTGCCAAGCAGCGTCTGCGTAACCAATCTATCAGTTTCTCGCAGAGGACCATATATCTGGCACTCACTGTGAAGTAGACCCCACAGGTTCAGCTCCAAATCGTATAATCAGCCTCGATGTCGTTCAGGACGACAGTACATGCTTTGCATATTGATAGGTCCAGAAACGAAGCTTGAAGGCATGACTGCAGAGTTGTTTGCCTTGGGGCTGACATCATGGTCACGGTAAGGTGCGATGTGGCCAGTCGGTCCGTCGGAGATCAAAGATCTGTTCCTGTCATCTTCTGTTCATTTTCAATTTTTGTGTACATTGTACTACCCTCGCATTCGTTCAAGCCATATCCATGATAATCTTCTTAGGCAATGGTTTTATGTGACTAAAACACAGAGCACTGGCGCTATGTTCACGAATTACGTCCAGCGAGGCCCGAAATCTCCTTTAAATAATACGGCTACCAAACAACCTTGTCCTCCTCGAAGTCAAGACGGGGAAAGGGCACAGCATGGATTTTTGTTTGGCTGATGAAGAGACGGCTTGCAGCCTGGAGGAAGCGGGCACAAGAGTCGTTCAAGATGTAATGCGTTGACACGGAGGGGTTTTGTGGGTTCTCGTTCTCTATACATGCTGTTCCCACTTCTAAATGGCATGTATAGAATTCGTACTACCCGTGCCAACTCGACGATTCCATATTCGGCACCCATCAGCGCAAGATTCATTATACCAGTTCCAGGCAAGGATGCTCTATGCCGCCCTTTTCGTCCATGTCCACTTGATGGAGTAGGCGCGCTCGACGGGTGGTCATTTGTCACTAGGATCTGCATAGCACAACTGGACCTGCTGCGCCCTACGCCTTATTTTGAGCATCCGAGTCCGTACTGGCAGGCAATTACCCGGTCCAACGTGCGTCTAAAATTAGGCCATCATCGGGCAAGACTAATGCTCCGATATGGTTTCTAGTCGAAACAGAAGCAGATGGGACCAATCAAGCGCTTCTGATCCCTCTCGTGCGCTCTATGATCATTTTTACGCAACCTCTTGGTGCCTTACGGGGATCAGTTTAAGAGCAAAGATCACCGTCTCTCCCTTCCAAGAACTCCGCCATTTCACGATGACCACCGACGACGGGAAAGGCGTTTCCTTGCCTCAGTTCTCGAAGGATTATGATGAACAAAGACCGGAAATTCTGACGACGAAAGAAAGACTATCCAGCGCATTCACTATCGCTTGCTCTGGTACGAAACCATGTCCTGCCTCTTCTGCCTTCTTCTCATATCAGTCCCAGGTTTTGCTCTTATTAGCGACGGGTTACAGAATGTAGGCTTGTAATTCCCTCGTGCCGAACCCGTGCTGATTTCTATGTCCATAGAACATCATGTCACTCGTAAGTCCGCTCTGGGCCCTACATCTCGGCACTCGTGACAATCCTTCCTCAGACGAATGTCGTCTTTGCTCAGCTCTATGGCTCAGCATACACTTCCCACTGGTCGACGCAGTTATCCAATTCTTTGACTGTTGGTACTATTTTCGGTCAGATTATCATCGGTTACCTCTGCGACGTCAAAGGCCGAAAGTGGGGAATTGTACTTTCGACGGTCATGATCGTCATTGGGATCATACTCTGTGCTGCATCCCATGGCGCCAATGGGAGCTTTATAGGCTTCCTTTGGATGTTCACTGTTTGTACGTTCGCCTATTTCCACCGGGTTCCGTCTCTAATTCGCTGTATTCCAGGTCGAGGTATCACTGGTATAGGTCTGGGAGGAGAATACCCCAGCTGTTCAACATCTGCTGCGGAAGCTGCCAACGAAAAGATCAGGAAGCAGCGCGGGCCAGTTTTCATCATGGTCACCAACTTTATGCTCTCTTTCGGGACACCTTTCGCCTGCATCCTCTATCTGATCGTCTTTGAGGCAGCAGGTAAGTTTTGCTTCATATGTTCGAACGCCATAATGACATCCCTTTCCTTAGGTGGTTTAGATGCGAATCTTTCAACTGTGTGGAGAACTGTTTTCGGTATCAGCTGTATACCTCGTCAGTTTATCATGTTGACTACTATCATGTCCAGAGTGTTGATCTGGTACTACACCTACAGCTCTCGCGGTATTCTATTTCCGTCTCAAGATGCTTAACTCACAACTCTACCGGAAAGGTGCCATCCAGCACAATGTGCCGCACCTGTTGACCATCAGATACTACTGGAAATCCTTGATCGGCACTGCGGGGGCGTGGTTCTTGTACGATTTCATTACCTTCCCCAATGGCGTCTGTAAGTGTACACTCTCCATTACGGTGTTCACGAATTTAATTACCGAATGGCAGTCTCGGGTCAAATTATCTCCTCTGTCGTCTCGGTGAAAGGAAAGGCACTCGTTCGGAAGACAGCGGAATACCAACTCCTTTTGGGCGCGATCGCGCTTCCGGGATGCGTTGTTGGTGCATTATTGGTCAATCGTCTGGGGCGGAGGAACACAAGTATGTCACGTCAATAGACCTTCTGAAGCGATGTTGCACCTGACCCCCCGCGCCACAATTTTTAGTGATTCTCGGGTTCAGTGGATATCTTATTTTTGGTCTGGCGGTCGGGTGTGCCTATGACAGGGTCATCAAGAATGTCCCGGGGTTCATTGTATTGTATGTTGGTTGCTACCCTCTTGTGGTCGTTGTTCTAATCTGAGGGGGGCTGGGGCAGATATGGTCTGATGAACTCTTTTGCTAATGCCGGTCCTGGGGACATGCTCGGATTGACTTCCAGTGAATCATATGCGACTGCTGTCCGTGGGACATGCTATGGGTTTTCAGCAGCCATTGGAAAGGTCGGCGCAGTTGTAGGAACTCAGGCTTTCACGCCAATTCAGCATAATTTGGGGAAGCGATGGACGTTTGTGAGTTGTTACTCGAGCTGCGGAATATGCCTCTTATTTTTGTCAGATCATTGCGGCTATCTGTGGTTTGGCAGGTATGACTGTAACCTGGTTCTTCATTCGTAACGAGTAAGAGTATTTCGGTCACCTGTATAGAGAACTAACTTTAAACTTTCTTCCTTTAGTTTGGATAGAGATCTGGCTATGGAGGACGCAAATTTCCAGGCGTTCTTGGAAGCAAATGGTTGGCACGGAGACGTTGGCGCGGCAGAGTCCGTTGATGCTTTAGTTGCGTCGGAGAAGGGCGAGGTATCTAAAGAACTGATGGTTTCATAGATGGTCAGGTGAAAAAGAAAGCTCTACTATCTAACATATGTTTTGTTCATATGAATGTATAGACTGTGCATTTTCTTTATAGGCGTGCAACCGGGCAACATGAGGAGGCGGGTCCGGGAAAGCCCAAAATGTCGATGACGCGTGACGTCATTGCGCTTTGCTAGCGGGAACCAATTACCACTAATAAGTGATGTTTTTTCCCATGCTGCTTCGACATCCTTGATTTATTCGGGACGAAGTCTATTCCTTCACTTGGTGGAACCGTCTTCCCCTTTTGAGCCTGCTTGGAACATAATTCTGCACCACATGGTCGGTGACCCAGCTGCTTGATGAGTATCCGGCCCCCTCGTAGCTTATCGTTGTCATCTGTTCAAACGGCAACGGTACTTAGCCGAGCGCGTTTCATTAACGAGGAACTATACCGAGTTTTGGGTCACTGACATCGTGCATGTGCGCCGTTCTCAAGCAAACTACCCAAGTGGGGAACTCTTGGCGTCCAAATTTTAATCCGTAAAGTCCACCTCCATTGTGGCACTTGTCACGTCGCGATGTTTCCGTTTCAAAAGGGTAGGAAGCTCACCCTCAAACTGGCTGACCGTATTCATCCTTCGGACTTTCACCGATGAGTCGGTTTTTTCCTTCTGGCGCTGTCTACTATCATGTGTTCGTGTCGAGTTTTGAGTGGTGGCTTGTCGCTACAGTTCTCACCAGGAAGTCACTTTGCCTTTTCAGTAGGGTCTCCCTTGTGGTCTGCCTCTAGAGCTGGATATGCTGCTTATGTTGTTCACGTTGTAGCAAGTCGGTAATGCGGAGCAGCTGAGGTATAAAGGAGACGATGGAGGTCCCGTCGACTTCATCGAATCTGACTACAGCCTCTTTTCTCACCCCAAGGCACGATTATCATGCTCTTCTTCACAGCAGTCGCTCTCGTCTCTTCTCTCGTCTCCCCAGTCTTCGGTGCATCGTACCAGCAAACCGACAGTTTCGTCGGTTCTCAGTTTTACTCTGGTTTCTCGCATCAAACGATTTCCGACCCTACCAATGGGCGTGTGTACGTGACCTGGTTGATAATCCATCTCATGCTAATGCACTGATCGTCGCAGAAATTACGTCGACGTTTCAACATCTAAATCACGCAACCTAACCTATGCGTCTGGTGACACCTTCATCCTACGCGCTGATGATACGACCGTCTTAAGTGCAAGCGGACCCGGTCGTAACTCCGTTCGTCTGATGTCGAACAACCAGTACAACAGCAACAGTGTCATGGTGTAAGTTGTATAATGCATTTAAAGAATTAATGTTGACTTGCTTATTCAAGATTCAACATCCGGCATATGCCCCAAGGATGTGGGTTCGTGGTTTTCAGTACGAGCGGAGTGTATGGCATTCAATTTATTCTAGCACCTGGCCTGCAGTATGGACTGTGGGGAATAACTGGCCCAACGGGGTGAGGTTTTCAGACCTTGTAAAAACCTCACGTTTACCAAAACAAATTTAGGGAGAGATAGATATTATCGAAGGCGTTAACAACCAGGCATACAACCAGGCTACTTTGCATACCTCATCCGGTATGCTAATTCTGTATCAAAAAGACCGATGCTCATATTATTATTCAAGGATGCACGATGCCTAGTAGTTCACGCGCTCAGACTGGGTATTTTCGTTTCCGGCTTGAAAACCCATTTTACCATTGAAAATATTTTTAGAATTTCTCTCGTAAACGACTGCAACGCAAACGATAACGGTAACTCAGGATGCGGTGTCCAGATACAGAATGCGAATAGCTACGGATCGGGCTTCAACAACAACGGCGGAGGCTGGTTCGTCGTCAACTGATTTCTCGGTAATTGCGACTGACTTTGGATTCTTAGGTATGCTCTTGAGTGGACCGGTTCCTTTATCAAGATCTGGTTCTGGGGCAGGCATGATTCCAACGTCCCCTCTGAAGTCTCAAACGGTAGCGGTTTCGTCAACACCGACAGCTGGGTCAGTACTTCTCCCATTTGGAAACCTCAGTAGTAACTCAAGGTGCCATAGGGAACCCCCGCCGCATATTTCCCGGGCAACTCTTGCCCAATTGCGAGCCATTTCAGTGCCCAGAACATTATTATTGACTGTAAGCGATGACCTATAATACTTTTTTCCGTGAGTTCACCTAGACAATTATCTCAGTAACTTTCTGTGAGTACCTCTTTCTTTTATTATCATTTATTTCCCTCTTTGTCTTACCACATTCTTAGGTGGCGATTGGGCTGGAAACGTCTACGCAAGCTCCGGTTGTCCTTCCTCCTGTGTTGGTAAGTACACGACTTACATGAAAGCAATCACGAAACTAATGCTGCACATATTAATAAGATTTTGTCAACAACAACCCCAGTGCCTTCGCTGATGCTTACTTCGACTTTGCTTGGGTCAAGATATATGACTGATTTAGCATTGATACTCTTTATTTTTGTAGTTTACTTTGAAGAATGTTATGCGGTGCAGATGTCTCTATACCTCCGCTCCTATGGTGGGAGGACAACCAATTTAAATACGTTCGTTATGGATCATAGCGTCCAAAAATACGCGTACGAATCCGGACATCCCGGCCGCCGCAGCAAGGATTACTTTCGACTTATCCGCAAGTGACCGACGGGAATAGAACACGGGATGGTCGCACGAGTGGGACAAGACCTGTCATTTTTTCAGCCTGCGAGTAGTACCAATAAATTTTAGAAGACCTGTGGGAGGTGGAGTCAAGTATAAAAAGAATTTGACTCTCTTTATAGCTACATTAAATAATGAATATTACTACGGAGTACAATGTGATCGGGAAGAGAAATGTGTATCAGGCGAGCAAGAAACAGCCGACAGCAAAAATTTGGAGAAAGAGGAGACAAGCTAGCTCGCTTACTTCACTCCAACTTTACCTACTTGTGTATCATTATGGGCGTTAGCTTCCATCACCAACAAAATAAAGAAAATACTGAAAAAAATAAATTATATGAACCAAAGCTAGTGGGGCTATCCAAATCTCATCGTGATCGTCTCTGATTCCTCAGGATCAGACAGGATTTCCTGCCTTCTCTGAGCGTACTCTTCCAATCTCTGCTTTCGTCCTACTCTGCCCCTACCACCTCGTTTGCTGACCCACTCCACCCCAAGTACCTCAATAGCACTCCCATCGTGGCCTGCTCCCCATCCGCAGCTCATCAACCCCCGTCCATCATCCTCTTCGCCCTCTCCCTCTCCCTCACCCCATCCACCCAAAAATCGGCCAATGACTTCCTCCTTAGAATTACCGACCTCCGGTCCTCTTCCCGAAACCCGAATGATCCTTACACGTACCCTCAAGTCACTCCCTTCCTTCTTGGCCTTTCTTGCGCCGCTATACGTGACCCAACCTGCGTGCACAGCACATGAAAAGAGGTCAGAATCATCCGTGTATACTCTCCTTTCCGAGTCGCCACCACCCCAGATTTTGGTTTTCCCCGGTGGTGGCCGTGAATCGGGGAAGAATCCGTTCGGCACAAGAACTTCAGCTACCCGTTCGCAGTCCACGATGATCGCATCTTCCTCGCCTTCTTTCACCGGATTCGGTAACGGCGGGAACTCCTCTTTGGGTGTTGGCGGAGGGAAGTGAAAGGGGAATGGCACTTTGGGCCAAACATATGTGCCCAAGTGTAGTTTTACTTTGCTTCGAACGGGACGAGACAACCTTGGTCTCTTTCCTCCCCGAGAATCTCGTACGATCTCCCGCTCCCGTTTCTTGTTTGAATTATCAAAGACGATCCCTGGAGGCCCTCCCATTGGAATACCGACCGGACCAGACGCGGCCGGAACGAATTGTGTGTGGAACTGATTCTGGAATTGGCGTTGAGGGAGAGAGCCTGGTACGAATGGCTTGGGTGTATGGCGGTCCATGCGTTCTCGGTCCACACGTTCCCTCTCTATGCGTTCCCTCTCCATTCGTTCACCTAATCGCTCGGCTCGCTCCCTTTCATCAATGACTGGGCGTGCAGGGTTAATGGGGGTAGGGTTAATTGGTCTGGATGCCGCTTTGTCATCTGGAAGAATATATGAGTCGTCAAGTTACCGAGATATCTCAACAACACTGACCTCTTCTTGAGGCTGGCCCGTATGGTCCATCCATACCAAGACTTGCCATTGCTGGAGAGCGGAACAGTTCTCTCTCTCGCTCCCTCTCCCTGTTCACGTCATGTATGGTGCGTCCCTGAGGCGAAACTCTCTCCCTTTCTCTTTCCCTTTCTCTTTCCCTTTCCCGTTCCCGTTCCCGTTCCCGTTCCCGTTCTCGTTCTCTTTCTCGCTCCCTCGCCTCTAGTCGTTCCCTATCAATCGTCCGAACATCCATTCTCTCCCTTTCCCTCCTCTCCCTTTCTCTTCCACCAAACCCCCACCAACCCTCCTCTCTAGGCCACGGCGCCCAGCCACCTGGTCCTGGTCCTGGTCCTGGCCCCGGACCTGGTCCCGGACCACGATCACGCTCACTTCGCGGCTCTCGAGGGACTTCTCTTGGTTCCCTAGGTACGTCACGTATTTCTCTGGGATCCCTAGGCAACTCACGTATATCGCGCGGCTCTCGTGGCATATCACGTACATCGCGAGGTTCTCGTTGCAAATCGCGTATTTCTCGCGGTTCTCGAGGTACATCGCGTATCTCCCGAGGCTCCCGTGGAATTTCACGTATGTCTCTTGCCTCCCGGGGTATATCTCGCAGATCTCGGGGCTCCCTGGGTGGCAATCTTTCTTCCCGGATCACGCTTCTTTCTCGTGGAGGCAGACGAGGCTCCCGCGGGGGTATGCGCTCAATTTCGCGAGGAGGGAGTCTGTCGACTTCGCGAGGCGGTATTTCGCGTGGAAGAAGCCTCTCATCCCTGCGTTCCATGTCCCGGGGTGGCAAAATCTCCCTCGGGGTTCTATCTTCTCTCGGTTCGCGTGGTGGCATTCGCTCAATCTCCCGTGGTACTAACCTGTCATCCATGAATGGCTTGTATAGAGGAATGGCACCATATGACGCACCTTGCATCATCTCTAGGTTCACGTGGAGGGAGTCTCTCCAATGGCCTGGATAACGGGGGATGAATACCGTTTGCCACGAAAATTAGAGTCACGAAGCTTACCTGTCATCCCGTCTGTCTATTTCCCGTGTTACCAGTCTTGTTAACGTCAGGCAGATGGAACAAATACAATGAAGAGATAATTACCTATCATCCCTAGGTTCACGAGGCGGAAGTCGTTCAATTGGCCTGATCCACAAACATTATTATGGCACCCGATGATAAGCAAAATAGCGCACCGTTCATTTTGTCGCTCAACCTGTATATCTCGTGGTGCCAGCCTTGCTCCGCGTTAGTCACGTAGGGATGAGATAGATAAAGTAAAACACACACCTGTCATCCCTGAGCTCACGAGGTGGAAGCCTTTCAATTTCTCGAGGAATCAACCTAAAGCATGAAATTAATGAACGCATAATCTTTGAATAAAATGAAAAACTTGCCTCTCGTCTCTTGGCTCCCGCGGAGGCAGGCGGGAATCTATAGCTGTTAGTTCCCTCGGTGGCGCACGATCGCCTGTCTCCCTCGACAATCTCCGTTCTCTATCTTCCCTAGGTTCTCGGGGTGGCTCGCGCGTCATCTCTCTTGGTCCAGTTGGTGGTAACCTGGTCTCCACGACCCTGGGCCCTATGGTAACGCCAACATCAGGTAGACGAGCAGCACCATTGACGGGAGCGTCAGGTATCCGTCCTGAGTCAGACAATCTCCCTCCACCACCTACACCGCCTCCGCCACCACCACCACTATCAACAGTAACTCCAGGACCAGCCAACCTCGTGCTGCTGCCGCTCGCAGTTCCAGGCCGTCGATCATCAGAAGGGGAATCTTGTAGCAGCGCGGCTACGTTCATTTTGATGAGGAAATAAATTCGATTGTAAGCAACGACACTGCGGGTTGTTAGTGACGGTCGGCAGACAAGAGGATCGACGTCTGCGTGAAGATGAAAATGAAGGGAAAGCTTCAACACGTGTATCGGCCCGTGGGTCCGCTAAATCTAGGTAATGTTTAAACTTTCGGAAAGGAACAAATGTGTATCGGATATGGTGTAACGGCTAACATTGCCGCCTCTCATATGAATGCGCGGCAGCTCGGGGTTCGATTCCCCGTATCCGAACGGCAGTGATAATCCTTTTTTTGTTAGTCAACCTCAAGAGCAGTGAGGCTTGAGACAATTGAATTGCCTGAGTTGCTTGACTGAGGACTCTTATACACTAAGCTGCACTGAGTACGTGTCCTAAGCAGTGAGCATTGAGCACTGAGCGCTTCCGAAGGTTTCAGGAGCGCTCCTCTGAGAAAGTAACAGAAAATAAGCAACTTAAACAACATAGAAGCATCATGTTGCTCTTTGAGTTGTAAGCTTAAGGCTCGTACTAACGTTCACACTCGTCGCTGACCTACATGGCTCAGCTCTGCATTAGGTTTTTCCGAGCCGCACATGGAATCAGAAACTCATACTCTTTATTGAAGGAACACTGGCACTGCTGTAAACCCCAAAAGATATATCCAAAGATTCGACAGTAATCGATTAATCCTTCACGCGCGAATCGAACCAAGACCCTGCCTTGTGCTGTCAACCGTCCCTCCCATGAGGTAATCAAGTCAAATTCCTACGCCGCGGACTTGAAATTTTGTCCGTATATGTTTTTCGAGATTAACGTTGTCTGTCGATCTGCACCCGTGGGGAATGAGTGAAGGAGGTGGCGTCGACAGGATCATTTGATGTCGGTAACCAAGACTGGAGGAAAGCCGAACGTGCTGTAGAAAGTTGATAATTATCAGCGAAGAAGCGCATTAAGAATAGCTTCAACGTACTGTAACTGAGGGACAGGATAAATGATCAGCGAGCCTCGACGATGGCGGGTCCGAGGCGACATGGTCTCCAATTTTAAGACGCCGGTCAGGCTTTACACTGCAAGAAGACCCCGAAGGGTGGGTGTAAGGCGGTATTCCTGAGCTTGAGTGAGTCCTAGAGATTGTTTGTCCACGGAGAATGTTAACAGCCTACCCAAATGTCTACGAGAATAGAGAAAAAAGCAAGAATCGCGATGCAGAATCCAAGCTTACTTGATGTATCGTCCGTGGAAATGAGCCCGAAAAGATTGAAAGAGCTTGCTTGACTTGCTGGTTGGTGTAAGTCTGAAAAACGCTGACCTTTCTCGGTGATGCCGGACCAGGAACGTGGCCCTGTGGCGTCGTGTTTGCCAGTGTCTTCCCCTTCAAGTTGCCTCGTTTACTCTTGGCGCGCGCTTGCTGTTCCATTTTGAACGGATCTCCTCAGTGTGCATAATATATAATATATCACCGCTGATCGTTCTTTCTCTTCTGGTAGGGCTCCTTCCTGGCTGTCTTTGATACAGATTCACATCTTTACTCCTTTCTCGCACTCTTCTCGTCTCACAAGATTCATGTATGACCCACCCCCCCTTCCGTACCGAAGGCGCGCCGTTCCGTAAGTTTCACTTGATGTTTTTAACTTCGAAGCCGCAGCCAAGAAACCAAATATGATGTTTTGCGTTGAAATAAGCTTCTCTTTCCATCTGCAGGGACGACATCCACAGCATCCACGATCCCGTCCCGTAGAAGTTTCGATTTTTATTTTCCGACGGGGTCTTGCCATCAACTTATGGCGCCCATGTATCTGAATCCTGTGTCATGTCCACGCGGCGGGCTGGGGGTTGATAAAAACCTTCCAGGCGCTATCATCTCCTGAGCATCTGTTTTCTCGTACAACCGCAACCACAGACACTCTTCGTCTCTCTGTAGCTTAGGACTCTTAGATGTGACCGATCACCGATGCTGATACAGGTGTGCATATGTTACGCCGCAATAATTTTAACTAACCTAGGTTGCCATCATGTTTAGGTTCTCTATTTTATCGAGTCTAGGTCTCCCCATTTATTTCATCCAAGGTGGCGCCGGTTTTAAACATGAAAAGTTATCATCTTTTCGGCGATTTGAACTGTCAAGTTTTCTCACTGGGGGTCTTCTCCCGCATTACCTTTATACACGTTCCCAGGTATGTTTCTGTCGCCAAGCTTGTCGTTGACCTGCATGCTTGGCTCATCAAACCTATTATAAGCCTCGATTCCCTCCCGTATGTCGTTTATATTATTCACAGCCGATGGATGTAACTGTATGTCAGTTAGCCTACTACAAATGTCATGCACTGCCAACATGACGAGAGTCTAAATATGTGTGGACTGCCGCTGTCTTACTAGTGAGGTAATTCGAACAGTACATGATTTAATCCCGACAATAATGGCAAGCATCTATGGAGACCTCGATGACAATTGTTGTATAATAATCACGTAACGGCCTGATATAATTAGCAACACGCGCCCGTCTAAAGTTCTTTGAGCCCCCCCTCGATCAGGGAATTGCCTATTATGTCGGTGCTTCTCGTCGCAATGCGCTGTTTCTCAAGTTGATCAATCAAAGAATGAAACCGCGAGGAAAGGAGCGATGAAGACTGGAAAGGAAGGAAGTTATCGACGCTATGAAACTTGGGAAATGAGCGTGAGCAATTGGAGCGGGAATGACAGGATCATTTGATGTCGGTTCCTAGGTACAAGGATAGAAAGAGTCTATTTCGGCGCCGGCGTGACGGTTACAGGGAAAAACCCTAACTAGAGATAGGCTGAGGCACGAAGAATCGGATCATCAGACAGTTGGACTCGATTTCTTCAAGATTGCCTGAGTAAGTACGATTAGACAGGGGGCTTTGAAAAGTAAGTCCGACAGACGAGAACCCGAATATTGGGTGTGATGGTCGAGTACATGGACGAGGCTTACTGGCATGGACTCTGTTTCAGCTGAGACGAGACAAGAATGGTGGAAGAGATACCGGGTCATTACACTGCGAGTGACGGTGGTGAGTAATTGATGGTGGCGATAGTCATCGATGGATATTAAGGGCCTGCTACCGGCAGTGGCAGGTCAACAGACAGACTTCGGTTGGATGAAGCAGAAGAAAAGAACAGAACAGAGTAAAGGAAGAAAAAACAGCTCGTTGTTGCTAGTCAAATGCGGGAATAATTTAGTCTAGTTTGGGTCGTTAGCAGCCTAATTGAATGGAGAGACATGAATATGGTTACGCAGCGGAACATGGGTGGATATTTGGGATGGATGGATGCTCCAATAAGAACCTATTGAATGGGTACGACTGATCATCATGGGGCCGGCAGGAAGTTTTTCGAGAGCCAAGTGAGACATAGGAATTCCCAAACGTGTACGTCTTCGGTGGCAGCAATTGGGCGAGACGTAGGCTCGATACCAGCCTGTTTTGTTCTTGGAGACCCACCTGGGCTGATGATCATTTAATAGAAACAGTAGCCATATGGACTGGAGGTGGAGATTACCAGATAAGCAGCCCGATAAATGGTGAAACGTGCAGCTTGAATGACGACCCGTGAGTTTTGGGATGGTCTTTATTTCCGGGAGAAAGAACTGAATGAAAACACGAGACTAAATGGACCTGGCTGCCATATGCAAGACCTTCCCGCGAAGCACGTACGAGTCGCAGATCGGTCCTGGACTGCTGTCGGATGACACAGCAAGTCGCCGGTCGCTGCTTCAAGCTGAGGATCTGCTATGATTAGGTAAAATCTAGCATCAGAATTAATTGTCGATTCGATCCATTTCCTATTTTGTGGCCATCCGAGGAGGCGAAGAAACGCTCTCCGCGGGATTGACAGCCTCGAATACAGTATACGGCTCTCTTTCAGCTTTTCCAACTAGGAAGATGCTAAAAATAGGACCTGTGACGCGCGTCACATATCTCGATAATATTTTTCATTTTGGCCTTTTCATTTTTGTTTCCGTCTATAACAAACTCGTAACAGTTAACATAATGACGAGCCGAATATGCAGCGAGTCCGTCCATGTTAAATATCCTTATCCTTGCCATCATCCTCCATGACCGTTTGCTTTGTTTCTCTGCATGTCCTCCCCTGCAGCTGTTCATTCGCGCTCGAATTCCCCCGTCGATGCTGTTACTCCCACTGACGCCGGAGAGCGCGGAAAGTCTCGCCCTGCACACTCGCCCCTGCCACGAGTTGAGACGGAGGCCCCGCCCATGTCCACACCGCCCCCGACGATCAAGCGCTCCGATTCTCCGCCGCCGACCCTGGGTAAGCGGCCCCGTGCGCCTTCTGTCTCCGACCCTGACAATAGGCTCCCCGTCGTCGGGGAAAGGAAATATCGCGGTGACAAGCCCCTCCAGCCGTCAGAGTACGAAAGCAACCGCGTCATATGCGAGACATGCAGCACCAGCGTCTCTTTCCGCGACGAGCATAGTGGCGAGTTTACCCTCAAGCACTGGGAGGCGCATAGGATTACCTGGTCAGCCAACCCTGCCGACTATTTTTCATTATTGTTACTCATGTTTTCTCGACGTGTCACAGCTCTGAGCCAAACCGTACACCGCCGCCTCCAACAAAGCGCCGTCGTGCCAAGCGTACAGAGGACGAACGCATCGATTATCTCCGCAACGATCCCTACGTCGCCCAGTTCGAGGCATACAGGGTGCTGTGTGCCTCGTGCGACAAGTGGATTAGGCTCAGACCGAACTCGACCTATTGCAGCATACCTTGGGACGCCCACCGTAAAAGCTGTCTCTCCAAAAAGATGTAACATCTTCCTTCCCGCTTATTTCCTCATTGTATTCAATAAATTTTCTAGAACTTCTAAAAACACCTACGCTCTCGAGCAGCGTAACGCTGCGTTCTCAAAGGATCCAGACGTCCGCAAATTCGACGCTGAGCGCGTGTTGTGCGCTATCTGTGACTGCTGGGTTCCCGTACCTGTCCCCGACGACGGCGAGCTGTGGGCTCACCATCGTACAGCTTGTCGAGCGCGCTCTCTCAGCGACCATCACCATTCCTCGTCCAATCAGAACGCCAACCCGTCGGCGTCGGCGTCGTCATCGTCGTCGTCCCAGCCTCAACCCCAACCCCCGCCACCCCATCAACCGACGAATTCCCCGCCGGTTCAGCCCTCATCGCAACCTCCGCCCCCATCCACCCCTGCCCACGAGAGCAGGAGACGCAACGCGGAACAGCGAGCTGCTACTCTCCGCGCCGACGCCCTCATTGTCTCTGTCGAACCAAACCGGGTCTTCTGCAGCCTCTGCCAGAAATGGGTCCAGCTCCGACAAGACTCCAGCTTCTGTGCCTATCCTTGGCTCCAGCATCGCGGCAAGTGTTTAATGCGGAGGTACGGTTGCTCGAATCCTTGATTCATATTCAGATCTTTATTAATCAGAGTTCCTGGATCTAGTCAAAAACGGGCACAGAAGGAGCGCGACCAGCGTCATCCGGCTTCGGCACCATACCCTGTCCATGCGCATCCTCCACGACCACGCACGGGGGTGGAATCTGAAGAAGACGAAGATGCAGAGGGCAGCTGGGACGAGGACGTCGTTGGTCCTCGTGTCAGTGGCTCGATATCATTCACACAGGCCCAACCGCCTCCCCCGCGAACCTCCTCTTCGTCGTCCTCTTCCTACGTCGACTTGGATAGTACCGACGGGCGGTGAGTCTATCGATCTATCCTTTCTCACGCTACCGTAATTAATATCGATTGTGGCACAGGCTATCTCATATCCACATATCGTTGATACACCTCTTCCGGACAACGTACTCCCTTCCTGATACGGATCTGACAGTAGCCGCTTTGGTTGGGTTTCTTAATGCGGGTATGCCGGAGGATCGGTGGGAGGAGTTTGATCTACGCGAGGTCGTGAGAGGTGTTGGTATTCTGGCTCGCGAGGGAAGGGGGGAGAGGAGGGTCGAGTTGGAAGGGGATATCGTTAGATGGAGGTGAACCCGCTCCTCCCCACCCTGTTGATATGTTTATTTCTGCTGTGCTCTTGTTATCCGTTTTGCTTTCGTTACTGCTTTCTTGGAGTTGTCTAATATAGTGTATGATATACGGCATGTATCTTATTATCGGATCTTTGTCGTTACTGTGGATTAATTTACAGGATATGTATGTTGTGTGGTGGAATGTGCATAGACAAAAATGATTCGATTTCGGACGAAGCTCCGAGAAATATATTAAAGAAGAACTAACACTTGCTAAGTACGCCGATGGTGAAACGGTTATCATGCTTGCCTTCCATGTCTCCCCACAATGATATCAGCAAGCGGTAGGGGTTCGACTCCCCTTCGGCGTATCCCATATCTTAGGCACTGGTGTTGTTTTTCGTTAGCTGAAGTAGTCTTGTGACCAAATCATGCAAAACCTCTTACCTCTCTATGTGCAACCATTACATGGCTAGTGTAATCGCAGATTTTTTTTCAAGCCATCTTTGCTTTCGCGTTTTTGCACATTTTGTTGATGTTTTGAATCACGAATTGCTTGAAAATATTATATTTTTTATGATCTTACTCTGCAGATAGAATGTACATATGCCTCCTGGTATTGAATATTATGCTAAATCTGCTGTTCATGTATACCCAAATGATGGCACTGGTAAGTTGCCTCGAAGAAACTCCTCGGGCACCGAAGAGAGAAAAGTTACCGGTCCGAAATCCGGGTATATCAAAAACCAAGATTTCGTGGATATCATCAGTGCACGCAACGGGGTTTATATACTCTGTTATCATCATACGGACCGATAACTCCTGCTCTTTTTTTTGCTACTGTCCTCATCATCCTACAGGCCTATCCCTCATCCTCCCAGTGACAAGGGCCTGGTAGCTATTCTCGTAAAAGCAGTCGCTCCATAATTGCATTGTCTTTCTATCAATTGGTTTCATAAGGGGTGTCCAGATTCATTGTACGATTCCCCTTCCCATTCTCACGCACCTTGCTCTCGACATATTTTTCATTGAAAAATTGGTTCTATTTCCTTGTCCACTCCGTATGACTCTGGCATGGATCTGCACGTACACTTTGTATCGTGTATGCGAGTGCAACGATCCTCCAGATATTCTTTCAGGGTCGCAACGACTCCTTGATTCTTGCAGATACGCTGGCCAGCGGTAACTTAATGCTGTATGCTTAGCGCCTCTTCTTGAAGGATCTTCCGTATCGCTCACCTGCAGCCAGAAAGACGCCTGAATCGTCCCTCTCCTTCGTCAGAAGCCCCATGAAGGCTTCAAAATACTTGATGGAAACAAGAGTCCAAACGTGTATCGAGCTGTCCGTTCAAGAGGCTCAAATGACAGTGGCTTTTCGCCGTTTCGGAGTTTCCTCACCCTCGGAAGATATAGAATATCTAATAGATGTATTATGATCACCCACAGCGCACGAAAAGGAAGCGAAGGAAACTCTGTTGATGCTGGATCCTTTGCGCACATTGAGCATGTGCGATCAGGCATTAAACAAGGCTCCATCGAGATCGTGAGCGTATCATCTGGCATCCGTTAAAACCCATTGAGACTGGAAGCCTCGATGCATACCCGGAATTCTTTAGAACCGCGAAACCCGACTTGAATCGTTGTTGAAGGTAAACCACCCTGGACTCGACGCCGAGCTTTGCTGTGTGATTCCCGTATGCCATGTCGGCTCCACGGCCGTATATCATTACACACAGCTCAGAGTTGACCTTCATACTCGTAGGAGCCAATGACTTAGACGTTGCCGGTGGTGCTGATCCTAAATGATCAGCATTGACTTAAGCGGTGCGAGAGCCAATAAGATTCCGAGCCGGAGCAGATGGTGGTAATATTGGGAGTTGAGGAAGCAGTAGAATTTTCCCTCTTAGGCCAATTTGCTCGCGAGGATGGAAAGCTGAGATGATCCAATAAAACAGCGTCTCTTTGCCCCTCGGATGGCGTTCGGAAGAAGAGAATAGGGACCGACCGTTCAACTGAATACTAGTGCCGGACGGCAGACTGATGTCCGCCGAGATTCACACCGCTTCCCATGGGCGGATATATAGTGTCCTTTGTTCCACCAACGTTAATTTCGCACAGCGATGAACGACGCGGACAACCATGACCTCGACGACAGTGAAACTTCTTCGGCGGCCTCCTCGCGACCCTTTAGTCTGGCCCGAAGCGTATCATCCACCTCTGTCACGAGTTCCTCCACGCGTTCAGTGTCGCCCGCACCTTCTGTTTGGTCCATGACAAGCTCACTGCGTGCAGAAGCTTATGTCCAGGAATTTGGACGCGACCTGAACAATTTCTCGGAAATATACCGCCTCCCCGCCGATGAAGAGGAGTTAGAGCGCCTAGGTGAGACAGACTTCGGAGCTTCCGAACCGGACGTAACATGGTTTAGACCGTCAGCACGAGATAATCTCAGAGATCATGGGAAAATATGTTCCGCCGCTGCCGCAAGTCATGGCGGAAGATGTACCTGGAGAGAGGAAAGCCGTCTTGGACTTGGGTTGCGGTAGTGGCGCTTGGTATGTTATCCTTTACCCTTCGAAATTCAAAGAATACCATCCGTAACTAGGATTATGGAAGCCGCGCTTGACTTCCCTCATTGTAATGCCGTTGGCATCGACCTTGTGCCCATGCAATCGCCGTACGCCCCTCTTCTCTTATATATCAGGTGCCGAAATCGCTGACATATTTTCAGTTATATGCCTTCTAACTGCAGGTACGAAGTCGCGGCGCGTCCACCCTGAACTGATTTTTCTTATTTGACCACGGTGCAGGAGCGAAGTCGATGACATCAACCTCGGACTGGAGCATTTCTACGGGGACTTCAACGTTGTCCACTGTCGGTTCATATCTGCTGGTGTAAGTCCCAATTCCCAACTCGCACACATCCTCATCCTTCCCACAGATCCGAGATTATGCACATATGATCGACCAAATAAGCCATGTCCTAAGGCCAGGGGGACTGATCGATCTTACGGAATGGGATTTTCACTGCTACGACGAAAATCACCATCGCATTGAGTTGGACGTGACGACGATTGAAGAACCATGGTTCCCACGATGGATGGCATACTTCAAGATGGCTGTACAACGCAGAGGTGGGGGTGTTGATGCCGGGACGCATATCCACGACTGGGTTTCGCGTCATGCGCGTTTCGAAGACGTGAATTACAACGAGTACTTCGTTCCTGCGACGCCGTGGCGGACAGAAAACCCGATAGACTTGCGCATCGGAGCGGCGGTGAGGGACGATATACAGGTAAAATGTGTGGAGTTGTATCACAAATCAGTCCTGAATTATTCTTTGGCAGGTTTTCCTAAAGTCAGGGCGGCCTTTGTTATTGGGCAGCGGCGTGTCGGAACAGCTTGTGAATGAGCTACAAGCGAATGCGCACAAGGAACTGACGGAAGACAATACGCGCCATTACATACGTGTACAAAGCGTCTATGCTCGCAAACGTCATCGGTTGCCCTATGGTTGACGGTGTCCAGTGTCGCTTGCATAGAACACAGATACGGCGTATCATGGGTAGATAATCCCAGCCCATCCATCACTGTTCGTTGCTCATTTGTCTTGAGAAGAGACGGAAGCAACCACAGATGTTGCTGAGAGTGGTGCATAGTGTATAGGCATGCTTCTCCAGAGGATCTGCATCCATTGAGCCGTGCTGGGACGTCATATAACGCGATTTCGGAATGAAAGGTGCAACGGCCGGAAGGTGTCTGGGGTAGGGTACTGAGGTATAATGCAGAATACTAGTGCTGTACTGTAGTCATTCACAGGGCAACAGTGAAAGTTTGGGAGAGAAAGCAACTGTAGGAATGCTCCCTATCACCATCCCTTGAACCATGGTCGAACAAGGAACCACAGTGACACCATAGCTCCCACCTAGAGCCTCCGTATTCGGTACGTCATTGATTTCTGAACCCCGAGAAATATATTCCCAAACAGCCGACACTCCTGGAAAGCGGCTGTTTCGGGTCGGACAAAAACTTGAGAAAATTGGTATCAGATTCTGATCCAAGATTTTGACGACAACAAAATGAGTCGGGATTCTCGTTAATGGTAAAGCCGAAACATTTCTCTGTGATCAAAAGCCCCGGTCAAAATGGTATCTGTATTGTCTCCTCTGCATTTGGCTTGAATTAGTCACCTGCCAGGAATGCGAGTCCAAGGTTCTCTTCATCCGAAGAAAGTGATGAGATGCATATGGTCTAAACAATATCATGATGACTCCTTGGCAGGGCGCACCTAGTGACTTAATCACAAAGCGCCGAGGTAAAGCAGGAATATAGCGCACCAGACAGAATGAGTTTAGGCGGAAATGAGCGAATTAAACATTTCCATTGCCGGTGTGATCTGGCTCGTAGATTGCTTGATTGATTTTGGCTTGGCGTCAAGGAGTTCTCCGTCTCCTCTCGACCAGTTTGCGTCGGGCAAGCAGTCATCCTATACCAGGGATCGCGCAACTGCTACGACATCCCCACGTTTTCTTCAGAAAAGGTGAGGCGTTTCAATTTGATGTGGTAGATTGGCGGAGCCGAATACGAAATTATAGTGGTTGCGATAGGGCGTTGCGGTTCAGGAAAGAGTGCTGCCAGAGCAATGTGCAAGAGAAAGGGTAGAAGACCGATAAGATTTGGCCAGAGCAACTGCAACCATCGTAAGACCAAGAGAGAAGTCGCGAACCACAACTAGTTTACCCAGACATCTGAGGGTGAGTTCAAAGATATGCCGATACCGGAGTATGATTGGTTGCAAATTCTGGGAGCTCTGAGCGACTAATGTACTGACGATCATACTCAAAAGCCGTGCCTGCTTACATTTTGAGCTACGAGAAAAGAAAAGAATATCCTTGGGACCCACCGAAATTAGCAGGACATCGATATTGCCTTGAGAGATGCCTGTTTCCTGAAATGCCTTTTTTTGTGATAGATCTTCCATACGGCGTCGTCTCTTCGTATTGGGCATCATCTGGAAGGTCGTTCCCCAGCCTGTCTCCAGTAAGCGAACACTCTCCCGACTCGATAGCCTCCCTAGGCCCGTACTCTATGCCTCCAGGATTCCTTACCCTCCTTCTCCTTCTTCCGCTCGACGTCTTATCAGCATCTTGGCTGAATTTTAGGATTTGGTTTTTGAGATAGCGACGTTGCGCTGTAAAGCAGAGAAGAATAGTGTGCCAACATCGACCTACACCGCCTTCGAATGAATCCTGTCAGGATTCTTTTCAGAAAGGGTAACGAAGTCGAGTACAGTGGTATCGAATTCCGTAGTTGATAAGTAACGACTGGAAAAGAGAAATGTTTTGACACGACCACGTGCCTTCCAAAGAATGAGCGGGATGCTGCATAGAATTGATCTCATCAACATAAACGGCTCATACCTAAGTACTTATATACCGCGTGACGAGGGACGAAGGAGATATGGATCTAATCGGAAGTTCAAGATTCAAGCAGAGAGAAGGTGAAGCGCTTGAGCTTGATGAACAGACCGCTATTTCTTACATACAATATAAGTACGAGCTTCGACACGTTTCGATCGTATTTAGGGCGCCCGATAAAAGTGAAGGGCAGTTCCTCATGATTTCGTGCTTCGACCCTCCGCAGAGAACACCAAGCTTCTATAATTCAAACCGCAAATCTAGCGGCGAGCACGTGGCTTGCAATAACAAATTCCGACACCGAGGTGATAGCTGGATGGACATAAAACGTTCCAGCGTTAGATGGAAGGACGGAGAAGCTAGATGAAGCTCTACATAGATACTGATCTGAATGTTTCCAGATGACTGCCTTGAGGAACAGAGAGGCACGGAGAAGTTAAACTGCTTTGCCCGGTAATCGCGTACGATCTCCAAGAAAGTACGTGGAACAAATCTTAAGTGAATAGTGGCGCTATCCCCTCTTCCGTTGACGAATGTCGCTCCAGAGAAAACTGCCAGAGAAGCGGGAGAAGGCACCCAGGGCCCCAGTAAAAAGTCATTACACATTAATATGCATTTGAAGTGGACGTATGTGGCATGCGAGTAAGGGAAAACGTGGTTGTTATGCGCGCATGAAGGAAGGATAGTGTTGTGCAAAATGACCAATGTCGAAAGCAAGAGACGGAATAAATATGCACAAGAGGAGATAATAGAATGGATCATGACGATGGCGTGGGTATTGATTCTGCGTCCTCTTTTGCGTCGATATTAGAATCCTCTTCAGACAATCCACTTGGACGTTGCATGAGTCTTCTTAGACGTGCAAGCTCATCAGCCAGTTGCCTGAGATACCAGGAGTCAGCAACAACTATCGAGCAACCCAAGAAACTTACTTGGCAGTGGCACTGTCCTCCTTGCCCATCCTTATGCTCTCTCCCACCTCCACTTTCAAGCTTTGAATATCGCTCATCCATATCTTCTCCGCCTCCTCTCCGCGTTTCCGATTTTCCGCCCTTGTTCTCTCCAGCTCGTCTCTCAGCACTTTGCACTCTTCAACCTGCTCCAATAGTGCCTGATATTTTACCGCTATCATCTCTGTGTCCTTCTTCATCCGATCCTCTCGTTTTCGCATCTCTTCTCGTAGCTGTTCGGTATCGGTGTTAAATGATTCAACCAAGCCTTTGATAGAATCTCTAAGCGTGACGTATTCCCTCTCCGACTTCTGTGAGAGGGCGGTGGCCTCTGCTAGTGAAGATTCCATCCCTCGCAACGCTTTTTTGGATGTGGACGTTTCCGATTTCAGTTGGGTCTTTAGTAAAGAGGCTTCGGCTTCAGCCTTTCGCGCGCGCTCCAGAAGCTGTCTTTGCTTTAGTTTGAGACTTTTGTAGACGAAGCGAGTCGTACCTCCTGCAAAAGTCTCTCTTTCCTTGCTACAACGCCATTTAGACCCTCGTTCTCTAACCTCAACCTTTCTAGTACTTCTTTCTGATCCTCCGTTTGTCGAGTCAGCTGGGCGACGCTCCTCTGCGACAGCCTCAATTGCGATTTAGTATTTTCTAGAGCGTTGCGGGCGTTGACGACACCTGTCTGTAGGTCGGCCAGAACTTTCGTAGTGCCACCAGGCGTTAGAGACATGCGTTTCGGACTAGGTGACGGAAGGGCATTAGGTGAAGACGGCGGATATGGCGAGAGGGTCGCATGGTTTGGGGTATGGGGGGTGTCAATGGTGAGCCGTTGTGTTGGTGGCTGACCTTCATCAGCTAAGGCCCGAGCATTCCCTGTAGACGGATGAATGAGAGCAGAGACACTTAGGTTGCTGAAGTCACCTACCTACAGATGAGATGGGTATCCCTGTTAACATGACTCCGATCAGAAACCCTTAACGAAAGGCTGGCAATAAACATAAAAGCGCTCACTACTGAGCGTCCTCGTAGGGCTTGGCACCCGCTTGGTAGTATTAGGGCTTGTTGATCCGGTACCGAATGACATTGGTATTCCCTCTCTTATACCATCGTCCACCGCACCATCACGTTCACGTCTCGGTAGGGGCAGACCGCTATCCTGTCTAAGTATGCCCTTATCGAAACTGGATCTCTTTGGTATTTTTGACGGAGTGAAAGGCTGTGGTGGAGGAGATGTCGCTGCAGCCGCCATGGTTGGTTCGAATAGGTCGGGGTAAGGTCGTGGGCCACGAAGTATGACGTTCTCGAGATCGTGGACCTGCGCCTGCTGGTGGCGTATGCTGTGTTTGAGGGTGGATATGTGGTTGCGAACAGCAACTACGGAACAGATTGGTTACAATTGACTGGTGATTGGCATGACTTACTGGGGTCGTCTAAAGAAAAAGAAGGACTGGGGGCGCGTCCAGAACGGATGGATGTCCGCGAAGACGGTCTTGACAGCGATCTGTCGAGCGATCTGTCGTAAGTGTGTTTGTGCGGCGGAACGGCCGGTCCTGGAATGGGAGAGCTCGAGCTCGCAGACATCCACTTCGAGGAGTGACAATGGCCGAAATTTAGCACAGCTGCCCCAAAGAAAGGGAAACGGTCGTGACGGGGACGGCAAGAGGGATCAAGTAGCACCGAGGCGCGAGGTGCCAGATTTACTCCAGCTATTTGTCGATGATTGTTTCGGAGTCTTTCGGCTGGAATCGACTTTTGTTCAATCCCAAAAACATTCATCGCTTGCTCTTGAATCAGTAAAGAAGGTGTGTGTATCCACCTTCAGAGGTATGTATCCTTCCTCTTCCAGTGTAGGCCCAGGTCACTCGTTCTTCTGTCGCCGTAATAAATCGACCATCCCAATTACCGCCGTATCAACGGCAACGGGACGACATGAATAACAGCACAAAACGTCTCCGAAGAAACGGCGACGTATGTCATTAAATACATTCTTGCCTGTACCGTAAATATCGTTCACATTACTTCCTACATTTCAGACTCATTCCATACGGTGTGCCTTCTGAATAACGGGTATTGTCAAAAAATGCCTTGGCTCATGATTTCTATAGATGATCCCTCCGAGTGCCTATCATAGATTTTCCACTGACTCTGGCTTCTCAAGGCCCATACAAATGATTCAATGACGAGCGAATGATTCCGGGCCTGGGTGGCTGTGGCAGCGTCCGTCATCCGCGCAGCGATCAGTACATATGGACCTACACCCACTTTATCATGGGTTCAGATTATGCAGCACGAATCCTCCTTACAGACGGGTTCCCAGCTAGAAGAGTAAGCTCTATCATGTGAAGCTGAACCGCCTGTACTCACTGCAAGCCTTAGGTCAAGTCCAAATATACTTGAAGATGTCCTACAGACTTGGAAATTAACGCCCTTGCTGAGGACCGTTGACAATTTCATTTGTAACTATGGAAGAATGATCATAAATATCTGAACTTATTATTCAAACTACCTGCGCCGTCACGCAATAAGAAATAACATCTTTTGAAGTATCACAGCCGGAAGAATCACAACCCAAAACATCGGAGTTTCATCAAACATTGATTTCACCGTCGATCTGATAACACTTCCCAAAGACCTCCTGCGCTGACTAGGAACATTGTTGGTGGGAGCGTTGGTGACTGAGGCCTCCGAGCTAGAACAATATCAACATGTTCGATTCCAACGACAGTCGATATTGACATACCTTGCAACAACCTGCGCGGATTCGTCAACGGGAGGTGCTTCTGCTTCGCACATCTTCTCGAAATGTGCAATCCTCTTGTTCGCCTGATTCAGGTTCCAGCCGGTATCGAGCAGCCGAATCTGTGCTGCATCACGTTCAGACCTGATGACCTCGATTTCTTCGGATGCTTTCTTGAGCTCATAATTTTCCTTCATCAGATGGTAGATAGTGTTCTGCAGAGAGTTTAACTTTCTTGACATAATGTCTTCAGCTTTTTCTCCCAGACCCGGGCCAAAATGGACGCGTCGAAGGAAGGCGAAATGAACTGGTGGAGTTTTAGCTGGATGCATACAGTGAGAGATGAGGCTTGAGAGTGGAAATGGGAACTTACGTCGCGTGTAGCTGAAATAGAGGATGAACTCATCAGCGACATGGTAACAGGTCAGATCTTATTTAGATCGACCAGTGAGGAACTGAGTACGACAGTTAGGACAACAGCCAGTAAGGCCGTGAGGTGAAGTGCTCGTGAGATGAGTCGCCACGCATTGCAAGCAAAAGAGATGTCCTACCAAAAGGGATGAGTTATCATATGGACTGTGACTTAGACTATCCTCACCGCATGGAGTACAAACTTGCTCATCGCAGTGTCGAAAACGTATGCTGCACAGGCCAGACATCCTGATACTAAGCACGAAGGTTAAGCTGGAAAGTTGAAGGCGAAGACGAAAGATATTTCAAAGTTATATAGATGCTAGGGTTTCATATGTAAGCCGTTGACGAGGAACGAAAGAGGTACCGTTAACAAAGGCTTTCGGATTCCAAAGTTTCTAGGGGAAGCCCAAGTTGGCAAAAGCCTTTGTCAATTCGTACACAAAGAACTGTCATATAGATGCAGCTGATATTTACAGAAACAATCTGTAGAGAACAAGGAGACATTGGTTATGTGTCCAAATGCGCCTTTGCCTATGCTTCGGCAAAAGCCGGACTGGCAGAGATGACTGAAAATCGGGGGCCGCGACTCAGTCACCCACGTTCAAGATCACGACGGATATTCTGTAATTTCCGTGGACACAAGGGTTTCTTTCCGTTGCTACGGCTATGGACGTTCAAGAGTATTCCCCATTTGTTATTGCAACTCGTGATCTTCAAGTTCTTGGCTCGGAGACGTTCTCTGTCCAGAGCGACCTCTTCTTCAGGCGGGCCTTTCTATTGCGAACCTTCACAGAACCGTCAAGAATGGGATCTGCTACGCATGCTGCAATCCACGGCTCCAGGTGCAAAGACGCCTATTCCACAAGTTCAACTTGTTCATTTTCGGGCCGCTTCCGGACCTTCCAACCCGCCTTCCAACCCATCTAGAGCGCAATCAAACGGTCCCCGCCCCCCAGAAAGAACATCCACGGTTCCTCTTCGGAACAACGTCGCCATATTTTTGCCGTTTACAATGCGGAGGATCGCTCCCGTCGCGATATAAAACCCAAGGTTCATTAGCTATAACTTACCGCGTCCTTGTGTTACCGCATTTCATCGTGACCAAACAAAATGCTCTCCTTGTCTTTTGCTGCTTTGGCTCTCTTCGTGGCCGTGAAGGCTGATTCTTGGGGTCCTGCATACTCCCTAGGCCCTACGAGCTCCGCTATCATTGAGGCGTCCACGACCTTCACGCCCGGCACCCCCCCAACTGATGCAGAAGAGTCTGTCTTTCCTAGGATATAAAATGTTGTTCTTCTGACGGTTTTACTTATAGTTCCCTGTTTTTGTGGATAGGTAAACATCAGCTCTCCACCTTCTCTGAAGATTCAATGCTGAACCCATTTGGCAGGCATAAGCAACTCGACGAGCGGCCTGATCCAGGCCGGTGTGGATCAACTCGCGGACAATAACGCCTAGTAAGCACGGGACCTCCAGCTTACTTGCTATACTCATACAGTCGGTAAGCTGTGGCGCTTCGTCGGATCAGTGGTGCGCCATGGCCAGTTACTTCGGGTCTGTTTCCATCCTCAAAAATCCTCCTGTTGTTTCTGACAAGTGCATAGAGTTGTAGACGGCGCCACTACTCAGCTGAACGGCGACATGGTTCCTGTAGACGGTGATCAAGCTATTGGCATCCATTACAAAGTTCGTTCTTCTCTTCTCCTACGTCTGTATCGAATCAAATTTCTCATGTGTTCAAATAGCTGGCCGATGACAACCTGACTTGGAATCAGGTGCGTGTTCGATATTACTTGCTTCAAACGTCAACGGGTCTAATCCACCCTTAGACCGTAACCCTTAATGGAACGGTTATCTCTACTCTTCAAAGCTGTGCGTATATCTTTGCAGTTTTCCCTAACTAGCATTCCTGGACTTGGTGGTGATGTTAAAGCCTTCTTGTAGATGATGGTCCTCTGTTGAACGGTGGTTTCGGAACTGGTACTGAATGTCAATCTGAGTGCACCGGCTCTACCTCCGTTCAGGTAAAGTCGAGTTGTTAGGCTCAACTCCGCGTGTACTGATGGCGTTATAGACATACACCGACACCACAATCGTTCTTCAATCGGCCGACGCTGACTTCTCTTCGACTTTGAGTAAAGGAACAGGCGTTGTAGCCTCCGACATGGTGACTACCGATGGCGGGAAGACTTGGACCATTGCCAGCATCACGATACCGGCCATGGTTTGAAGCGCATGGCGTGGTGAAATATTACCTTTGTGAAATATTTCTATGTCCCCAAAATTATCAGTTGTTTCCCTTTTGTCTTTACATCGGGCCCTTCTGCCCTTTCGACTCCTTGATCAAGCATTTCAGTGTCGCGTCACCGGGTCCCAGCGAATGCGGAGGGACTTGCGATGGCGAGCATATCAAGGGGCTGAGACCCTCAGAGGCGTCTTACTGGTCTGTACGAATTACCTCCACGGAACCAATTTCCTATCGATCAATACATACGGACCTATGTATATTACTGATTAGATGCCATGATCAACTTTAGCCGCAGGACACCAAGGTTGACATCGACAGCCGAAAATCGAAATGCAGGTATAATGAATGATTTGTCAAGCTTATGGTTCATGTCGACACAATTTTGATTCAATTATTCGAGTTTAAAGGAGGAACGCGCGGGGAGTCCAAGTTGGCTAAACCACGGGCACGGGTGCCTTAAACTAAGCTCGAGACGTTTGGACGATAAAAACGAACAAAAACCTATACAAAGCAAGAACCACAGAGAAGAATTTTCGACCAGTCAAAGGTTCATTTGTCCGAAGAACTCGTTCGTCCATGCACTCTGCACACTTTTGATTAGCGCTTGCTAAGGACTCTGCCAAAACATCATCGGCAACGCCGGACTCCATGTCGAAATCTTGAGCTCCGCCTTCATCTTTCAACGGAATGGTATTGCCAACCGAAAGTTTGCTTTTCTGCTCCATTATCACATCCAGCTGATGAAGACACCACCTCCAAGGACGAAGAAGACTCTTCTGCGCATACAAAAATGAAATCCGAGGTGGCCGACGCGATGCTGGAAGTGAATGAGTCTGAATGTTCGTTAGAAATTACTTCGGTGGACGATTGATCTCTGAAAGAAGCAGCAATTAGGATCAAAAAACAAATAGTAGAGACGACAACCCACTCGTTGTCAAGGTTAAGAACTGCTTCCTCGAGCTCCTTCTCTTCCTCGTATTCTCGCAGTGATTTTCGCAATAGAACAATCTCGTCAGTAAGACGCGCCGTTTTGATCTCCAGACCAATAGCATCAGTCCCAAGTTCGATGAGTTTCTGGAAGAGGACCTCGTTGGTGGTCAGAAGCTTTACCAGATACTTGGCAAAGTCCAGATCCAGAGCCAATTGAGCGTTGACAACCCCTATTTCGACAGCTCTGTGTTGATAACCTTCCCATTCCGCCACGAGCTTTCGTGATTCGCTGAGTTCGGTCTCTTAAATCTCGGATACGCCCTTTCAACGCTCTCATCGTCACTTGAGATCCATTCAGCACGATCTGCTTCATTTCGCTTTCATATACGAGGCAGTTGACCTCGCACTCTAGGTGCGCCTCGTCTTGTGTCGCCTATATTCGTCTTCGGAAGTCATGAGTTTCACGTTAATACCCCAAATGCGAGCCTCCAAATGGTCCACCTTCACCCGCGATGTGTCTAATTCCGTTCTCGCACGCTCGCCTAGGACAATTTCTGCTTCGCTTTCTGCCTTAAGTTGTTGGATTTCAGCCTGTGAAGTGGACTTATGGTTGTCGAAAATCGTCTCCAGCGCCATTAGGTGTTGCGTCAACTGGTCTATCTTCGACTGAGATTCCTCTCACAGCATCTTCTCCTTCTCGACCTTGGCGCTTAACAGGTTCTTATCGCCCAGCAGCTTCTTCTTCCGACTCTCGAGAATGGCAACTTGGTTGATCGTGCTGCTCTTGGAGTCTCGTAATGACGCGATTAGTGACGTGACCTGTGTCTTCAACTCCAGAATTTCCGAGTCCCTCTCCTTCTGCATAGCGCAAGCGCGTTTGTCCAACTCGGCCGCCGTATCCTTGTAGTCTAGAGAGGCGTTCGCCAACTGTGGGAACTGGGACGAAGGATTACTGACGGCCAAGACGAGCCTACGGTTGCTCTCCTCTAAGCCAGAGATCTTGTCCATCAGTTCAGCTACTATTCTTTGGTGCGAGGCTATGAGATCATCCTTTCCCTGCATCAGATCGGCCCTCTCCTTCCTGCACGTCTCTTCTTTCTCTTCGTAGATTTGTAGCTTCTTTTCAAGCAATACGATTTTGACATCGACATCTCAAGCTACAAGAAAGAAACTTGCCCATGTTGAAGTGCCTTTGACAAGCGCAGCATGCAGGCCGATAATAATAGCACGTATTGAGCGATTCAGCTTAAAATCGTAACAAGCATATCTTGCAGTAAAAATGTCCTAAGTAAATGAAATCAATAAGATAGTTAGCTTGTACTCAAAACATGACTCCACTCACCATATGGGATGCAGACAGGCTCTTGTAGCTCTTGCAGATGTTGTAAGTAGAGAGCAGAGTAATGTAACAGAGAACTAGAATTAGCCTCTCGAGAGAGAAACGTTCTACTTAAATACATTTCGTATTACTTCGAGATCTTTCTACGAGATACTAAATAAGTCCGGATCACGATCCAAGTCAGCTGCCGCTGACTGGCATCGTATCTTCGAGTACGTTCTCGTACTCGCTCGGGATTGCTATCCCAACACTCCCCCTCAATTCCGAGTTCCTAGAATACCTGCAGATAGATACTCATGTAATGGTCTTGGTAGGCCTTTAGTGAATATATCCGCTAAGTTCTCTTCTGATGCGCAGTGCTGAACTTTGACTTCGTTTGAAGCCATGCGCTCACGAACAAAGTGGTGCCGTATGTCTATATGCTTTGATCGAGCATGGAATATAGGGTTCTCGGCGAATTTGATTGCTGATTGATTGTCGACGAAAATAGTCGTCGCTTTGTAAGGTGGCAATCCTAATTCGGTTAAGAGTGCTCGTAGCCAAATTACTTCCCAGGTTGTGTGTGCAAGGCCCATATATTCTGCTTCCATAGTGGATAAGGCTACGGTAGGCTGTTTCTTTGAACTCCAAGTAACAGCTCCCCCTGCATAGGTACAGACATAACCAGATGTTGATCTTCTATCTGTTCTGTCTTCTCCCCAGTCTGAGTCTGAATAAGGTATCAGCTCATCCATAGTCCCTCCATATGTGATTCCGAAGTCTAGAGTTCCCTTCAGATAGCGGAAAACTCGCTTCAAGGCTGTGACATGCTCAGCAGCCGGATTCTACACGTACTTGCTTAATTCGGTGACAGCATGTGCAATGTCGGGCCGGGATCCATTGGCCGCATACATTAGTGATCCGACACCAGTATGGTAATATTGCCTGGTGGCTGTGTCAACACCTTGTGGGTCTTCTGTTGGAATTTTCTCTAGCCATACATTTGGGTCCATAGGCATTTTGACCAGTTTGCAGTCATTCATGCCCATTTGCTCAAGTACTTTGAGAATATATGCCTTCTGAGATAGAGTGATAGTGCTCTTGTCCCTATTCCTGTCTATCTTCATGCTCAATATATATTGAATCTCCCCCATGTCTGTGACATTTAGCTTCTTCTTAAGCTCTTCTTTCATTTTAGACATAGTTTCATCATCTGGGGCAAGTAATGTCATGTCATCAACATGTACAGCTACGATTATGGGACCAGAACTCATTTGTCTGATGTACACACATTGATCACTGATCAATCTGATGTATCCAAGTCCCAAAAATGTAGCATTTAATTTGTCATTTCAAACTTGGCCAGATTGCTTGAGTCTGTACAATGTTAATTTGAGGTGTGCCACTTTTTCACTCCCATCTGAATATTCAGGTGGCTGTGCCATATAAATGGATTCATTGAGTTTACTATTTAAGTAAGCTCCAACAACGTCTATTCCATGAATGATTAGGTTTCTTTGAGTGGCAATTGCTATGAGTAGGCGAAATGTGTCCAGCCTGACAACTGGTGCATATGTCTCAAAGAAATCAATGCCAGGTACCTGTAAAAATCCTTTTGCAACAAGTCTGGCCTTGTACCTGGTGATTTTCCCATCACCATCTCTTTTCAATCTGTAAGTCCACTTGCAATCCACAAGTGATCTGTCTTTGGGTAATTCTTTCAGTTGCCATGTGCTTAGGGAAGTCAATAGATTGTATTCTTCATCCATTGCTTTCTTTCAATGATGCCAGTCTGGCCTTGTTTTGGCTTCTTCAAGGCTTAATGGCTCATCACTGAGATTGTCTGCAGTTTCCCCAATGCATGCATAGTCTATTGCAACATTTACGGCTTCCAAAGATGATTCTTCTGAGGTACGCTGTTGTTCCAATGTTTTCACAGCTTGTACACTTGGATTATAAAGTGTCTGGTAACTCAGTTGAGTCTTTAATGCAATCCAGACCGATTTGTTGCATGGCTCGATCACTTTCTCATGCTATATTGGAAAATTTGATTTGATCGATGACACATCAGGGGCTATTTCCCCTTTTGGTTCGACATTTCCAGCATCCACGGAATTGTCTGAAATGCCATCATTTCAATCTGGAGTCTGCTTGACTTTGCTCCTTGACTCCCTCTCGAGCAACGAAGAGTGGGAGACTATATAGTCAGTGTCTATAGGCTCTGTAGTGTTGTTTTCAGGGAATATAACATTTCTTGAGGTCTGAATCTGCCTGGTTTGAGGGTTATAATATCTCCAGGCCCTGGATTCATCTGTAAGACCTGTGAAAATAAATTCCCTTGACTTTGGGTCCAGTTTTGACCTCTTGTTATCTTGCTGCAACATCCAGCACTTTACTCCGAATTCCTGAAGTGCTGAAATATCTGGTTTCATGCCCTGAAACACTTCTTCTGGGGTTAGATCATTCTTGATGGCCCTGGTTGGTGATCGGTTTTTCAAATATGTGGCATATGCCACTGCCTCAGGCCATAGAAACTTCAGTAGGTGATGTTCTTCTAGCATGGCATGTGCATGCTCCACAAGAGTCCGATTTATTTTCTCAGCAACTCCGTTTTGAGATGGAGAGTATGCTGCAGTCAATTCCAACTGTATGCTATTGTCCTGGAGGTATTCCTTTACCTCTTTATTGACATATTCCTTTTCATTGTCAATCCTCATAAACTTCAGATCCTTCTCTTTGTAAACTTTGATGTATTTTTGATACTGCTGGATCTTCTTTCGAATTTTCATACCTTGCTTTGACTTTAAAAAATACAACATTGTCTTTTGGGATTTTCTATCTGTGAAGCTTATGTAATACCTTTCACCATGGATACCCTGAGTTCAGGCTGACCCCCATAGATCCGAAAATGTCATTTCCCCTATTTCAGTATAGTCTCTTTCAGCTTCCTGTGAAAATGGCTTGATATGATGTTTGGCTTTTATGCAAGCTATGCAATCTGTCTGAGGCTCAGCTGACTCATCTATATCCATCCTCTTGACCATTTTCTTCCTAAATAGTCTCTTTACTGATCTCATATTTAAGTGGCCTAATGTTTTGTGCCACTTTTGCCATGATCAGGCTGATTTCATAGCATGGGCCTGGGTTATTTCTGGAACAATGATGTCAAGGCTGTACAGCTTTGATATTTTATCTCCATGGCTGATTATCTTGCCATGTGATGAGATAATATCCATTCTGGACTCTTTGAATCTGAGTTCAAATCCAGTATCTGTAATGTGCCCTATTGACATAAGATTGAATGGTGCATCAGGACAGTGGATACACTCCTTTAGTGTGACTGGAGTGATCTTTTCCCCTTCAACCATTTTAATCTTGACAGTTCCCCTTCCTAAACCCTTGGTTTTTCCTACACCAATGACTTCATGTCCTGGGGTTTCAACATAGTCAGAAAAATATAATCTATTTTTGATTATATGTCTGGTGGTGCCAGAGTCCCCTAGCTATGATACTCCTGAGAGTGAAGTAAGTGTGACATCTGTTGCACAAAATACATAGTCATCTTCTTCTGAGTCCAATTTAGCAATATGTGCCTGAGTCTGGCCCTTTCCCTTTTCTTTCCATGACTTTCCAGAATTCTTCTTCCTATTTAGGCAATTTATTCTGATGTGACCAGTTTTCCCACATCTGTAACATGTGACTTTTGAATTGGACTTCTTGCCATATGCTGCAAGTGTCGTGGTCTGATCAGAAGTCTTTTCCTTTAGTCGGATGTCTTCCTAGAGAATTCAGGAAATCAACTTGTAAGAATCTTTCAAGTCAGCAGTATCCACTGATGAGATGAATGAATTCCATGATTCTGGGAGTGATGTAAGCAGTGTGATAGAGAAGTCCTCCTCCTCAACTTTCTGCTTAAGAGATGCCAGCTCCTCCTGATAGGACCTCAAAGTCCTAATATGCTCCTCTATGTTTCCTCCTTCTTCACACTGAGCTCTGAAGAATTTCCTTCTGACAAGGACAATTCCCATGGATCCCCTAGACTCATACATATCTTTCAGAGCTTTTCAGGCTTCTGCCAAAGTCTTTGAACCAGCAATATATACCAGCGGACCATCAGAAACCTGCAATCTTATTGTTGAAAGAGCCTTCCTATCGCTCTTCTTCTAATCTGCCACCAGTGTCATGTCTGCTGAGGCCAGAATACTTCCATCTGCATAATCAATCAGTCCTAAATCAGTTAGGATATCGATCATCTTGATTTTCCATGTCGGATAATTTTCCGGGCCCTTAAGGGGGTCAATTCTATACACAGACTGGCTATCCATACGGTTCTACGTGTGTACATAAAGTACGAAAGAGTGCGAAGTGAGTAGTGATGTAAGTTCAGTTATGGCCGGGGCCCATAACCTGTTGTAAGTAGAGAGCAGAGTAATATAACAGAGAACTAGAATTAGCCTCTCGAGAGAGAAATGTTCTACTTAAATACATTTTGTATTACTTCGAGATCTTTCTATGAGATACTAAATAAGTCCAGATCATGATTCAAGTCAGCTGCCACTGACTGGCATCGTATCTTCGAGTACGTTCTCATACTCGCTCGGGATTACTATCCCAACAGCAGACATTTGGAACATTGTCCTATCATTTTTACAGAGTAAAGAAAGTAGAAATAGGATGGACTTCCAGATTTGTGGCTTTACAAGCTGAGAGAGAGAGGAAGAAAGCAGCATGTGCTGCTCTTCTGTCATGGTGTGTTACATGTGTCCGATACCTTCCTGGTGGACTTGCTGGACCCTGGTTGGATAAAAGACTGTTGTTACACCAGAAATCAACCATAAAGCAAGAGAACAATGTTGTAAGTACTATTGGGATAAGTAAGTAAAATGTATATAGGTACAGTTGACTATCTCACAATGCATGATGTCAAAATGCATAATTCTGACAATGCATATGGATTGGGCTGGAACACAGTTGGGAAGCAGGGAAATGGGCTAGAAATGCATATCGCATAATGCATATGGTTCTAGTTAGGAATATGCATTGTCAGATCGAAAATTATAGTAAGCTGATATGACATTATGCATATATTAAAACAATAAAGAACATAATTTGTTTGTATAGACTATGACAAATACAAAAAAAATTATTGTAAAGCGACGCAGCCTATATCTCTATAAACATGCCTCCTGAACCAACATGAAAACCATATGCTAAACCTGGAAATCCATATGAGCATACAAAACAGAAGGAGAAAGTCTCAATATACACATCATCAGCTCAGCCTCCAAAGCAGATCTCCCGCCCACACGTCACAACAGGAGACTGGCTCATAGTATTCAAACATGTTGATAACCATCCTTCCTATCGATATGCTGACATTGTGGCACATTTCACAAATCAAAAGGAAGGTGCACTGCTCTTTACCCAATCAACTCTTTCATGGAAACTGGCATCTCATACAAAAATCAAACAGCGTGCAAACGAGAACCCTAATGCACTATCATCCAAAAAGTCTTGTATTGTCATCCGACCTGATGTGGAGCGTGCTGTTGCATCCTGGTATCAGAACATGCAGCTCCGAGATGAGACTGTAACTGGTGCAATGCTGATAGAGAAGCGAAATCGGATTGAAAATCTGATGAATATTCCAGAGGATCAGTGTTTGAAAGAAGAGGGATGGTTGAGGTCATTCTGCAAGGCATGGAAGATTCAGGAGGTTCAGTGGCATGGAGAAGCAGGCTCAGTGGATATGATGGCAGTGGAAAAAGAATGTGTGCGTCTTCACAGCATTATAGTGAAATATGCGATGCAGGACAGATGGAATATTGATGAATTCAGTCTTGTCATCTTTGCTATCTCAGATCGTACCTTGGCATCTGGTCCTATGAGTGGACGAAAACAGGACAAGTTCCACATCACCATATGTTTTGCTGTGAATGCAGATGGGAGTGAGCGAATGCCAGTTGTTTTCATTGGCAAGTCAAAGCAACCACAGTGTTTCAAGAAAAAGAGTCCAATGGCAATGGGATTCTATTATCGGAATAACAAGAAGGCCTGGATGACAAGCAAAATATTTACGGAGTGGGTGAAGATGTTTGATTTAAAGATGAAGAGGGAGATGCAGCAGGTTCTGCTGACCTTGGACAACTTTCGAGGGCATTCCATTGCTTATACACCCCATAACACAAAGCTGAAGTTCTTCAAGCTTAATATGACTCTATATGTTCAGCCGCTAGATGCTGGTATTATCCACTGCTTCAAGACACATTATCAGAATGCCATATGTATCCATGCACTTGATCTCGATGATCTTGGAGAGTCTGAGATCTTCAAGCTTGATCTCCTTGAAGCTATAACTATCGCTCATGATGCTTGGGCAAATGTCAGCAGTGAAACAATAGCAAACTGCTGGAAACACACCGGTATAATGCCTGACAATGCATCCGAGTCACAGTCTACCACACCATCCAATGATTTCCAAGATGCCTCACTCCTCAAGTCTGCATAGAACCTTGTTTGTGACTTTGCCTCAACAGACAAATACACACTTCCAGGGATTGAACAGGCATTGCAGAATCTGCTTGGAAACCAATATGCTGATGCTGACTGACATCCTGCTCTTATGGCTGTTATGAATGCAGAGAATGACATTGGTAAAGCACTGAAGGCAGTCAATCAGTTGGCTTCTTCGTCACAGTCAAAAATGAACACACCTCCCACCCAAATTGCCCCCATTCAACAGCTCCAGACAGCAGAGATAATGTTGAAGGACCATCTTGTCAAATTGAAACAACGAAATCGCATGTTTAGTCCCATTCCAACCATTGAAGAGATGGTTAACTCTATTGCAGAAGAGTATACTGAAGATCTTGAGGTGATGCCAACAGATGAGGAGATTGTTGCTGCTGTCAAGCATGATATTGCAGTAGAAAATGGGGAAATAACTGTCATTGACGATGAGGAGGAGGAAGAAGAGGAAGAGGAGGGTGAGGAAGAACAGACCTTGATAACTACAAGGGAAGGATTTGAGCTTATTCAAAAGCTGGAGGCATTTTGTGTTTCACAAGGTGACCAGGGTGGATTAGTACCACAGCTGAGGAAGTTGAGAGGGGCATTATTCAAGGAGATGCATGGAAAGCTGACCCAAAAGCCACTGACAGCATTTTGGGGAAATGACGACGTTGTCACATAAAGTCACATGTCACATCACGTGCTATTTTGGTTCTGCATAAATCTATAAATGCATACGGTTTTGGTGTCTCCCGACCATATGCATTGTGAGATAGTCAACTGTATATGAGTTAATGAACATACCTCATAGTAGCTCGGGTAAATGAAAGAGTCCGTAGGCGCCAGTGTACAATATGGGTAATATAGGCGGAAAAAGTCGGGTAGCACGTGTCTCGTTCAACAAACCGGGCACCAAGATCAAAGCAAGGCTTCAGCAATACCTCTCCCCAGTCATTATGGCTAATTCTAAAATTTGTTTCGTACTTGAATTCGCAATCGGGGCGTCAAATTCGACAATTTCATCAGCAAAGTGTTGTCCTGCACAGAAAGGATGCCGTCTCCCTTCCAGAAGGTATGCCTATCTGCGACACCGTTTCAGACCCAGAGGACAGACACTGTGGAGAGTCTCAGCAAAAATAGGCATCTCTATCTCTAGATATGTATTATATACATGCACATACAAACCGACTTTACTGACTTCTTCGTCCGGTACGCCGGGCCACAACGTCCAGGCAACTCTCAGGTTCGCTTGGGTTAGAGATTCTGTTCTCCTGATATATGGGTGGGGTCTCACGTTACGGGCTACTCCTCCTATTCACCTCGAACACCCCTGTTGTTGGCCCATAAATCCCCCCGCTATCCTTGCAATTTCCTCCACTTAAACATGATTAACAACACCAGCACCCAATTGTTCCAAACCAATAGTTCACGTTTCGCCGTTGCAATTGCAATGGCACAAGCCGCATTCGGCCTTACCAAGGTAGGGTTCTTCAGTTGACATCCTTACGCTTGCGCTAACTGCTGCATTCATAGAGCATTTTCGCTCTGTTATTATTCTGGGCGTGTCCGTCAATGGCACCTTCATTGCCCGAATACCACCGCATGGCTGTTACAGCCATGATGGTAGAACGAAGCACATCTCGACACTCAACGATGGTGGCTCCGTCCTTATCACAGGTATCCCTCACATTATCCAGTTCTACCTGGGTGAAACGTAGTCAGTCTGTGACAATACCATTGCGGAACGACGAACGTGGGCGTAAAAAGTAAGCCACTTTTTCATCTTTACCAGATCGTTTTACTCTGATCGATTTATAGAACGAGAGGAAATCAGGCACGTCGCTCATATAGCCAAGGCTGAGATGAGACCGCTCACTCGGCGTATGTCGTCGTCATTGCGAGCTGCCATGACTCCGTTCCACCTTCGTCGGACGCTTACTGCCTTCGTCAGGCATCCGTCCAGTTGAGTCGCATCGGAACCACTGTAGAAGAGCCAGTGGTAACGCCCCAGGAGACCATCTCGGTTGCGTCGAAGAAGATTGCGAAGGCTGGCAAGAAAGCCAAACAAGTTTTGCTCGAGAGTATTCACTAGGTGTTCAAATCTTGACTATCACAACTTGTATTCAGCTGAAATAGGAAAGCTCATTGGCCCAACAATATTATTTCTCAAAGCCAGGCCCCAAATCCAGGTGGTGGCCGACTATTTCACCGGAAAATCCCGGTATCTCCACCACGACCACAGCCTTTTTTTTTTCGAAACCTTTCTACTGTATTCCATCCTGCCTTCCCAGATGGTACATTCATGTGTAATTTGCCTCTCTAAATGCGGCAGTCTCGTTTTCACGCCCTGCGGTAATTGAACTTGTTTCTCGTGCTCCAGGACAATGTCTACAACTAACCCAATCATCCTTGTAGGACACACATTCTCATAAACATACAGTCTTTGTCTGCTCACCATGTGTCACAACATCAGTATCTGCCTCGTTCATTCCACCAATTCATCGTCCTGCGGCATACGTCGCGTCTTTCTTGACACGTCTCCGGATCCGCGGAGGTCGAAGACCTTAAGCAACGGCTGAAGGTTGCTGAGGATCGTCTTCAAGAAGAGTCCCGTTCCCCACCAGCTGGAACTCGTTTTTATTGATTCTAAGAGATATGCGGTCTCAATTTCGTTAGGCCTCCGCTCTGATAGCTGTGGCGATCTCGACGAGAATAGAAAACCTGCCCTGTCATCTTTTTCACGGCCTGGGCGAAGCATTCGGGTCCCGACCGCGACCACTCCAGCGGTGCACCCTCTACACTAGTCAGCTGAGTTACCGATCTTTGCACACCTGCGGGAACAAAGAATTTGGAAAAGCTGCTTGTTATTAGTCGAGACCTCATCGCTGACGGACCTATATCTGATAACAAGGTGTGGTGCACAGGTCTTCGATATCTCCTTCAATACAACATTGTTTCCGTTGCTTCCCTTCAGCAACCGACATTTGCTCCCTGGGATAAGTGTATCTTATAGGAAAGCTCAACAACCGAACCCTGTTCGGCATCACCTTTATCCTACTCTTCGGTGAAATCTCGCCTCTGCTCTCCTCTATTAATATTAAGATCTCGGACATTGGTATGCAAGCGCAGATTGAACTCGTAGCTGTGCCTGATCTTGCACCGACTCGTCCATTAGGCTTGGAGATGCTGTATCTGCGGACGACTGCTGTGTGCCCGTATTTCTGATGTGAGGCGACGAATAAATTTAGGTGTATCAAGGAGGACTGTCACCGGACTGTGGGGCCCGCCGACGGCCTACTGCGGCTCGATGCTGTTTCCTGAGGTCAAGGCGACTGGTATACCTTTCAAGACATCACTTGATATTCGATGTGTTGCGGTAAAATACATGTCGTGGTAGAGAGCGAGCTATTAAGATACGCAAATATTTGAAGAAGATCCCGACAAGGTTTTTGCCTTCACGGTATACCGCGTATGGAGCGGGCGCAGATGAAGACAAGCATGGTGAAGAATGACAGAACCGGCAGGACGTAGCTGGGGATTTCTTCAAGTATAAAATATAACACGACATTGATTCATGGCCAGATGAAAGCGAGAATGTTTTCGAAAAGGTTGATAGTCAAGTTCGTGGTAGAGAGACGAAGCGAAGGCTAGTGTTTCAATAAGGGTACTGGTTAGAACTTGGGTCCGATCTCCGTAAGCATGAAGTAAGCGCTGCAGTCATCCTCCGGTTCAGGACCGTCGGTGTCTATACAGTTTCGCCGCACCGGTTTACTAGTCCATCATAATGTTGTCCGTTCCTTTACTGCACCGGATAGGCGAAGGTCCGTGATATTGGTTCTAAACCTGAGACTCAAGTTACTCAGCATGCGCTAGCTCACCTAGTCGATCGTGCTGATTAGGGCACTGGACAATATTGTCTCAGCTTCCATGCCCTTGTTTACGTGCAGGCTTGGCTGCACCCCCGAATTTCCTTGATGGGACAAGCCTGATGGATCTATCTACGAAGAATCAGGAGACGCTGCTCGCAGCTGGTCGTCGACAAGAGATCCTATCATTGTCTGAGTCCAGATCTGAGGGTATCAGGGCGTCCTTCTCTGTCTGACATATGCATCTTTGACATCACCATCATCACAGAAGCTTCGTTTTCATCGCTTCGTCATGATACCCCTTCAGAAACCGTCATTCGCTCTCCAAGTTGAGCGTCTCAATGAGCTTTAAGAACGCAACTGCTGGCTGAACCCCGTTGGGTATTGCCCTTCCGTTTCTTTTGGAGTGAGATGTGATGTCGGATCTCGGTATTCGCGTGCACGCGATTGCGCCACGGGAAGCCCTCCATCTTCTCTTTCACCTCCACCCTGGTTAACAGGTCATCTGTGCCAGTCCAGCCTTTGTTCTGGATCTGCTGGAGATCATCCATGAGAATCCCATTCGGCTGCCGCACCCATCGGTGTTACGATGTAATAAGGAAGAGGTCATACTCAGAGCGTACAGTCCAGACGGAGAGAAGATCGAGGCGCTGTGCAAGCCGGGCAGTGCTAAAACACAGTAACCGGTTTACCCAGTTTCGCCGACGCAGGGGAAGGCGCGATTATGCCGTCGTGTCAATTTTACTCATGTGTCCAGTGCTATGAATCACGTGGCAGCTTACCAGAGTAAACGGGGGGTAAGCGCCGCATGTGTGAAATGATGACGTATACTGCACGAATGACAGTCCATTTTCGCGTCTAGATGATCCGCCTCCGCATCATTTCTATTCTTATCGACATTAACTGCCATATAAAAGGTACCCAGTAGACTGCCATTGAAATTCGTCTTCTTGACCTTCCTCATCCAACTCAACTAAACCCGTCTACTAATCTAACGACCTCATCATGAAATTGACGCTCCCTATCACTATCCTCCCTGCTCTCGTAGCATCCGTCCTCTCCACCCCCATCCATATTTCTCGAGATGTATACGTTCCCCCAGTGACGTATCCCGTTGCCGGCACAGTGTGGACAGTCAACACCACCCAGACTGTTACCTGGGATGTATCCGATCCCCCAGTAAACATCACGAACCGATATGGCGAGATTAGGCTTAGGGAGGGTGATCTTCTTACGCCTTGTACGTCTCCTTCGTTCTTTCTGTATTGTCGCTGTGGTGCTGATGTCGGTACAGTGGTACTCGCCGACGGGTTTGACATCCTCCTAGGACAACAGGAGGTGACGGTGCCGTGGGTTCTGGAGGGTGCTGATTATAGTATCGTTCGTGCGTGCCATTCTTCTCTGATGCAGTTGATGTGTCCTTGAATAATTTGTCCCTCTGTACAGTGTTCGGAGACTCTGGCAATTGGAGCCCTGATTTCACCATCACGGGCGGTCCGGAGTATTGAAACGCCGTTAAGCCTTTGGACATCATACAAATTCACAATTGTACACAGAATTAGTATCGTTACGAGTGGGTTTATAGCCCTCATGGACATGAACTTTGGACCAGGATATTTGTTGTATTGTTTTGCATGATTGTACCAATGTGTTGGACTTTAATGTGTAGATAATTTTTAACGATTTCTGATGACTTTGTTTAAACACATAATAATGAATCAGGTCACCTGTTTGAAGCGGGTATACATTCTTCATTTTCCTCCGAGAAATCGCCTATACGCATGTGCGTGCAATCAGACAATCCGAGTTCAGGCACATTTGTAAACCCCCCAGTCTTTGCCGCGGCATGGTCAGAGCATGACTCAATTTAAATAATATTCCAATTGCAGATGCAGTTTAGCTTAAAATGATGAAGTTGGGCACAAAACATTCTGATCATCCTAGAAACAATCTCATCGCTTTAGGTGAATGCGACAAGCAGAAAGAAAATGGTTGAAACAAGCGGAAAGTGGAAACGCGGTCTTTACTGTTTCGCGACGCGTCAGTCACGTGATAGTGACAGTCATCCCACGGGCCTCGATCCGAATCATCTGTTCCTATTCCTTTGTCTCTCTTCGCGCGTCAGACCGGTGTACAATCTGTACCTGCGACTATACGGAGCCAGTCTTCTATACCATGCGATAAGTAGCACGGCACTGAAAATTCAGTTAATGCTGTCTGGCCTTTCAGGATATGTCCACTGTTTGAAATGCCTATCCGACTATATCTCGTCAAGCAGCCCCGATAGCCTAACATCTGCGTGTCATACCTGCAGAGCCGAGTTTTCTATCGGCATGTGATATTCGTGCCTGCTCTTTGTCAATTACTACTGATCCTTCTACCTCAGTCGTACCAGAGGTAGACCTGCTTTGGTTCTGTCGCTTTTTGCCTAACGCTTCCTCCTTCTATAGCTTCATTCCATCTCCAAGCAGTTACATCGTTATATAACCCCAAGCATCTAGCGCGTATGCATCGAACCAAATCCTTCAGAATCAAACCAGGAATTTGAAGCCTCAGAAGCGCGTAATTCCGCTCTCAGGGGAGAGAGAACAACGAGCTTCAGAAATCTTGCGAAAGATACATGGCCGACTCCACTACGCATGCAGAGGAGAGAGAGAGCTGTTGCATCCGAGCTACAAAAGTTCAGGAATCAGCTAGAAACGGAAAGGAAGAGTGCTAAGGAGGAAATGGCGCATATGCACCGTTTGTTGGATGACGCACATAGAGAGGCAAAGTTGGGGAAGTGTGTGTAGGTTGATGATACCCGTCATCGATCTGAGCTATTTGAACTAGAACAACGACAGCTTCATCTCTGGTTCCCCACATGGCTGGTGTCTCAAGCACGCACGCTTCGATAGCAGCAGCTATGCCCCCCCCCCCCCCCCCCCCCCCCCCCCCCCCCCCCCCCCCCCCCCTCTCTTCGTCTTCCCGACCCGGTTCTTCGTCCTTGAGCCCTGCTAAGCGAACTGACTGCGGGCACTTGAAACCGATACCATTAAAGTCGCGTCTTGCCGCAGATTTTCTGGCTGTGATGCCGGCCCGGTCCAGCGTCTACTCACCTCACCGCTTTTGCTTCCTACCACGACGACCAACTGCCCCAAACAGCCTTGGTGCGACTAGAGCTTTGGTATGACATCAAGACGACTGCATAGAGACGGAGCAATAGTAAGTATGCATGGTTGTGTTGCTGTCAAATTCCACATCCCCATCCTACTATGACCGGGAAGACTCGAAATGAATGGGGATGAATGGAAAAAAAAAAACATTATACAGATACCATTTTACGATTCGTGAGTAAAAACGGAAACAGATGGGAAAATACTAACGTTTTGCAGATAAAACAGGCACATCGCAATTACGAAAGTCTTCCAGAGGTCACCATCTCCGCTTTCACTGAGACTCGCCGAGCAGAATCGTCAATTCTAGTGCCCAAGCAACGGTCTTACACCGGGAGACTTCCTATTATACCATCCTCTCTTGCGAACACTCCCTGCATCGACCTCGCTGTTGACGGAGTCTTAGCACAGCTCAACACCACACTCGGAACGTCGTACTCTTCTGGAAAACCGTTCTCTATCCTCTCTTCTTGGGGCCTACATGAAAGGCTATGACTATGGCACTGCCTATGCCCATCTCCGCCCATTTTGGTACGATGACTTGACTGACATCGATGACAAGCTGCTACGTACCTGCAAAGCACGGGACTGGGGTATGCGGAGAGATGTACTTGTCAATGACAAGATCATCCACCGCTACTTGCCTCCTCGACACGTCTGGGATCTGTACAGAAACCGGGTAGTGCCATGGTGGATCGCACGCCAGTGGCCGTGGGAGATATCACATGCTTGGGTAGAGGAAGAGAATCGCGCAGATGTGATGACGCCTATCAACCGACACGAATGGCCTGTGCCGATCTCGATCTGATCCGCATTGAGATGCTGAACGCGGGCGCGGAGTATGTGTGGTTGGACGTGCTCTGTCCAAGACAGAAGGGCGGGCGAAGGGAGCATCTGCGCGCGGAGGAGTGGAAGGTGGATGTGCCCACCATCGGATGTGTGTATCATGGTATAAGAGTCGTGTGCTACTTCAGCGGGCTCGGCCGGCCTTTGAGTCTGAAGGCAGGCGACTTTGAGAGTGGTCGGAGTTGGTTTCGACGGGCGTGGACGCTGCAAGAGATCATCTGGGATCTCATCGTTGTCGGAGACACAGGCAATAACGACGCAATGGAAGACGAGGTGCGAGCGAGGATTGAGAACGAAGTGGCTTCACTACTGAGAGAATAGGCGGAAATGTGTTCACAATGCTGTCGCAGATGCAAAAAGCGGGTGTCGACTAATCCGGTGGATAAAGTGACGGGATTGGCGTACCTTTTCTGGTCAGTGAGAGAAATTCCGGCATACTACGAGACACAGTCCCTTGAGGATGTGTGGACTGCGCTGGTGGGTGTCATGTTGGGACTCCATCGGGCGAACTTGTTCTTCTTGTATCCTGATCCTGGGGATGGAAACAAAATTTGGAGACCGTCATGGAGGCAGGTCATGGCTGAGGTGCTTCCATCAGATAGTCTTCATGGGTGGGTGTCCGTCAGGCAGACAGAAGAGACAGATGCAGACTGGTATGCAGGCCCATGCATTGAAGCAGGTTATGTGCATGGATTAGCTGAAGGATCACTGAAGGGGAAGCACCGACAGGGAGAGTTAGTGGTCGAACATCATTCCGGGGCAAAGCACACGTTCAGAATTGTCGCTAACCATCAATACCCGATACCGGAAGGATTATATACATTGCTAGGTAACAAACCATTCGACGACAACGAGGTCAAAGTGCAAGACTGGGTAGTCGGGCGAAGGCTTCCAGATCAGATGTTCAAGAAAGTGTCAGTGTTTGAGATACCTGACCTGGAGGAAGTGAGGAGGCTGCATGGTCTGAAAGTTGCTAAACAGCGTAAGATATCTCTTTCTTGATGTGGCCATATTTTTGTGGTACAATTCTGGTGATGATGACGAGAAGAGAATGACCCCGGAATCGAATCCATTCACCCATTTTAAACTGGCTTCCGACTCATGATAGCAAGTTCTATGGACATTATTCTGACTGGTGCATATATACCTTAGCTCTTACTTTCTAGCCCTTTGTAGATAGAGTAACAAATATGCACCTATATTGAGAGAAGAGGGTGAGTAGGAGGGGAGAAGATAGATGCCCTTCAGTATGATGTATCTAGGTATTTATACTGTATCTAGAGTGGCATGGGGAGTAAACGAGACAAAGGTAACTGAGGAACAATGTAAGGGTACAATGGTCGTAGGGCGCAAATCCTCTACACCTTCATGTAATTTGAGACGCTATAATGATCCTGTAATAACGAACGACGCGAATGCAATGTGAAAAAAACCTAGGGTGAGATCAAATAATCCAATACCTAACGAGTGTACCTACCAAAGGCATCGTACAAGGCGAGACCTGCAACAGACCCTACCAACACCATCACTCCAAATCTAGGACAGCATGAGCATTGATTTCAGCTTTATGGCTGGGAAGACTCACAGAAATCCATTCGCTAACCACCTTATGCGCGACGAACTATGCTCTTGTAGCTCCTGGGATGGGAACCCTAAACCCGCAGAGCGCGGAGTGCGAGCCAGCCATGGCACAGAGCGATCGCCGTCTTTCTGTCGCATATATCTTGATAGCATTCGGATCCGCTGATTCTCCCGCTCCAAAGTCGCGATGCGCTGTTCCAATCTCTTCACCTTGTCCTCAAAGTTGACCCGCAATCCATTCACGTAAAGCCTCCGGAGAGGGTGGCCAAAGTATTCTTGGAAATCCTGCGAGAGCTTGATGTTTTGGTGAGTTTTAAAGCTTATTGATGAGGACAAGGGGACGAACAGGGTCATCGGCGATGGAGAACGGCTTGCGACAGGTTGGACATGGAGCTGTGGCATATCCTTCGTCCCGCTGGACGCTAGTGGCTTCTACAATGCATCTCGAGCAGTAGACATGGCCTGCCACCGATAGTCAGAGTCAGAGTCAGAGTCAGAATCATTCTGGGAGAAGCAGCGTACCACAGGGCGTGCAAACGGGATCAACAAAGTCGGAGAGGCAGATGCTGCAAACGCAAGAGGTAGACATGGCGGTAAATTATGAGAGGGAGGTGTTGGGCGACATTTTATGCTTGTGTATTGTTCAAGTGGATATTACCATTTATTTATTGTTTTCGATGGCCATAGCGCATGAATTTGAAACTTTTCCCGGCGGCATCTCGGGTAGAAATATCGATAAATTACTGGGGTATTTGGGGCCTTTTCTGGAATCCGGATGAGAACGAACATGACGGTAGGGAGGCAAAGATGACTTTAGGGTCGGCCATGACCCACTTCGGAGTCTTCGGACCGGACACAGTTTCAACCGTCTGGGCTGTACTCAATTCGCTCGTACCCATGCGTTTGCTTCATTTACACCTCGATTAAATGAAATAGGTACATCAGATCGTCTAGAACTTTGTCTAATTGTACGCAAATCTTCTTCATCTACAAAGACTAACGTGAAACAATACAATATCAAATCCTCGGCAGATTGAATGTCAATTAATGAAACATTACTGGACCGCCTCTGGCAGATAACAGTCTGAGAGCGGTCTTTTTTTCGTTCACCCCCATGAAGTCGTAGGTGCTGAGCTGTTTTCTGGCTTGGGTCATGCTGAGTTGTATTCAGAGAGACGAGAGGAAACGGCAGGGACAGGCGCTTTTTACCCTGTTATCGTGGAATCTCCGGGCCAGTCATGTTAGGGCATTCTTCAGTTTCAGAATCGGGAATTCATAGTACCCCCTATTTCAGTCTTACATTGCCTCTGCGGTGTGTTTTGCGCTCGTCATATGGACCCACAACCTGACTTCCGGTTGCTGACTGACCATCAAAGGTGGTGACGAGCATGCAAACGACTTGACGGAAATATATGTAGGTTCACGGGAACAGATCCAAGAGAACTTCAGTCATGGTCTGGTGAATTACTCTTGTCTCACAGCGATCAAAGGTTTAGAGACCTCTGGGGCGTATATATACCCTTTTCTATCCCCATAATCTCCCTCACTCAAGGCGAACATGATTACCAAGAACTCGTTTATGCAAAGCATCGGTTATCTCTTCGCCTTTGCAATCACAATGTTAATATACGTCTTGATCTTCGTAAAGGTATGTGTCCTACGTGTGAACCCTACCTAACCTAACTTGTTTCATAGGACACCCTCGCCCTTCTTCCATTCGGCGCACTGTCTCCTTCCCCGTCAGCCGCGCCCGAATATCCTCACATTCCTGTCCCCAACAATCCCGTCCCCCAGGTTTCCATTACGGTGAAGCTAGCAGGAGCCGAGTTTGTAACGCTAAGTCTTAACCTACATTCGTGGAAAGGTATGCTCACTGTTTGCGCTCCGTTAATGATGTCTGACTTGTGGTCCCAGGTGTGAATGCGGTCAGACAATTCTAAGCTATGCCGTATTTATGGCTTTATCATGCTGAACTATCTGTTTGGATAGGCTAGGCTTCTTCCGTTGGGGAAGTACCTAAGTTTGAAGGCATGACTAGGCTACGCTAGAGCGATAGCATCAAACCCCAGAGGCATATGAACGAAGATATTGTTTTAGTTTGGCAAGCTGGAAATGGTCTCATTAGCCGGGCATATAAGGCAATAGTTAGAGTATCATCGGAATGCCACATTTAACTTGTCCTGCCCTTATCAGAATTGCTCTGACTGGCATCCCCAATCGACCTTCGCGCCTATACGGCTCCATTATAACTCGTCTCTTGCCTATGTTTGGCGGAGAGTTGAAAACGCGTCTGTGTACATAGAATGACGAGCCCAAGGGATTATCTTGTTCGAGCCCGAGACAAAGACCGTCCTTCTTCCTCAGAGCCGGGGTATGCACACAAAAGGGTCACTGTCAATGAGGAGGCGAATTCCCTTGTACATTATGATTCATCGTAACATTTCTGACAGCCGTCGCAGTCTTGTATCCTGTCCCACTGTTCCATGTGTTGTGTTCATCCCTTTGCTCGAATCCCAACTTCGCCAAATTGTTTACCCAGAAACGCATTGGCGTAGCCGCCCTTTCTCATAGCCAAGTTTTCTTTCTCCTCGGTGGCACTTCGATGTTCTTCACAGTGTTCCATTTTGGATATCAGGAAGGTGTTGCCAGCTCTTTCACTTCCTTCCGGAATGCATGAAGCTCATGTACCAGCGAATCCATCTGAGGAACGAACACCTTTCGCAACTAGAAGGGACGGTCAATAGAATGCCTTTGCGAGTTTTGAAACATGGGCTTACGCTCACTTGATCCATAGGGGGTTGGAGAGCAAAGATTTTACTACACTGAGGCTGTTGAAGTACCTTTGGTAATGACAGCGCTGCAAGACGGGCAGGTACAGGTTCTGCGTTGACGCGGGGTGACACCGACCCACTCGTTTATACATTTCAGACAGAATACGTGACCTACAACTGAGCAGTACCGATTGACAACAGCAAAAGCACACCTCCCGCAGGGTGGAGAATAAGGCTCTGTGAGAGGATCCTAGCAGATGATACACTATCATTCTAAATGAACGATAGAGGGAAGAAAGGAGCGGAGGGAAGGAAGAAAGAATCGTGGTGGTGATCATTTACCTTATCTCTTTCAATCATGCATAAACTGACGCTGCGTGGGTTTCTCATCTTCCGGGAATGATTATCGTTGGATCGAGGCTGGATATGGTCTTGACGCCGTTTGCACATGACATGCAACGAGGACTCGGACATCCGTGAAGCCAGCGCTAAGCCGAGTCAGGAGACGTCAGATGGTGCTATAAAGATTAAAGACACAAGCCTTCAAGTCAATCAAGTGCCAAATTAGGCGGACATGAGCAGTAGATGAACGTAATGATTTGGTGAAACGTAGTGAAAATGAGAGGCCCCATGCTACTCCGGCTTTCAGACGTCAAAGGCACACTTCTTTACACCTGCCCCCGCCCTACGATGTATATACTAGTTAGCAGGATGAATATGCCCGTATACAATAAGACCGCACAAATACAAAAGAAATATGCATCCAAAGAGACATACGAGCAGGTGGAGCAGCTGTTGCGGGTGCCACCAAGGCTCGTCGTTATCCTGCAGAGGCCACCAATTCAACTCTCGTAGAAAAGTTACAAGTTGTCGAGACTTGACGTCCGATAACGAAATACATACCTACAGTAGGAAATTTCTCAGGCAGCGACGCAGTGATCAAGACGTTGATAGGCATGCACTAGTACTAGTGGACACTGGTAGGACGAGAACCACCAAGCCTTACACGTGATCTTGTCATGAAATCACGGTAATGCTTACGCGTGTCCCGCGACGCGTCGTGCCGCCTCACGGAGTTCGGACAACACTGCCAACAGCGCAATAGATTTCGAAGTGATATAAAAAATTCACATCCCGTATCCTGCTCATGAAAAAGGCCTGCCAGATTGCAGTGAGTATTTGGCACACAGAGGGAGCCAATGATAGGAAGAAAACGTGATTTACTCCTTAGGAGCAGACACATGCGCCTAGGCACTTTAAAGGCAGCTAGAAGCAGAACTAAAGCTCCGTAGACAAACATGTGGATGAAACAACATCACGGTTACAACAAATACTCCCAAATATGTATAGTCCAGCGCCTATCAATTTTTTATTATACGCCACACAGGGAGGCTCCATACAAAAAGACGAATACAGAACGCCGTGAGCCGAACAGAATTCCATGAATAATAAAGACAAGAAGGACCGATTGGAAGATATGTATAATATAATTAGATCCTATTTACTGGAAACACGATGCTCGAGAATATGCATCCGGAGGTTTAGGGAAAATATATGCAATCTGCCTCAATCCAAGAATAATTTAGCACGACGCATGAGCAATAATAAGTGGACAACGTAACAAGCACCTACATGAGGATAATGAAAACCCATCCAAGTAAATACACATTGACGTACAAGAGCAGCACATGGCCACCTGGTTTTGCTTACCCAGTTGCAGATCTTTCTCACGTATTTCGTTGGACATACATTTACACCGCATCTGTAGTAATACCAGTTGTCTTCTGAGTTGTTCCTTCTCCCGCTTTGCCGAGTTATCAGGGTCGATGTGGACGACAGTGGGGAGCAGGTACGGTCAGAATTTACGTGGGACGGTGTGTATCTGAACAAAAAGATTTTATCATGCAGAACACCACGAAGCGCAATCACGTACGTTCCCTTCCAATGGATCTTGGGACGTGAGGGTAAGCTTTTGAAACAAACGACGAATAGCACATACGATGGGGTAACGGCTTGCAACACCTTGGACACCGCGAGGCATTGAAGCAAAGTTCTTTGAATCGACTGCTGTCCAGACTCTCCATCTTGTCTACGCATCACTTGCAATATGTGTGACCTGTGCACGATTTGAAGAAAGTGAAAGACAAGAAACCACGGGAACTCACCACAGGGAAGAGAAAAGAGGGACTTGGCTTCAGAGTGACATTCAGGGCACGAGCCGGCCATGTTCGCAGTGAAGCAGTATTAGGGGAGGATGAAAGAGATGATATCGTTCACGGGACTATTCTGTCACACTTTAAATGGCTCTTCTATTTTCACTCGTGTTAAGGTCAGACTGATTTTGGGATTAACTGCCGTATCTTTTGTATAATCTTAGTACAAGGACCACTTATGCCTAACAATCCTTGTCTGCGAAAGGAGCGGTTAAGTACAGTGATTTCATGGAGGAAGGAAATTATGTACCTTTAGAGATGCAATCGTGCCCCAAAGCCATATGCCAATAACTGTCCAAGTAGAGTACCTATATTCCACTCACGTCCTGTCCATCGTCTTCGATGCATGACGGAGATGGACCATAAACCCGCCAGGCAAAGCCTGGAAAGGAATCTCCTTCATCACTGCAAGTACAAAGACCAATACAGAAAACGCTCTGCATAACCCGTTAGCAAAGTCTAAAAACTATTCAATCGATAGCCACTCACAGCACGCTGGTATCAACCCAAGGTTGAAAATGGCATGGTCGTCCCTCCGCTGTTGCAGTATTATACTATTGAGTCGCTCGATCTCCTTCTTTTGTCGACGGTTAGATTCGGATTCGGATTTGAATCGACGTTCCAATTTTCGGAGTTCTTCCTCTGCATTGCTAGTAAATACAGATTCGGGTTCGACGTCACTTGGAAAGAGTCGACGAACAGCGGATATGACGAACGGCCTGAATTTGAGGGGAACACGCCGGGGCTTGAATGAGCGTCATAATATGAAACGGAATATTTCAGGGCGTGCACTGACGTTACTTGCTGGTTTACCTATGGCCATGCATGATCAGCGCGGACATAAACTGTGGGAAGAGAGATAACACACCCAGAGGAAATCTAACCCGACAGAGTAGACATCAGGACGTGTGCACGCCTTGCTGAACGGACGTGTGACCCACGATGTGAGTATCTAAGCATAATGAACAGTACATGTGGCCTAGTCGCAATGAAACTTGGTACGGTGGATGTGGAAGTAATGACTCACCGCACGACAGATATACTGGCGTATCGAGCTCAGAGATACAGATGCTACATGAGCCAGTCATGGAGGACACAAAAAAAGGTAGGATTCCATTGGTTCCAGGCGATTACCTTGCTTGCCAACACCTGACGTCACCCATATTGTGTACGAGGTTGATAATGCGGCTATTCGACCCGTTATCCGATATCGACGACATGCTCGAAATGACCAGGTTCACCAACGGACACAGGATCGAAGGTGGAAGATAAGGCATACCAATGTTGACGAACGGGGAAAAGGATCCCGACAGGTTAACCAATCGACAGTCAACACATAATTCGTCAGTATCCCAATGAACGTTTAAATGCGTTGCTAATTGATACTATAGCTAAACGTCAGAGTCAGCTTGATTGTGACCGGTTCCTTCTAACCCTACCACTTTCCCCATAAATACTGGATCTCTATAGGTCTGTTTTGTCTCAGCTGGGAGAGACTGAAGTCCTCATTTATTTCAAAAATGCGACCGACAACTATATGGAAGATATCGATAACGTTTAATTGTACAGGGAGTAGTCATTCTAACGTGCATGCATGTTCAGCATGTTCAGCATATCGATGTATGAGCAGTATGTCACCTCGAGCTCATTCTCGACGTCTTGAAAACACAAGTCAAACGATGTGCCTTGGATTTATCCAGCCAGCAACTTGAAGGTACTCACGATTATAATGTAACCCACTACGTCGATTGTCATCATGGCGCTCTGAGGTACGAGGATGGTCTTGCACTTTCCTGCCTTGTTGGTGGAAACCAATACAGTATCCTCGACGCTTATCTTAGGAATCGCTGGCACTGGTGAGATTAATTTTGTAAAATACCCTAGGGAAGGGCGTCACCAACGAGCTGTATAATGAAAGCGCATTGCTCACGCTAGGGAATGCGTGAAGAGAAGCATTTCTTCGGAGGTCTGGGTTAGGATTAATCGGCGGAGGTGCTAGTAATGGTGAGTACCCACGGGATTTCGCCTGTCCGAAATGATGGATTTTATATGACGATAAAGAATCTCTTGCTGATATGGACAGAGCGCTAGCAGAGCAAATGCAACTGCTAGTCTGTTGGCTACAGTCTGTGGTTATGGGAGTACCATATTGACATTCTTCTTAGCCACAAATTGCGACTCATCTCGTGTCTAGCTAGTAGGAACGCGAAAATTTTCCCTTGAAAGGACAATTCAAATTGCAGTTAATCGACATACGATGAAATGAAAACCGACCGAGAAGTTCATGATCGATCAACTTTGCCTCCCCGTAGTCCAAGTTTTTGTCATTGGCATCCAGAAGATTGCTGAACAAATTTTATCTTTCCTCCTTCTTCGCCGTCGTTCGCCGATTTCTGATCATTTCCAGCATATACAACTTGAAACGACTTTGTTGAGAATAGATAAATCAAAAAGAACGAACTTAACTGACGTCTAGTTCATCAAATGCGACTATCGCCTTCGACCATTTCGGTATCAGCCCTGTGACCTACCCGGGAATGATGATCTTTTAAGATGATTCTGGTACTGACAAGACGCAAGGCGTCATGAAAAGACATCTTGTGCCCTGGAGAGACGACAGTGTCTGCCTGCCAATTCATCGTACGACGAAAACCCGCTATTTCAATGACATTCAAGGCTATCTATACCCCATTGATGAGAGTCATAGGACAATCAGTTCAGCGAACTTACCGGTAGCGTAACATCAATTAAATGCTCTGCTTCCAGATCAGATCCTGTGTATTGTTCAAGAATTCTTCCCATACGAGTTGGTTGCTTTTCTACGATATGTAAGACAAGTGGGAGATTTATAGATGAACTTACATACATCAGAAAACGCCGGAACGCTGATCTTTCGATATGAAAGAATATCTCTTTCGGATGGAATCATGTTGGCGCCAAATACGGATAGCTTTTGGTACAGGAACATAGGCTTGGGGAAAGACACGCGGACTGAGGTTATGCCCTTCAAGCCATTTGGTGGAGAACCATTATTGAACAATGAAGACGGACTTTGACGATCGCGGCATTAGCGATAAAGAATCCATTCCTTGCTGAGAATGCTAATACGCAGGAAATAATGTCTCATCTTGTCCGTTTATACACTATTAGGAATAATGGTTGGTCGATACTCGAATGACGTCTATGTCAATTTACTCGCCACCGTCTTTCTTATTAAAGACGTAATTGGCACCACCCGTCAAATCGCGAATGGGAGGAAGAAGGTAGGAGAGAGGATGGGCATTCCAGAGAATTGTGCGATTTCCAGGGTGGTTTCTGTGAGTCGTCTGGGTTTTGGCAACAATTTAAAAGACGCTGAGAAACCTACCCAACTGTTTTGATATTCCGATAAAACTCGATCGATTGCTGGATAACCCAGCAAAGAATGACGGTAAGAGTGAGAGTCGCAAGTGTGGTGTCGTCCGTAAGGACCCGTTGGGTGTCCTTTGGCATGGTGAGCATGCATTGATTGTAGGTACAGGTCTTCTGGAGCGAATTACTGGCGACTGGCCTGCGGAGGCTACCCAGACCCAGGGAGTAAATCTCAAGAACAGTGCATAAGTTGGCTTTAGAAGGGATGTGCGAATCTCTTGTAGAAGTGACCCCAAACCCCACACCGCTGGTGCCAGTGAGCATTTAAGCATACATCTGCCCCCGTAGATTCGTGACCTCTTAGTATAATCACGCAATGATCGTCCATTTCAGATTTCAGGTTTAGGAAAAGGGAAACGAACGGGGGAAGTAAGCCGAGAGGTTAAATTCGGGAATGTATTAGGATCCGCTCTGGCGCAGTATTGGCGGTACACGTGTATTTGCCTGTAGCATAGACTCCAGGAAGGGGGGGAAAAGACGCAGTTGACGTGTTACTGAGGTTCAAGGAATGTGAGGGACGTGAAAGGAAGACACGATGAGACGGCAAGGCAAGAGAGAAAGCGAAATCGGCAAGTGCCGGACCATCGAACTAGAAATTTGAAGTTCGAACTAAGGGCTTCGGGATTGTACTTGGTACTGGTATGTACCTGGCCCAGTCGCAAAATATCGGGAATGATAGCTTCAGGCTTCTTTCACTTCCTCAACTCCGCGCGCGACGCCAACAGGCTCCTTTCGACAGATTGAGTCTTCACAATATATATTGCAATACTGGTCGCAGTCAAGTCATCTGGCTGTGTAGATTACACATCTAGATTCATGTATATGGCAACATCCATAGAGACCATCTAAGAAAGTGATGCACATTCATAGGACCTAATAGTATACAATTTTAGCTATCTCATAGACCTCACACAGTGTAGCAATAAGCGGAAACGCAGTGAGGGTGCTCGACAGTCAGTGTTCAGTAAATAATGTCCATCCCAACATAAAGGGGTATTGAGCTCGGCCGGCGGGATACGACGGAGCTCCTGCTTGTTAATCCAACAGACCATTATAATGAACTAGAGCACTTCACGTCTCTTCAAACCAACACGACACCCAATCGGTTTCCTTAAGATGCCCTCGTGTATTTGGAGCTAACCCAAAAATTAGCAAAGCAGATGCCAGAACAACATCGGTACCTACAACTTGATCAGGAATCTCCAACGTGACATTAAAGCTCTTGAAAATCGACGCGATGATAATCTGCAGCTCGAGGTTCGCTAAATTACGCCCGACACAAGCTCTGTGATGGTATGAGCTAAACTTGGCCCAGTTCAAAAATGGAGATTACATACCGAGGACCGACAGAGAATGGACTGAATGCCTTTGATACAAGGGCACTGTCACACTCAAACCATCTCTCAGGCCTGAATTCCTCTACATCATCCCCAAACACGGATGGGTCCCGATGGAGCGTATAAGAAGGTACACTAATAATTGTACCCTCAGGGAAGTGGTTTCCCAACATTGTCAACCCGCCCTCAGGTACTACACGGGGGAGCCCCATAGCTATCGTGGAGTATAGTCGCAGCCCCTCGTTGATGACCGCTTGCAAGTAGGGAAGGTTCTTCACTTGCTCGGCTGTAGCGACATAGGACCCTAGGTGCTTGTCTATCTCCTCACACAGTTTCTCTTGTACACTCGGGGCACGAGCGATGTAGTATATGATGGCACACGTGGTGCTGAGCAGATAATTAAGTCCATGCATTGCACCGAAGAAATAGATAAGGGCCTACTTGGAGGTAGTGTCAGATCCCGCAACGAGAAGGGTCAACGCTTCTGCGGTAAGCTCTTCACGGCTCATTGGGTTACCCTTGGTAAGAAAAATTTCAGGCCAGCACAACTACAGAAATAATCGGCAAACAGTTACTCACGTCTTCATCCTTTCCAGCTTGCAGCTTGCTAAGCAAATCGTTCCTCTCTGTCGATGTCTCCAACCTTTTTGATACCGCCATGATTGCTAACGCTATAACAGCGCGGAAGTCTTGCCCACCCTCCCAAAATAAGGGATTTAGCGCGATAAGCGACCTCCACCAATTAGGTAAAGCTCCCATTGTCGCAAGGAAAGTTTGTGATGATCCACCCAAAATCTTGATAACTTCAATTTCTTTCGAGGCATGTTCGACCCCTGCTTGTCCATAAGAGTCCATCACGGCATGTGGATCCTGAGCCATTGGAGCGGAATCTTTGGCTGCCATGATCATGCCGAACGGATTCCCAAACGCTAGATCACCGATAATATCGAACACGAGATAGTTTGCCCCTGCAAACAGCGGTGCTAAGTATGATACATAGAACGAAAAGAGGATTACTTACACGGCAAGCAGTCCAACCAAAGCCTCCCATCACGACCCTCCCAGCCTTCACCCTCCTTGCCCGACATGCCTTTCAAAGCGTTATCATATAGCTTCTCCCACTGCCCCAGCAGTTGACCAACATAACGGCGTACGTACGGCTGGAACTCCAGCACATTCTTCTGCGAAAAGCTGTGTGAGATGATCTTCCGTTTGCGAGAATGAGTCTGGCGATCGCGAACGGTAAACAGACTACGAGATGTGGTAACGAATACATCATAGAACGATGACTTCAGGGCTCCATTTCCGTGCCCGTACACCAGTGGCTGGGCATCCGAAAGGGCTACAGAAATGTGATTAGGCGCTAGGCGGACGAAGGGACCTTCAGTGAGACAAATTAGCCTTGAAGAGCGCGAAAAAAATCTAACGATACACTGACCATATTTCTTGTGCAGATCATGAATGACTACAGAACGATGTCCTTGGTAAGACACGTATGCTAGCCACACATCGGAAAACTTGGCGACAAGAGGGCCAGGATACGAGCGGAGACGATGGGAGTCGATGAGGTAGGGAACTAGATGAACCAGAAGAGCCAATACAATAACAGTGGTGATGGACGTCAAGAGGTCGGTATGCAACAATTTGAGGCTCAGATGGAACATTGTTGTTCTGTAGTTCAATATGAAGGCCTTTTATATACGATCACATCTTGAAGAAACGGAGATAATTGTTATACCCTAGCGAGGTAACATTGTCATAGAACATTCCTCGCTCAAGGCCTTGTGATGAGAGGTCCATGCATCGGCCTCGGAAATGTACGTTACAGTGTGAGAGAGTAGAATCGCTACGAGTTCACTTTGCCGCTGGCTTTCGATTCCTCGAAAACAATAACCCTTGAGACGGCATGTGACATACACAGAGGGAAAATAGTCAGCGTCAACTCACCGTATTAGATAAAAAGGCATGGAATAACAACGCGAGAGGCGACTTCTCGAAAAGCATTTACTTCTATCGCAGTGCACCCTGCGATGCAAGAAATCATGGGATGATATCCATCCTGATCCCAGGCGGAATAAATTGAACGGATGCGCTCTCATTGGCCAAAGATGCAACGTATAGCTCGGAAAAAGAAAAACAGCTAACAGACTGAGTCATTCTCATTATCCAAAGAGTCAATGTAAAATAAGTTTATCCGTATCCGGACGTGGTTGGATACTGTCGATTACTAGATGACCGGACGGAAAATATGCGAGTATCGGAATTACTCGGAGCCTTCCGATACGAAGTACCTTTGATCTTTTTTACTCGTTAAAGTTTTGCCCATCATTCCCCTCGTCTGATGCGCTTGCCTTCTTCGATTAAAGTAAATACAGAGCTCTCATTGAATACTTACACATCGTTGAGTTACTTCCAAATCCTCTCCATTTATGTGCCAATATGCAAGACTAACCATGAGGCGGTAGAGAACGAATAGGACCCAGTACTCGAATCCGCAGCCCTTTATCAGAGTGAACGTCAATTAACGAACATTAGTACTGGATTTACAGATTGTGGCTGTTCCAGAGCAGTCGTTTTCCATGTCTACCCCGATGAAGTCGTCGGTGCGCTTTTTTGACTGGGGTTTTGCTGATATTCGTGTTTGATTCAAAGGCGCGGATGTGTTGGTACAAAGGCTCGGAAGCAGCGCGAACTGGCATCTCCGAGCAGAATCTCTCCGTTACCGGTATCTCAGCTCTGTGTCTTTCAAGGTTCCATCCTGAACGTTGAACTACTGCTTAGAAAATTTTTATTGTGTGGAATTCCGGGTGATTCCGGGGCAGTGCGTCGTCGATTTAGTTTCAGGAATACATATCGATCGCCCCATTTCTTGTCTTGCATTGCCTCCGCGGAACCTTTCTCGCTTGGCGGTCACCGTTTTGTACATCATATGGACCTACAACCTGACTCTGACGTCCGTGTTGGCGACTTATCTGGAAAGGCGGCGAGTCGACATAAAATGAATTGACGGAAAATGTTCACTGGCTCGTGGGGAAAGACCCAAGAGAACTTGAAAGCCATGAATCTCTTTCTCATGAGACTTGTCTCACTCGACAAGCTTCTGCTTCTAGACTCACAACGATCCAAGGTAGGGGTAGAGACCCCTCTGGCATATATGTATATATATACCCCCGCCATTCGTGCAGTCTTCCTCAACACAGACATGATTAACAACAACCAATTGATCCAAGCTGCCGGTTTTCTCTTCGCCATCGCAATTGCAATGGCACTATCCGTCTTGGCCTTCGTAAAGGTATGTGTGTTCTTCGTATGTGCTTATTCTATCTCATCTGACGTGTTTTATAGGACATCCTCGCTCTTCTTTCATTCCGCGCATCGTCTACTGTCGCGCCAGAATATCCCCGCATTGTCGTTACGGTCAAGGTGGACGTTGTGACTACCCAAAACTCGACGATTGAACCATTATCTTCCGTGTCGTCAGACTCGACCTTTGTCCAAGTATCATCAGAATGCTACAGCGGCGCACGAGGAGGCAAGCGGAGTTGGTAAGTCCTTTTCTTGTTGTCCTTGACCCATCACTCATTGTTGCATTTAGCTTTTTCTAAATCATACGAGCTTAAAGGAGATCATCCCAACCGCTCAGACCAGAAAGGCTATTAATGATGCTCTACGTTCCACGCATGGACCATGGACCTACCGATCACCTTCGCATATCCGCACCATCATCGTCAGCTTTCCCTTGCCTATATCTGGCCGAAGGCTCGGTGAGAACATGGCGATGTAGAGGCAAAGATGAGAAGGGATTGAATCGCGCTAGCCCAAGACGTTCCTCCATCTCAAAGGGTGCAAATGGGTAAGTGGGTGGAGGCGTTATTTCTGGTGACTGTCGCAGTCTCCTAACCGTCTCGTGATTCATTTCTACTTTGTCGATATGTTCGTATTGTTGCAATTGAACATCTTTATCATATATTTTCCTAGTCTCGGATATCACGCTGAAACCCGATTATCTTTCCGCCGGTGAGTTGAGCGGAGGCAAACTCGTTTCGCGGCAAATGCCGGTCTCCCCCTTTTCTACTAATTTTTCGTTACTCCCTTTCTTACACTCCATCTCTCTTTCATGCCTTTCAGTATGACTCAGTCACATCAAACAGTTTGTCTCAGCATAACAACCGCGCCTTTACCCATTTTAACTTCATCACGATTTTCTTATGTACCATAGGATGGCAAGAAATGCACTTCGAACAGATCCGTACTCCTTCTGACGATTCCAATTTGCCTTGTCCTATCAAGTTCATGTTGTCTTTTTTTGTCTGAATACACTGCTCCTTCAATTGTCGCAGCTGTTCTACCGGTCTGTCTCTTTTTTATCAAGATGACCTGTGTGTTTCATTATTTCTTAGCTTCAGCACCCAGTCCTCAGTTCATGTTGCCGCGTCCGATTCTTTGACACCGAGAATTTCTGGAGCAATCGTAAAAGACAGGCAGCTAGCAGTCTTTCTCGTCGAAACGAATTGCCTAGTTCAATAAATGATCGTGCATTCTAGCTACTTGCCTGCATCCGCGGAGTTATTTTCATCCGTATAAGTGGACCCATAACGCGACTTTCTGCCGACGTTCTGGTGAGTAAGGAAAAAAGAATATGGTAAGTCTTCTTGCTCCCTTCGTCTCCTAGACTCACCATGCTCAAGAGACTTCTGTCACGATCCATATGTGTGCTCGACATCCAAGACTATTGCGGCCTCTGTTACCTCTTCGTCCTTGCACCTGCAATGCCATCATCCATCTTATCTCTCGTAACGGCGATCTTTGTGTCCCTAGCACGGTATGAAAGACAACTTTTGATTTTCTTGACATTCGGCCCATCATTGTCCGGCGACATTGTGCGCGCAAGCAGGCAGGCACAAAGGCCGAAACCTACTTCGCCGCTTGGAAGGCCCCTCTCTTCGCCTCAATCTGCATTTCGCTTTCGCATATATCAATATAAATCTGTATGCGCGCAGCACAGCTAGACTTTAGCGGCACCCACTCGAACCGATAGCCGGTCTGCGCTCCGATACGGGCCCCTCCTCTCGGAAATTCGTCAAAAGTCATGATCTCCATGTTTCGTGAAAATTTTAGGCGGCGAACTTGATCTCTATTAATTAAGCGAGGCGTCGTTAAGTACAAGACCGTTCTATCCTCATGGTCAACGTCGGTTAGATAATTTGTAGAAAAAAAAAAACACGCCATTCTGAAGGGGAGGAGGCTAAAACGTGACGGTTTTAGTTGCTCTTTGCGGTCCTGACAATAACCGAGTTCGCGACTTGTAAGGAAGGAATATGACTTTGATTTTGTTCAGGGTCCTTGACTGTCAAGCCCCCCAACTTCTCACTAAGTAAGCACCGTCGCCATAAAATGCTTAACTGCGCCCTGATAAAACCTCCCTTTATCAAAAGATGCACTCGACTGCGCTTTAGATCCGGGCTTCACCGCATTTTGGGACGAGGCAAGAAACTGTGCATTTGGCTGATGGATCGTCCCTGTATAAAATGACGCATGGCTCCGACTACCACGAAATATTTTTAGAAGGAGAAGCGAGATCTGCGGTTATTGGCAGGACGATGTTGTGAGTCCCTGAGAGAACGTCCCGACAAAAGCACGAAGAAGCTGAACGGCGCAGAGACCACTGTCAAATTCCAAAACAGACTGCGCTTAAGAAAGGCATGTGTTTGCTAGGTTTATTCCATCCTTTGCTTATGGATGATAGTTTAGCGAGCTCGAACGATAAGTGGGCTTATCTTTAGGAATTCATTTTGAGGAATGTTCTGGCAGAAGAAAGTCTAGCCCTTGTCCATTGGATTCGAAGAACTGCTAAAATGTCATAGTCAGGGACTTGGACGTCGGTATGCAGGTTCAACCGGGACGTCTTTTCAACCCACTTTGTAGACTGGTCGTATTACGCTCTGGGTGTCGAGGCTTGTCTCGAGTCATCGTTACTTTGGCCGCGCAATCATCATATATGATCGTCAGACTCGCTCTGGATTTACCATGATTGGCCGCACAATTGTCATATTCTCGATTTCAGCTCGCCGCACAATCATAACGCTCACCTGCAAGTATTTCGCCGCGGAGAGGCCCAGGCCTTGAACGTTAATCCGAGCATTAGGCTGGGCATGCGTATTGCTTTTCGTGTATGGAACGATACGGATAGGCTCAAAGTTGGAGCCATCCAATAGTGGGAACTTGAAGGAAGCGCAGGACACACCAATAAGACCCAAGTTGGAAGACCGTAGACATCGGTTGCATTACGAGTGTGGTGGCGATGACGCGGTTGGCTAATTTTAAGGGCACAAGTCAAAAATGAAGAGTGTGACAATGCACAGTACGATGGAAGGGAGGGGAACTATATGTGGCGGTGGCGAAACATGAAGTGGCAGTCCGCACTTTCCATGGTTCACGCAATGACTAGTGTTTTGATGTCTGTACTGGTAAGTATAATCAAACACCGTAAATTTGCTCATGCCAAGTGCACTGCAGATATCTGCGCTCAAATTTTCGGGAGTAAGGAGGCAGTGAATGTGAAATGATGACGCATTCTCGGTGACAGCGGGCCATCCTCGGGTCGACATGATCCGATATCGGCACGAGTGTGTTATATAAGGCACCTACTGTCCTGCCTTGGAACTTTGTCTTTGCTGACCTTCCTTCATCCCATCCTCTTCTCCACCACCAAGGCCTTTAACGATTTCACAATGAATTTCACGCTCTTCTTCACCGCCGTATTCGCCCTTCTGTTCCCCCTATCCGTCCTCTCTGCCCCCGTCCATGTTTCCCGAGACGTATATGTACCGGCGGTGATCCTACCCAATAGTAGTTCAGTGTGGACTGTCGGCTCTACGCAGACAGTCACCTGGGATACGTCCAACCCTCCGTCGCAAATCACGAACCCTACTGGCTCGATAAGGCTCAGGAAGGGGAACAAGACTCTGTCTAGTGAGTTTCCTTTATTCGTTTGTCTCATATGAGGTCTAATGATGTGGTAGCGGACCTCATCAGCGGGTTCAGTATCCTTGACGGCAAAGTTCAGGTGCAGGTGCCGAGTGTTGAACCTGGCGATGACTGGCGGGTTGTCTGTGCGTATCATCCTTCGCTATGCTAGATGGGGGTCCTGACTTGTATGTGCTAGTGTTCGGAGACTCTGGCAACTGGAGCGGTGCTTTTACCATTAAAAACTAAAAAGCGGTGTGGTACTTCCATAACCCCCGCACCATTTGCGCCCTTAAAACATATCTTCCTTGGACATCTCCCCTTGTACCAATGCTTAATTGTATCACCAAACAATGATACGAGTGGGTTTATAGCCCTACATATAATGATGGGACGGACACGATTTTTGGACATTATCTCAGTGTATAATCTTGTTGCGTAGTTGTACCGTTTGAGGACTTACTTAGTCTACTTACTTGGCGTTGTAATAGTTTTGATGACATTTAATGACTTTGTTAAAGGTGACGTTGACCTGAAACGGCTATTTGTGAGCCAGTGCCCAGTACAGCCAGCCTCTTCCGTTGTCGTACTGCGTTGTTCTATACTCCTGCACCGCACTACAGCTGCGCCGACTCCGAGTAGGCTAAGCTGGGTTTGGGTACACAGCCAACATATACTACGTGCCAGTTCTTCCGGCCATGAGCTTTTTCTGGGTTGAAACGTTGATACCACATGCATGGCTGCAGGCCAGAAACTCGAAAGTATAACTTGACACGTTTGATAGAGTTTGTGACTCGAGGCCAGATTCATTACGACGCCGCGACGCGGCATTTGCCGATTTGGCGTTCCTTCTTCTCGTCACCTCGCCTTACCTTTCACTCTCGCCTCCCAATGTCCCTCAGATCACATTAATCTCGCCGCCTAACATTGGATCCCGCCTGGCAAGTTTCTTCATGACCAGCCTGCTGTACGCCAGAAATTACAATTACCATCAAGCTGTCCCTGTAGCGCGTAGACAAGAGCTGTATCATGATGTCTTCTGTGCATAGCAAAACTCAGGTGAGTCCATGTTTAAAGGCTAGCCAAGGTTCTCACCTCAGCAGCAGTCATTGGTTTGCAAAACTGACGTATTTCGCGACGTACGAAAGGTCTAGGCAGAATTTCATCTATGCTCCAAGATTTTCTGGTCGTCAATAGTTGCGCCCCGTAGCATCTCCTGTGGTACGTCTTCCTTGCACTGCTAGTCCAACTGACTCTGACCATCGGTGGTAGGTCATGGCTTCTGTGCAAAGCACCCTTTATCTGACTCCCGAACGCGTTAATTCTTTAAGCCAATTGCCCCTCTAGAGTTCAATGAATACTTTGATCACGCCCTCCGAAGGCTTGGTTTCTCCAGCAGACTTTGGCGTAGGGGAATTGAAGGCTGGAGCAGATACTTAGGGACAGGGTTGGCTGAAAGACGGATGCTGGATACAGTATGCCCAGTCAGGCAAGATGGGCTTCCCGTGGTTATCCATTGAAGGATTCATGTGAGTTTCATTGATCTCCGAAGTATCGTCCAGTTCATTTTGTTATATGCATAGATTCTATTCCAAGTGTCTGTTGGTGTTTATCTAGTTCTGCAGGTACTTTCCAAACATTTCCGATGGATATTCCTACGCACCAGTAGGGCCTGGCTCACCGACGACATACGAATGCGGCTTTTGCTGATCACGTTGGCACACGTCTTGTCCTCGAATACAATAGCGCCATCTTGTCATGTACCCCATCATTCTAGCCGCCACTATTCCATCCCTGGCTGCCATTGTGGACATGACAACGTCTGCAGACATGATCGGCATTGTCTTAATGCCACAAAGAATTAGCCACAGGGCTGATATATATACTTTCGCAGCCAGAGAGTAATCATCTATCCTTTCCTTCAGATGATCGAGTGCAGTATATGCTACAACCCCTTCATGGATCCCTATGCTGCAGCCTGCGGTGAGCTCAATGGATACTCACATTGACGACGATGCTCAATTCCCTTACCATAGGTCATGTATTCTGTCTGGCCTGCATAGATGAATGGTTCGCCTTCACTGCACAACAACAACGCATATGCAAATGTCCTAATTGTAATCTGGTGATCAGGAAATGTGAGTCTTCAATTTCCTAGGCATGATGCTGATATTCAATTGGTGATAGGTGTCGTGAGTACGATACGCCAATAACGATCGCATACATGCTCACCTTTCTCAGCTTCGAAAAATATACATCCCCCAGTCGGAAGCCCTGGTAGAAGAGTTGTCTGCGCTGCGTATCCAAGTCAAGGATCTCGAAGTATGCAACGCCTCTCTGAAATCTGAAGTGGAAGGGCTGAGAAACGAAGTGGAAGGCTATCAGAGTTTGACTGAAGAACTGTTGGCTGACATGTACAACGACGATGACAGCGAGCCGCAGAAGAGAAATCTAGTGGCATCCGCGTGGCATGGCATTCTTACCACCACTAAGAATGTCATTTCTCGAGAAACTGCTTTGCGTGGAGTGGCCTCCATGTTGTACGACTTCCTTACGAGCGCTGGAAGTGTCCTCCTGTGGTTTGGCGTCGAATTCGTCTGGCGCGTGGCGACCCGTCCGGAGGAATGTCTGAGGGAGGCGGCAATGTATGTATGGGTCTTCACTGATATTGTCGCTTCGGCGATGATTGTTGTTGTCGCACTGTACGTGTTCGTTATTTGTATCCTCATGGATGTTGGGCTCACGTAACCTCTCTAGGGTGGGGATCCTTTGTGGGCACTATGAATGTATGGCGATCTGGGTCGACTATGGGTATCCGAGGTTGTGTGGATTGATTCAGTGTATGAGGAGAAAGAGTAGCCCCGTACTTGGTCCGTCGGATCCATGAACAACGAAGCCACCAGAACGTCAGCGCGTACTTGTAATATGGTCATGAGCAGGCTGTGTATGAATGCTTGCTTATCTTAGTACGTGTATCATGCTATGATAGTTGTCCTTCCGATGCCTCTGATTGCCACTTCTCCGCTTTCAAGCTCACAGCACCAACTCTCAATGGGACCGACGTATTCTAAACTGATTACCCTCATGCGAATAAATGGATTGTATCTACCCCACTTGAACTCTCATCTCTGCTTCTGATCGTAAGCCTGACACCTTGGGAGGATTCTGTTAAATAGGCATGGGGTACGGTTCCCAACTTCCGGTCTAGTAATCGGAAATATGCAATCGTATTCGGATGTGGATAGTCTTTGCCTAATGAGAGCCGACTCAGCACGGTAGTCATTTCCTTTCTCCGAGCTATCGCCCTATAATCAGGATCATTTCAGGCTTTCTTGACACAAAATGTACGGTTTTATTGCCGTTCAAGGAGTCATGTGGTGACCTCGTCGCGCCTATGGTGCTGTGTTACGTTAAATGCCCTCTCCGCGCAAAAAAAAAAATTCCACCCAAAGGGCTTTTTCTAAATCGAGCCTTTCCATGAGCTTCAACAATTCTAGCCTTCGTCATTAGTCTGACCGTTTTCACACAGTGTAACGTACACATTCGTCCGGTGCATGCGCGTGCAATCACAACAGGCTTCGAGGGGGAATGTCACGATGTCAATGCGACGCCATTGGCAGTCTGCCACACCCGATTGGCTATAACAACCCATCCCTTTTCCAGTTGTTGAGCCGCAGCTGAGTATAAAAGGTCTTCGTATGGAAGAACTTCATACAGCACACGATGTTCTCTCCTACTATCGAACTGCTGCGTACAGACCTCCTGACGGTCGTCGCCACTGTTGTTGTTTTGGCCGTCCTAGTTCACCTAGTCCCCTATGTCATTGATTCCCATGGTCTCCGCTCATATCCTGGTCCTTTCATCGCCAAGTTCTCCGATGCATGGCTGGGATATGTGACTTACCAAGGACATCGTTCGGAAGTTATTCATAATCTGCACAAGAAACATGGTTAGTGCATTTCTTAGATTTGTTCACACTTGTCAGGCGTTAATCAGTGTCGTTGAAGGTCCTTTCGTCCGCATAGCGCCTAATCACGTTTCCATAGCCGTGTCGGATGCGCAGCCCATGGTCTATGGGCACGGAAGTGGGACCTTGAAGTCATCGTTTTATGACGGCTTCATTACTACGTCGCATGGAGTATTTTCTACTCAGGATCGCCAGATTCATACTCGCAAACGAAAGATCATCTCGCATATTTTTTCGCAGAAGAGCGTGTTGGAGTTTGAACCGCATGTGCGCCGTTACATCGGTCAACTGCTAGGACAGTGGGACAAGCTATATGACAAGGCATTGAAAGGCATGTCGGGCGAGGAAGGTGAAGGTTGGATGGGTCGTGACGGAAGGCTTTGGTTGGATTATTCGCCATGTAGGTGGGCCTCCTCTATCAGTCTGCTCCGTGTACCTACGACTTCTGTTCGCAGGGGCAAACTATCTCGCATTTGATATCATCGGTGATCTGGTGTTTGGAGCTCCGTTTGGGATGATCATGGCAGCTAAGGATTCGGTCCCGGTGCCTGAAGATCGGAGTGCCGTGATGGACTCTTACGGGAAAGTGGGCGCAAAGCATGCCACGAAGGAGATCGCAGTCATCAAGGCTTTTAGTGGACCATCGCAGGCCTCCCGGATGGCGATAGCGACTGTGCCCGGGTGGTGGTGGCCGTTGCTCAAGCTAACTCCGTGGTTTTGGCAGGGCGAAAACGACTTCCGCGCCATTATTGGGATGGCAATCATGGCGGTTTCAAAGAGGTTGGAGGCACCAACGGACAGGATTGATTTACTTAGTAAGCTGCAAGCTGGGAAGGATGAAGACGTAGGTCGCATTTGCCGATCACTTCTGCAGCTCTGCTCACCTGCTTGCTTTGCTAAGGGTAACCCGATGGGACGAGAGGAACTCACGGCAGAAGTGTTGACGCTTCTCATTGCAGGATCTGACACCACCTCCAGGTAGGCCCATCTCTATTCTATTGGTGCGATACGTCACTCAATCGTCTGCTCAGCTCTGCATGTACCATCATCTACTATCTCGCTCGTACCCCAAGTGTGCAAGAGAAACTCCACAAAGAGCTGGACAAACACCTTGACTCCGGCTTCGCCACAGCCGAGCAGGTGAAGAACCTCTCCTACTTGCAAGCGGTCATCAACGAAGGGCTACGAGTGCACTCCGCGTTGGGTTTGGGGCTTCCCCGAGTAGTACCCCAGGCTGGGATGACGATTTTGGGAAACCACTTTCCTGGCGGTGTGGTCATCAGTGTCCCTATTTATACCATCCATCGGGACCCAGCGGTGTTTGGGGAGGACGTGGAGGAGTTCAGGCCTGAGAGATGGTTTGAGTGTGATAGCGTCGCCGTGTCGAAGGCGTTTAGTCCATTCTCTATTGGTCCTCGGTATGTGACCTTAATGGGGTTCAAAGTTAAGCTCATGCCATCATAGAGCTTGCATAGGCCGTAATCTAGCGAACCTCGAGCTGCAGATGATTATCGCGTCAATTTTGAAACGCTTCCATTTTGAATTGGAGAACCCTGATGAAGTCGTACGTGCCCATGTTTTTTTTGGCATGTATTTTGCTGACTTTTGGGTTAGCTCGAAGTAAAGGAGGGCATCTTGAGAAAACCGGAGGGGTGTCGTGTTGGTATCAAGAGACGCGAAGTGTTCTAGTTCATGGTAAGGCATTGGAATGTCATCTTGTACAAGTATATGTGAATCAAGATGTCAAATCTAAAGTGGAGAGCTGCCTCGAAGGCGCATGCATCACTCTGCACCTTTCGCAGGCTGAGTTGCTACTGATTCGCTCCAGAACGTGTATTAATTGGTGCCGCTATCCACCAGACCACCGGCACTTGCAGTACCCTAGCTTTTCAGTGCAAGAACTTCTCTCCTTGATCCCGTGCCTGCTTTCTGTGGTATTTGAGTGCCGTAGTGATGAGATTATGAATAGACTCTTCGCAGCTCCCATCGCCATGCTTGCGACGCTCACCTTGGTGGTTGTCCTTCTCTGGGTCGTCCAGAAATCTATCGAGTTCTATCAGAATGTCAAAGCGGTTGGGTGAGTCTTTCAGCATCTTTAAAATTGTTGCGAAAATCCGAATAGCTCAGAAACCACCCTGGAAACCGCACAATTCTCTGGCACAACCATCTTCTCGCCCACTTTCTTCCTCCAATTCGTGGTTTGACCAGTGGTACCAACTATGTCTTTAACAAGAAATACGCAGGTGAGCAAATCAGTGGCACAAACATTGCTTGAGCATCTACCAACCATCGCGTTTAATAGTTTATGAACAGACAGGATGGGACATTGTTACCTGCATATCATCATTCCCAGCGCCGAGAGTTGAATTCCTTATTGCCGATGCTGCGATCATCAAAGTCCGTCTTTCGTTTGCTAATGGTTCTCCACTAACGGGCTTGAAGGACGTAACCGTAGCGCATGTGTCTTTCCCAAAACCTGTCTTCCTGTACCGAGCGCTCTCTATATTCGGCAGCAACATCGTCGCATCCGAAGGGCATACTTGGAAAAAATATCGAAAGATCAGTGCCCCGGCATTTTCTGATGTATGTCCACATTCAAGTTCATCCATGGACCCTCGGCTTATCTCATACGATTGTCGACTTAACGCAGAGAAATCACCGACTCGTATGGGAAGAATCCTTGAACACCACGCGGGACCTGATCAATACCATCTGGAAGGGCAAGGATGTGGTGGAAATAGACCGTGTGGACGATATTACACTACAGGTAAGTACTAGAGCGTCCAAAAGATTATTCGATAACTCTCATCAAAATGATGTAGATAGCTCTGAATGTTATTGGCGTGGCGGGCTTTGGTCGCAAGATGCCTTGGCAAGCTGACACGGTCGTCCCTCCGGGACACACGATGGCCTTCCATGATGCCATGCGTCTTGTGAGTACCGGAATCATCTTAAGGATCACCGTGACCCGGTGGATCATGGGGCTGATACCCAAGTGGGTGAAGGTGAGAGCTGCATTCGATGAACTAGAGGTGGGTTAAAGTTGTTCTTTATCGTTTCTCTAATCTCAACAAAGTTGTTTCAAGTTGTATATGCTGGAAATGATCAGAAATCGGCGAACGACGGCGAAGAAGGAGGAAAGATATGATTTGTTCAGCAATCTTCTGGATGCCAATGATGACGAACTTTTGGTCGAAGGAGAGGCAAAATTGACAGATCAAGAACTTCTCGGTAGGTTTCCATTTTCATCGGATGTCGGTTAACTACAATTTGAATTGTCTTTCCAAGGGAACATTTTCGTGTTCCTACTAGCTGGACACGAGGTGAGTCGCAATTTGTGGCTGAGAAGAATGTCAATACGATGCTCCCATAATCACAGACTACAGCCCACACACTCGCATTTACATTTGCCCTGCTAGGGCTCTATCCGGACCAGCAGGAGATCCTTTACCGCCATATCAAATCCATCATCCCGAATGGGCGGAACCCAGTAGGCACTTATTCTACCATCACAAGCCCCTACCACTGATTAGTCATGACACAGACCTTCGAAGAAATGCCCCTCTTCACGCATTCCATAGCGCGAGCAACTTGCCTTTATCGTACTTACAACTCGTTATTGACTACCTTCTGCAGTGTGCTTTATGAAGCTCTTCGCTTATTCCCATCCGTGCCGCCGATTCCTAAGATAAGCGCTGAGGATACCGTCTTCGTTTCTACTAATAAGGCGGGCGAACGCAAGACCATTCCCGTACCTCAAGGTGCCATGATAACAATTGATGTGGCAGGGTTACATTATAATCGTGAGTGTTGGCTGGATAAATCTAAGACACATCGTTTGATTCACCGTCAATGCAGCGAGGTACTGGAAAGACCCTGAGGTGTTCAATCCGTCAAGATTTCTGGGTGATTGGCCGAGGGAGGCGTTTGTGCCATTCAGTCAGGGTGCGCGTGCGTGTATAGGTCGAAAGTACATCTCCAAGTCACTCTGTGATATATTACTGACTAATAAGCATAGATTTTCTGAAACTGAGAGTGTTGCTGTACTCACGATGCTCATCTCGAAGTACAAAATAACGGTCAAGGAAAAGCCCGGGGAAACATTCAAGGAAAGAAAGGAAAGAGTTTTGAAAACTAGGGCTAGTCTTACTTTGATGTGAGCGTGTTTCTCCATGGCTATGGATGCATACGTTGATAGTATGAAATTGAAGGCCTGTTCACATGCCACTTGTGTTTTCAAGACGAGAATAAGGTGCATGGACTTGTGGCATAGCACTCACTGTATGATTAACAGAATCATGATATACTATTCTATGTCCTTGTTGGTTTCATTGTTGAGATACAGGGGAAAGACTGTCTATTCCACTGATAATTCCAGACTACTTAATATGAATCACTGCCGGATATGCGAGCTTACTTGTAAGTAGCAATCTGTCATCCATCTGGCATTTGCCAATGTTGCTTTTTTTCTTTCAGTTGGGGTTGCATCTTGTTTTCTATCTTCAAAGGCATATTTATTTATCTCTCTGTGGATCTGCTGTCCCTTCACCTTTTTGAGCATGTCCTATTCACTGCTGGGACTGGTACATTTTCTGGCAGAAAAATAAGACCAGAAAATGTTATGACATTTCATTCAATTTTGCAATAGTAAAAGTGAGTTCAGTAAAATGAGTTGATAAATGAGATCATTTCCATATTCTTTTCTGTAAAGGAAAACAACAGGGAAAATTGAATTGAAAAAGGCATCCCCCACTGTCAGAACAAAGGAAACCACTTTTCATTGTAGAAAAGAGTTTGTTCTTGGCATATAAAAAGAGTGCCAAAAATAGCAAGTTTTTCATCAAGTTTTCCTTATCCCATTTTTGCAGCATGTAAAGGTAATTGAAAATCACAACATTTTCAGAATGTCTATTTCCATGCTGAAAAGGAACTGGCCTCAGCAGTGATTGTTCATCAATAGTGATGGCCAGCTGAATTATCAGCCTCATATAAAAGGCTTGGAAGAAAGGCAAGAGATAACCAAAGAATCAATTGTTTCAAACCTTAAGTCTTAACAGTTAAATTCTCTGATAAATTGTATTGAATCCCATCATTCTTTGTCTTGTACTAGGAATCTATGAATAATGCAGAAGTTCATCCTAAAATCAGTCTGACCTTAACCTGGGTGAAAATAGAAAAGTCATTTAAAGCATGACAGAATAGCACCCTTGAGTATTAGTATCTCTTTCATCCTCCATACTACTGCTGCTTCACTACAAACATGCCCAGCTCATGCCCTGCATGTCACTCTAGAGCCAAGTCCCTCTTTTCTCTTTCCTGTGGTGAGTTCTCATGGTTTCATGTCCTTCACTTTCTTCAAATTGCCCACAGGTCACATATATTGCAAGTGATATGTAGACAAGATAGAGAGTCTGGACAACAGTTAATTCAAAGAACTTTGGTTCAATGCCTTGCAGTGCTCAAGATGTTGCAAGCCATTACCCAATGGTATATGCTATTCATCATTTGCTTCAAAAGCTTACCCTCACACCCCAAGATCCATTGGAAGAGAACATACATAATTTGTAATTCTGCTTCACTGTGTTCTGCATGACAAGTTCTTTTTGTTCAGATACACACTGTCCTGCATAAATTCTGACCATACTCACTCCCCACTGTCTGTAAGATCCACATTGACCCTGATAACTCAGCAAAGTGGGAGAAGGAACAACTCAGAAGACAATTGGTGTTATTATAGATGCAGTGTGTTGGGATTTTGCTGAAAAGTTCTAGAAAGGGCAATCTGGCATCATGCTGAGAGCTGATGAGTAAGCTTGAGAGAAAGAGAAAGTTGTAGTAGATTCTAGATATAAGACTGGAGAGTATAAATACAAGCTCTATAGGAGCCATAGAATCAGGAGTTCATACCTTCTGGCCTTACCAGCCTGGAGTCTACCCTGCACAACAACAAGGATTTCCAACACAGTGTAAATGTTTGTCCAATGAAATACATGAGAAGGACCTGCAACTGGGTAAGCAAAGCCAGATGGCCATGTGCTGCTGTTGCACATCAATGTGTGTTTACTTGGATGGTTTTCATTATTCTCATGTGGGTGCTTTTTATGTTGTTTGCCTATTCTTGCTTATGTGCAGTGCAGAATGGTTCTTGGATTGAGACAGATTGCTTAGATCTTGCCTAAACCTCCATGTGCATGTTTTTGAGCACTATGATTCCAGTAACTGGGATCCAATTATATTATACATATCTTTTGGTTGGTCCTTCTTGTCTTTATTGTTCATGGAACTCTATTTGGTTCAGGGTGTTCTGTTTTCATCTTTTTGTATGGAACCTCCCTGTGTGGCATATAATTGTAAGTTGATGAACTAGACTGTATTTGGGAGTACTTGTTGTAAACATGTCCCATGATACTGTCTGTTTCATCCACATGCTTGTCTACAGAGCTTTAGTTCTACACCTCACTGCCTTTAAAAGTCCCTTGGCATGTATATCTACTCCTAAGGTGTAAATCACGTTTTCCTCTACATGCTATCATCGGCCTCTACAATGTACCTGACACTCATTAAGACTGGTGGTACTTTTTCATGAGAAGAATAAGGGACATAAACTTTTCATATAATTCCGTCACTGTCAGATCTACCATCCTGTCTTGTGCTGCTGTACGGCGACGCGTCGTGCGACATGCATACGAGCGCGTAAATATTACCGTGATTTGATGATGAGATCACGTGTTGAGCTGGAAGCTAAAATCCGGTCCTCGTCCCTGTACTGTTACTGCCAGTGTCTACCAGTACAAGTGCACTGTCAATGTCTTAGCCACTGCGTCGCTACCCGAGAAAGCTAACTTTAGGTATGTATTCCGTTATCGGACGCCCAAGCGTCAGCTTACAAATTTCTAGGCTCGTGTTCAAGCCATCGCCGCACCAGGTGTTTTTCAAATGGTGGACGACTTAGTCTCAACTATCGTGTGGAATAGTGCCCTATCGTTTGGAATGGCCCTTCTTCTAGACCTAGAAAGGTATTCCCGACATCCTCGACTTGAGATGTAGGCTGATAATCTTTAAAAAAGTGCCCACATTGGAGTCAGCGCGTAATGTCATCCAAAGATAGACTGTACCAGACTTTACCGTGACTCGAGTAAACCCCGAAAGGAACGGATTGGACAGAACAGTTCCCGTCAGTCTTTATCTCTGTCATCTTGTCCCTCATCCGCAACGACAGATACAGATTTAGGAATTAGAAGGGCGGGGCGGCTATAAACAAGATTGTCTGACTGTCCGGGTAACATGCTTGTGTCCATTAAGTTTCTCTGAATCAACATGTTTGTTTCATGCATGTCCAACTAAAATGACGTTTGATTCACGTGAAGGCTTGACTCTTTGTCTGTATCTTCATAGCATCGTGTGATATCTCTTGACTTCTGATTAGCGCTGGCTTCATGAATGTTTTAGTTCGTTGGATGTTATGTACAAATGCTATCAAACTTTATCTAGGCAACATGCGAATGCTTAGCGTCATTTTATGCATGATTGAAACTGGTATGACATTTATAAGGAAATGATCACGATCGCGATCATCTTACTTCCCTCCTGCCTCTCTCCTATAGCGTTCATCTAGAATGATCGAGTGCATCATCTGCCGGAATCCTCTCGCAGAGCCTCATTCTGCATCCTGTGGTAAGTGGGCACTTCTGCTATCAATCGATACGGATCAGTTCTAGGTCACATATACTGTCTGGAATGTATAAACGAGTGGTTCGGCGTCACCGCGCGCCAACACCAACCCTGTACTTGCCCATCTTGCGGTGCCGTCATTACTAAAGGTACTTCAATAGGTTCAATTGTAGTAAAGTTATGTTCATCATTTGACCCCTATAGATCAGGTGAGCACAGGCCCATGTTTCAAGACATACTAATGACCACCACTTCCAGTTGCGCAAGGTGTTCATCCCTCAGACGGACATGCTAGTACATGAGCTTCATGCACTCCGGAAGGAAGTTAAAGAGCTGGATGCACACAACACATCCCTGACATCCGAATTGAAACGCTCCAAACAACTTCGAAGTGCCGCCGAGGAAAAGGCAGACTTAGCCACGAGAAAAGGCAGTTATGCAAAGAAAGCTAATGCATTCCTCGGTATTCTTACCAACATAGCCACTCTTGCTGGCATTATGTTCGCGTTGTTTGTTGATTCCATCCGTTTTGTCGTCGCAATTCTGTGTCTCATTTCGAGGTTCATCTGGCGTATATCGACTCACCCTGGGGAGTGTTTTCGGGAGTGGGGACGCTGTGTATGGGTTGTGATTAGGGTGATCATTACGGTACTGCTACTGTCTTTCATCTCGTAGGTGTTCATATCTCATCGTGATCATCAGCTTATATAAATTCGTTCCAGGACTGTGGTTGCTTGGGCTGTGGGCTTTGCGAGTGACAAGATCTTCTACTTCTTTGTAGAGCATGGGTATCCTCAGCTATGTGAACTCTCAAAGTGGGTATGGGAAGAGATTTCGACACGCTTCGTCGACATTTCGACTACCTTCATCAAAAATCACATCATCGACTTCCAAACATATAGCGTGCAAGGTGCATACCTTCGAGTGCGAGTTCCAATTCATACTGTAACCATTTACTGTCTAGGAATCTTTCATCGTACCGACTTCCGGTCATTTTGTCATTTGAGCGGCCTAGGCGTGATTAAGAGGCTGATGACGAAATTCTGTCCGGAAGGCGGCGACTAATACTCTTACACGTGTTCTGGGCATGCTAACGGCGGTCGTTTCTTTCTCTTTCCCTCTTATTGTATGTACCATGGACATAGATGAAGACTGCTGCGTTATATGTCTGGCCGGATTCACGGACCCAGTTTGTACGCCATGTCGTAAGTCGCTCGTCCTGCCAATATTGTATTCGGGTAGAACCTCTACATTTTGCCCAGCTGCGCAACATATGTTTTGCATGCAGTGTCTAAATGGTTGGATCTCGGAGGCGGCGGAGGCAGGTAGAACGGCGTATTCGTGCCCATCATGTCGCCGTGCTTTTGACGTAGGTAAAACAGTCTCTCACGATTTATTATCGGAGCAAGGCTTTGAACTTTGTATGTTTAGCGAAAGGTCTTGCAGATGCACGTGGATGATTTCTTGGACCCTTTATCACACTAAAGATATCTTTAGCTTCGAAGTCACAAGCGGCGATTAGAGAAGAGCAGATCTCAGAGTTCGGATGATGAGAGCGCGTGGGATGCGATCATGTTCATCATCAAAGTAATAGGGTAAGCTCGCTTGGAATTTGATTTCTTTTGATAAAAGAGGCTGTTTTAGGATGATCATACTGGGCGTGGCGCTTTTGGTTTTGGCGCCCTTAGTGGCTGATTGCTATGCTGGAGAAGATAGTCTGGAACAATCTGCTTGTGTAGATCTGTTTTTGCTCTCTCGTCGGCGTGAAATGTATTAGGAGGATTATTTGGGTATATATTAACATCCAACGCGCACCGGAAGTATTCTGAGCTAACCAGTATCACAACTGACTAACTCGTTTCAAGTTGGCTTATCTTGAGATGAAAGTTTTGCAAAGCTAGAATACAGACAGCAAGTAGAAGAAAAGATGTATAGTACATGGAACAGTGGAGATAGAAGACTGAGACAACTGCCAGAACTATTGTGATGAATCATGGTGTATAAAGGATGCCGCTTGCTTCCTGGCTTTATTGTGTCTACGATGACACTGAGGAGAGAGGTGCTTTTGTCTCAAGCTCAGACAGAATAATTCCTTGGGCATGTTGAGCCCTTTATGCTACTGTATTCTCAACCCTCTGCCCAACACATAAGAAATGAGCTATGATGGAGCCATATATGCACCAAGGTCGATTGGTAGGATGCTGGTCTGAGCAGTTGTGATCATCTCCTTGAAAGCTCATATAATTTAGAGAAAATTAGATGTGCTAATGAATCATAAGCCAACAATGGTGTTGGGATAGCAATCCTGAGTGAGTACAAGAACATACTTGAAGATACAATGCCAGTCAGCAGCAGCTGACTTGGATCTGTTAGACTCAAGCATCACATGAGCAGAACCATGTGTTAAACAGGTGTTACCTCACACTTTGGGTAATTGACTGAGTACACTGATATGTGATCTGATCATTGTGTCACAAGGCCTGAGGATTGACTCAAGTATGGAATGAGATAGAATAAACTTTAGCTCGAAGCTGAGATTAACCAGTGAGAGTGAGCCTCTTAAATACTGTACAAGCTTTGTCTAAATATACTACTGCTAATTGTGTGTTGTTGGGTTTCTTGTGCCCATTGTCCTTGGGTGTCACTACTGTACATAAAAGAGTGATTGTGCATCATCAGGCAATGCTGTTGCATCAAAAGACAATAACCAACTTGGCCTAGTTGTGATGACTAAGCTTTGTCTCATAGTCCTAAGCACCTGTGTTAGCACTCTGACTAAGCATAAATAGGGGTTAATCAAGGAAACAACATAGAATAAGGTGAAAAATCATAACAGGATCATGATTCAGACTTATTTAGTATCTCATAGAAAGATCTCAAAGTAATACAAAATGTATTTAAGTAGAACATCTCTCTCTTGAGAGGCTAATTTTAATCCTCTGTACATTACTCTGCTCTCTACTGACAACAGGTTATGGGCCTCAGTCATAACTGAACTTACATTGCTACTCACTTCACACTCTTTCATACTTTATGTACACATGTAGAACTGCATGGATAACCAGTCCATATATAGAATTGACCTCCTTAAGGGCCTGGAAAATTATCTGACATGGAAAATCAAGATGATTGATATTCTAACTGATTTAAGACTAATTGATTATGCAGATAGAAGCACTTCAGCCCCAGCAGCCACAACACTGGTGGCAGATTGGAAGAAGAGTGATAGAAAGGCTCTTTCAACAATAAGATTGTGGGTTTCAGATGGTCTGCTGATATATATTGCTAGTTCAAAGACTTTGGCAGAAGCCTGAAAAGCTCTGAAAGATATATATGAGTCCAGAGGACCCATGAGAATTGTTCTTGTTAGAAGAAAATTCTTTAGAGCTCAGTGTGAAAAAGAAGAAAACATAGGGGAGCATATTAGGACTTTGAGGTCCTATCAGGAGGAGCTGGCATCCCTTAAGCAGAAAGTTGAGGAGGAGGACTTCTCTATTACACTGCTTACATCACTCCTGAAATCATGAAATTCATTCATCTCATCAGTGGATACTGCTGACTTGAAAGATTCTTACAAATTGATTTCCTGAATTCTTCAGAAGGACATCTGATTAAAGAAAAAGACTTCTGATTGGACTACAACACTTGCAGCATATGATAAGAAGTCTAATCCAAAAGTCACATGTTATAGATATGGGAAAACTGGTCACATCAGAACAAATTGCCTAAATAAGAAGAAGAATTCTGAAAAGTCATGGAAGGGAAAGGAAAAGAGCCAGACTCAGGCATATATTGCCAAATTGGACTCAGAAGAAGAAGACTACATATTTTGTGCAACAGATATCACACTTACTTCACTCTCAAGAGTATCATAGCTAGGGGACTCTGGTACTATCAGATATATAGTCAAAAATAGATTATATTTTTCTGACTATGTTGAAACCTCAGAACATGAAGTCATTGGTGTAGGCAAATCCAAAGGCTTGAGAAGAGAAACTGTCAAGATTAAAATAGTTGAAGGAGAAAAGATCACTTCAGTCACACTAAAGGAGTGTATCCACTGCTCTGATGCATCATTCAATCTTATGTCAATAGGGCACATTACAGATGCTGGATTTGAACTCAAATTCAAAGAGTCCAGAATGGATATTATCTCATCACATGGTAAGATAATTGGCCATAGAGATAAAATATCAAAGCTGTACAGCCTTGACATTATTGTTCCAGAAATAACTCAGGCCCATGCTATGAAATCAGCCTGATTATAGCAAAAGTGGCACAAAATATTAGGCCACTTAAATATAGGATCAGTAAAAAGACTATTTAGAAAGAAAATGGTCAAGAGGATGGATATAGATGAGACAGCTGAGCTTCAGACAGATTGCATAGCTTGCATAAAAGCCAAATATCATACCAAGCTATTTTCACAGAAAGCCAAAAGAGACTACTGAAATAGAGAAAATGATATTTTTAGATCTATAGAGGCCAGCCCAAACTCAGGGTATCTATGATGAAAGATATTACATAAGCTTCACAGATAGAAAATCCTGAAGGACAATGTTGTATTTTTTGAAGTCAAAGCAAGATATGGAAATTTGAAAGAAGATCCAGCAGTATCAAAAATACATCAAAGTCTATAAAGAGAAGGATCTGAAGTTTATGAGGATTGACAATGGAAAAGAATATATCAATGAAGAAGTGAAGGAATATCTCCAGGACAATGGCATACAGTTGGAATTGACTACAGCATACTCCCCATCTCAAAATAGAGTTGCTGAGAGAATAAATCAGACTCTTGTGGAGCATGCATGTGCCATGCTAGAAGAACATCACTTACTGAAGTTTCTATAGCCTGAGGCAGTGGCATATGCCACATATCTGAAGAACCAATCACCAACTAAGACTATCAAAAATGATCTAACCCTAGAAGAAGTGTTTCAAGACATGAAACCAGATATTTCAGCACTCCAAAAATTTGGAGTAAAGTGCTGGGTGTTGCAGCAAGATAACAAGAGATGAATCCAGGGCCTGGAGATATTACAACCCTCAAACCAGGCAGATTCAGACCTCAAGAAATGTTATATTCCCTGAAAACAACATTATAGAGTCTATAGACACTGACTATATAGTCTCTCACTCTTTATCACTCAAAAAAGAGTCAGAGAGCAAAGTCAAGCAGACTCTGGATGAAAATGATGGCATTTTGGACAATTCTGTGGATGTCAGAAATGCTGAACCAAAAGGAGAAACAGCCTCTGATGTATCATTGATCAAATCAAAGTTCCCAATATAACATGAGAAAGTGATTGAGCCATATGACAAAGCAGCCCAGATTGCATCAAAGATCTAACTGAGTTACCAGACACTTCATAATCCAAGTGCATGAGCTGTGAAAACATCAGAACAACAGCATACCTCAGAAGAATCATCTTTGGAAGCTGTAAATGTTGTAATAGACTATACATGTATTAGGGAAACTGCAGACAACCTCAGTGATGAGCTATTAAGCCTTGAAGAAGCCAAGACAAGGCCAGACTGGCATCATTGGAAGAAAGCAATGGATGAAGAATACAATCTATTGACTTCTCTAGGCATATGGCAGCTGAAAGAATTATCCAAAGACAGATCTCTTGTGGATTGCAAGTGGACTTATGTTAAGCCCAAATTCCATGTGACTATCAACATGTGATAAACAGTTCAGAACCTCACACTTCAGATTAGACTGACTGAGTTCACCAAGTTAATAGTGGTGGTGGTTTCAAGGTGCAAGAAGCTTGAGCTCAAGAGTAGATGATGAAGAATAAACTTTAGCTTAATGCTGGAGCTACTATAGTGAAAATGGTGCTACTTAAATACTGTTCTGTTATCTGGCTATTAATAACTGTTTATAAAAGATATTGTCTGTCATAGAGCTGTTACCCCTGCTGTTGCCAGACTATCCACAAAGGTTGTTGTCTTGCTGTTGTGCTGAGCTAAGTATTCCCATGGTTCTAAGTGCTGGCCTAAGTGCTCTGACTAAGCAAGGATAGGAGTCATTTCTAAAGAAAAAAAGGAAAGAAAGTAGGAAAAATCATAACATTACCCCCTCCTTAAGACCATTGTCCTGATGGTTAAGTTAAGGGTAAGAGTGCTGGTCCTATAGTGACTGCATTGATTTCTGCACCATTTCTGGCAGGTTGGTTGATGTATATCTGGCTAGATATCATCCTTCTTCTCTTTGTTGTCAGGTTCCTACTCGCAGGTCAATGTATTTTCTCTAGGATAATGTTGAACATGACCCTTTTTGTGTTGACCTTGTTGATCCTGTGCTCATAGTCCCAGATCACCTCTTCCATATTCATAAGTTTTTTGTTGACTCATTGGTTTGATTCCAGCCCATATCCTTTCCAGCTGACAAGATAGTCAATGGTTGTTTTCATGTCTCTGTCTCATGCTTTGACTCTTTGAGTCTTGTGATTTAGCACTTTATTGATTTCATAGTGTTCTTCATCATTGATGAGTATTGGTGGAGGTTCTGATGGTCATTGTTGATTTGGAAAGGCAGGAGCCATGTATGGTGTC